TCTTGACCTCATGATCCACCCACCTCGGCCTTCCAAAGTGCTGGGATTACAGGCGTGAGCCACCGCGCCTGGCTTTTTTTTTTTTTTTTTAACACGTTTTGAGATGGAGTCTCGCTCTGTCGCCAGGCTGGAGTGCAGTGTTGCGGTCTTGGCTCACTGCAACCTCCACCTCCTGGGTTCAAGTGATTCCCCTGCCTCAGCCTCCTGAATAGCTGGGACTGCAGGCGCACCACCATGCCTGGCTAATTTTTTGTATTTTAGTAGAGATGGGGTTTTACCATGGTGGCCAGGATGATCTCAATCTCCTGACCTGGTGATCTGCTCGCCTTGGCCTCCCAAAGTGCTGGGATTATAGGCGTGAGCCACTGCACCTGGCCTCCAATCAGTCTTAATTAAGGGTCTGACTAAAGGTCTCCCTCAGGTTCATTTGACAACTTACTGGTCCCTTTGTGGTCACCAAGGAATGATGCAGGTGAACCCCAAAATCGGGACTCAGCCCTGGAAGGTTCTTGGCTTTGCACTGGAAAGAATCATGAACGAGCCGAGAGAGTGAATTGAAAGTAAGTTTGCCAGGGCGGTGGCACATGCCTGTAGTCCCAGCTTCTCTGGAGGCTGAGGTGGGAGGATCACTTGAGCCAGGAGTTCTGGGCCGTAGTGCGCTATGCCGATCAAGTGTCTGCTCTAGGTTTGGCATCAATATGGTGACCTCCCGGGAGCGGAGGACCACCAGGTTGCCTAAGGAAGGGCAAACCGGCCCAGGTCAGAAACGGAACAGGTCAAAACTCTCGTGCTGATAAGTAGTGGGATCGTGCTTGTGAATAGCCACTGCACTCCAGCCTGGGCAACATAGTGAGACTCTGTCTCTAAAAAAAAAAAAAAAAAAAAAAAAAAAATCTTATTAGAGCAACAGAGGAAGGGAAATGGCTGCTCCGTAAGAAAGAGTAATAGTAACAGCAGCAGCAGCCCTGTGGATCGCTGGCTAGCTGTATGTATACAAAGATGACAAGGAAACAAAAGAAACAGTGCCAAATGCCAAAATACCTGAGTATCCGGGCATCAGCCCATGAGGGTCCTGGTACCAAATGCCAAAAACCCCAGAGCATCTAGGGTGTGGTCAACAGTGACCCCCAAAGGCATGAGAGCTATATAGCCGTATATATGGCTATACTCTGATGATAGGCTAAATAAGGAGTGGTTTATTAATGAATTTTCTGGAAAAGGGGTGAGGACTTCCCAGAACTGAGAGTCCCTCCCTTTTTAAACCATGTAAGGTAACTTCTGGAGGTTGCCATGGCATTTGTAAACTGTCATGCTTCTAGTGGGAGGTTCTTTTAAGCATGCAGATGTAATGACAGGAGGTTGCTTTCATCACTGTCTTGTTTTTAGCTGGTTTTGGCCAGTTTGTTTGATCAGCTCCTGTTTGTTCAGTGGGGTCTTGTGAACAGTACTTGGAAACCAAGTCCTGCTAATCTCCTACCTCAGATGGAATGTGAGGTGACAATGGGGCCAGCAAGTAAAAATAGAAATCTAAGATTTAAGTATAGTAAGAGGCAAGGACTAGGAATGTTCACAGTGTTAGTCATGGTTCTTCTCCATGGAAACAGACATGGAAGGGAAAGAGCAGTAGCTTAAAGACAACCTTGAATCAAGGAAGAATATAACAGAGAAGGAACAACTGGAGAAGCAGTAGTAAAAGTGAAAAGAGGAATGAGAGCTTTAAGAACAAGTTACTTTAAAATTTAGTACCTTGTTCTTAGAGGAGGGATAAGGATCATGCCTAAGAAAAAGGTTATATTTGAAGATTGATGATCTTGGAGAATAGATTCAAGAGTTTGTTGTGAAAAGAACATTATATGAAGGAGTTAAAGAGGAGGGAATGAATGGGGCTGGGAACAGTGGCTCATACCTATAATCCCAACACTTTGGGAGGCCGAGGTGTGAGGATCTTGTGGCCAGGAGTTCAAGAACAGCCTGGGCAACATAGCAAGATTCCATCTCTGGAAAAAAACTTTTCAAAATTAGCCAGGTGTAGTGCATTCCTATAGTCCCAGCTACTCAGGAGGCTGAAATAGGGGAGTAGTGTGAGCCCAGGAATTCAAGGTTGCAGTGAGCTCTGATTGCACCACTGCATTTCAGCCTAAGATTAAGTTGTATTTGTGATATGAAGACAGAAGGAACTAGAGCAAATTATAAGATTAAAATGCTAGAGAAGAAATGGATAAATAACTATGGCTTCATAGTCACTTAGCTATTGGTAAGTGTAATTAAGAGATTTTTAAAATCAGTTTAGGCCGGGCGCGGTGGCTCACGCCTATAATCCCAGCACTTTGGGAGGCCTAGGCGGGTGGATCACGAGGTCAAGAGATCGAGACCATCTTGGTCAGCAAGGTGAAACCCTGTCTCTACTAAAAATACAAAAATTAGCCGGGCATGGTGGTGCACGCCTGTAGTCCCAGCTACTCGGGAGGCTGAGGCAGGAGAATTTCCTGAACCCAGGAGGCGGAGGTTGCAGCGAGCCAAGATCGCGCCATTGCACTCCAGCCTGGGCAATAAGAGGGAAACTCCGTCTCAAAAAAAAAAAAAAAAAAAAAATTAGCTGGGCATGGTGGTGGGCGCCTGTAATCCCAGCTACTTGGGAGGCTGAGGAGGAGAATCGCTTGAACTCAGGAGGTAGAGGTTTCAGTTAGCTGAGATCATGCCATGCATTCCAGCCTGGGCAACAAGAGCGAAACTCTGTCTCAAAAAAAAAAAAAGGAAAAACTTTATTCAGACATTCAGAGCATATCTATAACTTATTTACTGCCAGCCTAAGAACTGTATGTTGATAACATTATCAAAATTACTATTTATGGCCGGGCGCGGTGGCTCAAGCTTGTAATCCCAGCACTTTGGGAGGCCGAGGCGGGTGGATCACGAGGTCGAGAGATCAAGACCATCCTGGTCAACAGGGTGAAACCCCGTCTCTACTAAAAATACAAAAAATGAGCTGGGCATGGTGGCACGTGCCTGTAATCCCAGCTACTCAGGAGGCTTAGGCAGGAGAATTGCCTGAACCCAGGAGGCGGAGGTTGCGGTGAGCCGAGATCGCGCCATTGCACTCCAGCCTGGGTAACAAGAGCGAAACTCCGTCTCAAAAAAAAAAAAAAATTACTATTTATTTCTTTTTCTTTTCTTTTTTTTCTTCATATGAGCTGTGGCTTTGTTGTATATAGATATATATTTTTTTATTTTTGAGACAGAGTCTTGCTCTGTTGCCAGGCTGGAGTGCAGTGGCGCAATCTTGGCTCACTGCAACTGCGATTTCCTGGTGATTCTTGTGCCTCAGCCTCTCGAGTATCCTGGGATTACAGGCATGTACCACCACACTCACCTAATTTTTGTATTTTTAGTAGAGACAGGATTTTACCATGTTGGCCAGGATGGTCTTGATCTTCTGAACTTGTGATCTGCCCACCTTGGCCTCCCAAAGTGCTAGGATTATAGGCATGAGCCACTGTGCCCGGCCAAAATTAACATTTTTAAAATTAATTAATTTATTTTTGGGAGACAGAGTCTCGCTGTGTCACTCAGGCTGGAGTGCAGTGTTTCAGTCTCGGCTTATAGCACCTCTGCCTCCTGGGTTCAAGCAATTCTTGTGCCTCCTGAATAGCTGGGATTATAGGCTCCTGCCACCATATCAGGCTAATTTTTTGTATTTTAGTAGAATACATACAGGGTTTTATCATGTTACCCAGGGTGGTCTTGAATTCCTAAAGCTCAGGCAACATGCCCTCCTTGGCCTCCCAAAGTGCTAGGATTATAGGCATGAACTACAATGCCCGGCCAATGATAACATCAAAAATTAGCTGAGAACAATACAATACAAATCAACTAATTACAAGCTAAAATCATGCTACTCGCTTTTAGGAGGCAAAGAAAGAAAAAAGTATAAGTGGAAATTAGGGTAAGTAAGTCAACTTCAGAAGAACAAGTAAAAATTATATTAGAATAAACACCATTTAAGAGGGAGAGCATCTGGCTTTTTTTTTTTTTTTTTTGGAGGCAGGGTCTTGCTATGTTGCCCCATCTGGAGCACAGTGGTGCAGTGATAGCTCCCTGTAACCTCAAATCCTGGGCCTTAAGGCATCCTCCTAGCTCAGCCTCCCAAGTAACTAAGACTACCAGCTTGCACCATCACCCCTTGTTCCTTTGTCTTTTTAATGCTATCTTCACCTACTCCACCTAAAAAGGTTTATGAAATGTTGAGGTGAGAAAATCATCTAATGAACTGTAGAACCATATGTTTATAATTTTATGGTGACAATTACTACTTCTGTCAAATTGATTTACAAAGTCAGGGCATTTTAATTTTCTATTTATAGTTGATCAATTTATATGGTATTAATGGTCAACTATATAAAATGTCATCAGGAATTTCTTTTTTTTTTTTTTGAGACGGAGTTTCGCTCTTGTTACCCAGGCTGGAGTGCAATGGCGCGATCTCGGCTCACCGCAACCTCCGCCTCCTGGGTTCAGGCAATTCTCCTGCCTCAGCCTCCTGAATAGCTGGGATTACAGGCACGCGCCACCATGCCCAGCTAATTTTTTGTATTTTTAGTAGAGACGGGGTTTCACCCTGTTGACCAGGTTGGTCTCGATCTCTTGACCTCGTGATCCACCCGCCTTGGCCTCCCAAAGTGCTGGGATTACAAGCTTGAGCCACCGCGCCCGGCCTAGGAATTTCATCCACAATTATGAGTCTGATTTTTCATAGTAAAAAATGCAAAACTGAAATCATGTCAGAAATAAAAAGGCCTTAGCAATTATCTAGTTTAACTCTGTGACTTAACAAATGAGTAAATTGGATCTGAGCTTTGATTTAAAAGAGGGAAATGCCTATATAGTATATGTTTAATTCATGAAGTTGTCCAACTAAAAAGAATATAATAAGATGCTGAATTCTATAACAGATTATGATTGAGAATGGGCAAATTGTGGAGCAGTATTTGTGATTCTTCCAGGAAAACCTCAAATGCATTCTGAAGGGGAGATACCTTCACTGCCACTAGGCAGCCAATCTGTAAAACCAGGAACCCAGCCCAGGAAATCAACCCAGCTAGATGTTTGTGCCTTTTCTCAAGAAAAGCCACCTAGGACTCTGATTCACCAACCTGACGAAGAGATAGAAGATGGTGGACTCTTTATTCCAATGGGTAGGCTTTCTTTTTCTTTTTAATTAAATAAAATCTATTGAAGTATAATATGTGGAAAACTGCACCTATCCTAAGATAGCCTGAATTCACTATATTATCACAAATTTAATACACCCTTGTAAGCAGGACCCAGATCAAGATACAGAATCTAATCAGTACCCAGGAGTCCATCTTGTTTTCCCTTCCAATTACCCCCTACCTGTAGGTTAACCACTATCCTGATGTCTAACAGCATATATTGGTTCAATTGTTTTGTCCTTTTTTTTTTTTTTTTTTTTTTTTTTTTTTGAGATGGAGTTTCACTCTTATCGCCCAGGCTGGAGTGCAATAGCATGATCATGGCTCATTGCAACCTCCGCCTCCTGGGTCAAGCGATTCTCCTGCCTCAGCCTCCAGAGTAGCTGGGATTATAGGTGCCCACCACCACACCACACCTGGCTAATTTTTGTATTATTGTTAGAGATGGGGTTTTGCCATGTTGGCCAGGCTGGTCTTGAACTCCTGACCTCAGGTGATCTGCCTGCCTCGGCCTCCCAAAGTGTTGGGATTACTGGTGTGAGCCACTGTGCCTGGCATTGTAACGACATTTATTCTGTCAACGTTGTGTTTTTTTTTTTTTTTTTTTTTTTGAGACAGAATCTTACTGTGTCACCCAGACTGGAGTGCAGTAATGCAGTCTCAGCTTACTGCAGCATTCCCCTCCTGGATTCCAGTGATTCTCAGCCTCCGGGGTTGCTGGGATTACAGGCACGTGCCACCATGCCCAGCCTCAACGTTGTTTTATATTTATGAAATTCATCCATAGTCCTGGATGTACTTGTAGATTGTTCATTTTCATTGCTCTGTATCATTCTGTTTATTTTGTGTATCTTTTCTTTTCTTTAATTTTGTTTCTTTCTTTTCTTTTTTTTTTAAAGAAATAGTGTCGTAGGCTGTGCGATGTGGCTCACTCCTATAATCCTAGCACTTTGGGAGGCAGAGGCAGGTGGATCACCTGAGGTCTGGAGTTCAAGACCAGCCTGACCAATAAGGTGAAACCCTGTCTCAACTAAAAATACAAAAAATTAGCTGGGCGTGGTGGTGGATTCCGGTAATCCCAGCTACTCTCAGGAGGTTGAGGCAGGAGAATTGCTTAAGCTTGAGGCACAGGTTGCAGTGAGCCAAGATAGTGCCACTGCACTCTAGCCTGGGAGACACCGTGAGACTCCATCTAAAAAAAAAAAGAAATAGTGTCTTGCTCTGTCACCCAGGCTAGAAGTTCAGTGCCACAATCATAGCTCACTGCAACCTTGAACTCCTAGGTTCAAGTGATCTTCCAACCTCAGCCTCCCCAGTAGCTAGGACCACAAGTGCATGCCACGATGCCTGGCTAATTTTCATTTTGATTTTATGATGATGATGATGATGATGATTATTATTATTTTTGAGACCAAGTTTGTTACCCAGGCTGGAGTGCAATGGTGCGATCTCAGCTCACCGCAACCTCTGCCTCCTGGGTTCAGGCAATTCTCCTGCCTCAGCCTCCTGAGTAGCTGGGATTACAGGCACACGCCACCATGCCCAGCTAATTTTTTGTACTTTTAGTAGAGACGGGGTTTCACCATGTTGACCAGGATGGTCTCGATCTCTTGACCTCGTGATCCACCCGCCTCAGCCTCCCAAAGTGCTGGGATTACAGGCTTGAGCCACCGCGCCCGGCGATTATTATTTTTTTAGAGACAGTTCTCAATATGTTGCCCAGGCTGGTCTTGTATTTCTGGGCTTAAGCAATCCTTCCTCCTTGATCTCCCAAAGTGCTGAGATTACAGGCAGGAACCTCCTCATCTGGCCTGCTTTACCTTTTCTTTATCCATTGAATTCTTTTTTGTTGTTGTTTTTTCTTTTTGCTACTTTGTGCCCATTGTTACTCATTCAAATCTTTCTTGTTTTTTTTTTGAGATGCAGTGTTGAACTCTCATTGCCCACGCTGGAGTGCAGTGGTGCAGTCTTGGTTCACTGCGACCTCTGCCTCCTAGGTGCAAGCGATTCTCCTGCCTCAGTTTCCCAAGCAGATGGGACTGCAGGCATGCACTGCCATGCCTGGTTAATTTTTGTATTCTTTCTTAAGTAGAGACGGGGTTTCACCATGTTGCGCAGGCTGGTCTCGAACTCCTGACTTCAAATGATTCACCTGCATTGGCTTCCCAAAGTGCTGGAATCACAGGTGTGAATCACTGCGCCCTGCCCCATTCAATTTTTGTATTTTTAGTAGGGATTTTTAGTTTTAACATGTTGGCCAGGCTGATCTTGAACTCCTGACCTTGTGATCTGCCCACCTCAGCCTCTGAAAGTGCTGGGACTATAGGCCTGGGCCTGGCCAAGTTACATTTTTAAAAACTAAATGTTATTTATTGAGGTATAAAATAAAATGTATCTGATGAGTTTAGAAAAATATACACAGTTGTTAACTGCTACCACAATCAATGTGGAACATTTCTGTCACCCCAAAAGTTGCCTAATTCCCCTTTGCGATAGCAAATTCCTCGTTCTCAAACATTGGCAACCACTGATTTCATTTCTGTGTTTTACATTTTTGCATCTTCCACAATGTTCTATACTGTGTATACCGTCGTATAACACGTGTCCTTTTTCATGTGTTTTCTTGCACTTAGCATAATGCTTTTGAGATTTATCCACTTTACTGTTGGCTTTCTGGCCTAAGTTTCTGGAGCAGCTGTTTTGGAATTCTGGTGATGTTCTTGGTGTATTTGCAGAAGAACAAGACAATGAAGACAGTGAGAAAAGGAGAAAAAAGAAAAAGGGTACCAAGAGGAAACGAGATGGAAGGGGTCAAGAGGGGAACTTGGCTTGTGACCTGAAACTGGATGACATGCTGGACCGTACCTTGGAGGATGGTGCCAAGCAGCACAATCTAACAGCGGTCAATGTCCGAAACATTCTTCACGTAAGACTGGGCAGCTGTGTAAATGGAAGGGAAATTTTCGTGGAAAGTGTATAAAAATACTTAGCAAATTCTTTTTCTTTTTTCTTTTCTTTTTCTTTTTTTTTTTTTTTTTTTTTGAGACGGAGGTTCACTCTTTGTTACCCAGGCTGGAGTGCAATGGCGTGATCTCAGCTTACTGCAACCTCCGCCTCCTGGGTTCAGGCAATTCTGCCTCAGCCTCCTGAGTAGCTGGGATTACAGGCACGTGCCACCATGCCCAGCTAAATTTGTTTTTTTGTGTTTTTAGTAGAGACAGGGTTTCACCATGTTGACCAGGATGGTCTCGATCTCTTCACCTCGTGATCCACCCGCCTCAGCCTCCCAAAGTGCTGGGATTACAGGCGTGAGCCACCGCACCCGGCCTATGTAGCAAATTCTTAACTTTTGGTATATGAATTACCAATTTTGTGGGTTACCTGTGACAAAACATTTTACATTTTTACGTATTTAAGATAGCTTTCTCCTTGTACTCAGTACAAGTTTGAAATATGAGCACATGTTAAAGAAGAATTTAATTGGGAAGATAAACTGTTCCTGTTTCTGTCCACTGATTTGCATATTAACTGTATTATTTAGCAAATTCAGTGATGATAATGTTCATGGTGGGTTTACTCTTTTGTGGGTTGATGTATAAAAAGATGCCCAGTTAATAGTTTATTGCACTTTGTACATATGTAAATACTCATCTTGAACAGCTATTTGCAGAGCCTTTGCTTTTTGTTACTCTTTCTCATAAGCATATAATTACCTCAGTATCTCCTTTTATGTGAGCCATTGTTCCTAGTAGCAGCTAATGGGATTGGTTCATTTGCTGCTACGTTGTTTGAAGCTCTGTGCTTCTGGCCAAAACTTACTTCTGCCTTCTCTGCTTTCAGTTGCCTTGCTTTATCCCAGTCTGATGCTGTTCAAGTATACGGTTCTCATTTGTCCTGTAAATAGGTCTAGCAGAGTTAGATGAAGAGATGAATATTGTCTAGGTGACAAACCCTTGTTGCATAAAGTGAAATTTCATCTTTCTTCAGGAAGTGATCACAAATGAACATGTGGTAGCTATGATGAAAGCAGCCATCAGTGAGACAGAAGATATGCCAATGTTTGTGAGTAGTTGATTGTCGCTCTTTTAATGTCTTGGGAGTAGAGTTATCTGTAAACTGGCTAAGGGCAGGAGATCACTTGGGAGTTTGTAAACGATTTGGCAGCTGGAGTTAAAGTTAGCATTTCAAAACACAAGAATTACATGGTAATTTTTACTTATTTATTATTTTATTATTTTTATTTTTATTTTTATTTTTTGAGACAGTGTTTCACTCTTGTTGCCCAGGCTGAAGTGCAGTGGTGCAATCTTGGCTCACTGCAACCTCCGCCTCTTGGGTTCAAGCGTTTCTCCTACCTCGGCATCCCAAGTAGCTGGGATTACAGGCATGCACCTCCACACCCAGCTAATTTTGTATTTTTAGTAGAGATGGAGTTTTACCATGTTAGTCAGGCTGGTCTCGATCTTCTGACCTCAGGTGATCTGTCCGTCTTGGCCTCCCAAAGTACTGGGATTATAGGTGTGAGCCACCGCACCTGGCCATATTTTATTATTATTATTATTTATTTTATTTTATTTTTTTGAGATCGAGTCTTGCTCTGTCACCCAGGCTGGAGTGCAGTGGTGTGATCTTGGCTCACTGCAACCTCTACCTCCTGGGTTCAAGCGATTATCTTGCCTCAGCCTCCCGAGTAGTTGGGACTACAGATGTGTGCCACCACGCCTGGCTAATTTTTGTATTTTTTTTTTTTTAAGTAGAGACAGAGTTTTGCCATGTTGGCCAGGCCGGTCTCCATCTCTGTTCTCGAACTCCTGACCCCAGGTGATCCACCCGCCTTGGCCTCCCAAAGTGCTAGGATTGCAGGCGTGAGCCACTGTGCGCGGTCAATTATTTTATTATTATTGTTTTTTTAGAGACAGGGTCTTGCTCTGTCACCCAGACTGGACTCAGACTCCTAAGCTGGACTCAGTGATCCTCCCAGTTCAGCCTCCTGAGTAGGTGGGACTACAGGAGCATGCTACTATGCCCAGCTATTTAAAACAATTTTTTGGGGGGTAGGGGTGGGTCCCACTATGTTGCCCAGGATGGTCTTGAACTCCTGGCCTCAAGCCATCTTCCCACCTTGGCCTCCTAAAATGCTAGGATTACAGGCACAAGCCACCTTGCTAAACTGAGAATTTTTTATTTTTTTAGACATAGTCTTGCTCTGTAGCCCAGGCTGGAGTGCAGTGGTGTGATTTCGGCTCACTGCTACCTCCACTTTCCGGGTCCTGGTTCAAGTAATTATCCTGCCTCAGCCTCCGGAGTAGCTGGGATTATAGGAACGTGCCACCATACCCAGCTAATTTTTGTATTTTTAGTAGAGACGGGGTTTCACCATGTTGGCCTGGCTGGTCTTGAACTCCTGACCTCGTAATTTGCCTGCCTCGGTCTCCCAAAGTGCTGGGATTACAGGTGAGAACCACCACACCTGGTCTGAGATATTTTATATTTTTGAGATGGAGTCTCGCACTCTTGCCTAGCCTGGAGTGCAGTGATGTCATCTCAGCTCACGACAACCTCCGCCTCTTGGGTTCAAGCAGTTCTCCTGCTCAGCCTGCTGAGTAGCTGGAACTACAGGTGCATGCCACGACACCCAGCTAATTTTTGTATTTTTATTAGAGATGGGGTTTCACCATGTTGGCCAGGTTGGTCTCAAACTCCTGACCTCGTGCACCTGCCTTGGCTTCCCGAAGTGTTAGGATTATAGGTGTGAGCCACCACGCCTGGCCTGAGCCGTGATTTTTATTGACTATTTCCTTTTTGTTATTTTCTCCTTAGGAGCCTAAAATGACACGCTCTAAACTGAAGGAAGTAGTGGAAAAAGGAGTGGTAAGTATTCTGTTTTTTTGTCTTTTTTTTTTAGCTTGGTAAATAGGTTCTAATTCACTCATAGGGAAAAATATAGGAAAGATTGTGGTCTGAATTTGCATCTTTAAAGAAATATTTGTAAAAGACAAGTAGAATTGTTTCTACCTGATCATAAGGTAAAAATGATAATAGTTTATTTTAGTTGGTATGAAGCATTGCTTTTTGGAATTGCTAGATTGATAACCGTTGGAATGGTTGAAACCAATGGACGAGACCAGGTTTTCTATTTCTGTTACAACACGTGTTACAAAGTGTTTAGTATTTTTCATAGCGTGTTCCAGGGATGAGCTGCATAAAAATCACCTTGGCGTGGGATCCCTCAGGAGTGCTTATTAAAAATGCATGCTTTTGGCCAGGCGCAGTGGCTCATGCCTGTAATTCCATCACTTTTGGGAGGCCGAGGTTGGGTGGATCACTTGAGTTCAGGAGTTTGAGACCAGCCTGGCCAACATAATGATAACCCGTCTCTACTAAAAATAGCAAAAATTAGCTGAGTGTGGTGTCAGGCGCCTGTGGTCCCAGCTACTTGGGAGGCTGAGGTATGAGAATCACTTGACCTGGGAGGCAGAGGTTGCAGTGAGCGGAGATTGCACCACTGCACTGCAGCCTGGGCAACAGAGTGAGACTGTCTCAAAAAAAAAAAAACAGAACAAAAAAAATTCTCTTACTTTTGGGCCCACCTGAGAATCAGGACCCATGGGCAGGGCGTTGGAATATGCATTGGCAAAAAGACAACAGTTAATTCTTTTGAATACTAACGTGTGAGAACCACTTAAAGACGTCTGAAGTATTATGGTACAGCAAGCTCTTTGGTGCTTGGAGTGATGCTACATCCTTCCTTTTTTTTTGAGATGGAGTTTCACTCTTGTTGCCCAGGCTGGAGGGCAATGGCATAATCTTGGCTCGCTGCAACCTCCACCTCCTGGGTTCAAGCGATTCTCCTGCGTCAGCCTCCTGAGCAGCTGGGATTATAGGCATGTACCACCACACTCAGCTAATTTTGTATTTTCAGTAGAGATGGCGTTTCTCTATGTTGTTCAGGCTGGTCTCGAACTCCTGACCTGAGGTGATCCACCTGCCTTGGCCTCCCAAAGTGCTGGGATTACAGGTGTGAGCCACAATGCCTGGCCACTTTATACTTTTTTTTTTTTTTTTTTTTTTTTGAGATGGAGTTTCGCTCTTGTTACCCAGGTTGGAGTGCAATGGCACGATCTCGGCTCACCGCAACCTCTGCCTCCTGGGGTCAGGCAATTCTCCTGCCTCAGCCTCCTGAGTAGCTGGGATCACAGGCACGAGCCACCATGCCCAGCTGATTTTTTGTATTTTTAATAGAGACGGGGTTTCACTGTCTTGACCAGGATGGTCTCGATCTCTTGACCTCGTGATCCACCCGCCTCGGGCTCCCAAAGTGTTGGGATTACAGGCGTGAGCCACCGCGCCCAACCACTTTATACTTTTTAATAAGCACTTGGCTAGTTTGTGCTTACAAGGCAGGTAATAGTTATGAGGGAATTCATTGTATTTCTGATAGTAAGGAAGATTTGCCTTACAGACCCAAAATATGTATCGTAGGTTTTATCCGTCCTGATTTCATTCCTTGGAGCCTGGTAGAAGAAACAGGTCTAGGTTGGGCATGGTGGCTCATGCTTGTAATGCTAGCACTTTGGGAGGTGGAGGTAGGAAGATCACTTGAAGCCAGGAGTTCAAGACTAGCCTGGGCAACATATAAAGACCATCTCAAAAAAAAAAAAAAAAACAAGTAAAGAGATGTGTTTTCTTTCACATAACTTTTCCTATAGTTGAAAACTAGTATGTCATTTCGTAACATTCTTTTCTTGGCTATACATCCTCCAGTTTCCCTTCTTGTTTTTTTTTGTTGTTGTTGTTTAGATGGAATCTTGCTTTGTTGTCCAGGCTGGAGTGCAGTGGCGAGATCTCAGCTCATTGCAACCTCTGCCTCCTGGGTTCAAGCAGTTCAGCTTCCTGAGTAGCTGGGATTATAGGCGTATGCCATGCTTCCTGGCTAATATTTATTTTTTATTTTTAGTAGAGATGGGGTTTCACCATGTTGGACAGCCTGGTTTCAAACTCCTGACCTCAAGTGATTTGTCCTGCTCAGTCTTCCAAAGTGCTGGGATTACACACGTCAGCCACTGCACCTGGCCTTTTTTTTTTGAGATGGAGTCTCACTCTGTCACCCAGGCTGGAGTTCGGTGGTGTGATCTCAGCTCACTGCAACCTCTGTTTCCCAGGTTCAAGTAATTCTCATGCCTCAGCCTGCTGAGTAGCTGGCATTATAGGTGTGCACCATCACACCTGGCTAATTTTTGTGTTTTTAGTGGAGATAGGGTTTTGCCATGTTGGCCAGGCTGGTCTCGAAACTGGCCCATGTGATCACCAGTCTTAGCCTCCCAAAGTACTGGGATTACAGGCATGAGCCACTGCTCCTGGCTCATATCCTTTTAAAAGTATGCCAAAAGAGGCCAGACGTGGCGGCACACGCCTGTAATCCCTGTACTTTGGGAGGCCCAGGCAGGCAGATCATGAGGTCAAGTGATCAAGACCATCCCGGCCAATACAGTGAAATTCTGACTCTACTAAAAATACAAAAATCAGCTGGTTGTGGTGGTGCACACCTGCAGTCCCAGCTACTCTGGAGGCTGAGGCAGGAGAATTGCTTGAACCCAGGAGGTGGAAGTTGCAATGCGCCGAGATTGCGCCACTGCACTCCACCCTGGCAACTGAGTGAGACTCCTTCTCAAAAAAAAGTATACCGAAAGAAGAATCTACTGAACCAGATGTGGTTTGACAAGTGTAGTTAGATTGACTCCCCGGTGTTCCAGATTACATATTTCTCCTAATGTAGCCAAAGGTCAAATGTACCTTTTTTTTTTTTGGCAATCACATCACCTTTTTTTTGTCTGGTTCGCTAACACTTGCTGCATAAATTGAAATTTCATCTTTCTTCAGGATGTAATCACAAATGAACAGGTGGTAGCTATGATGAAAGCAGCCATTAATGAGAGAGAAGTTCTATAAAGTCTACTTGACATATAGAATATAATTAACATGGCCAGGTGTGGTGGCTCACGCCTGTAATCCCAGCACTTTGAGAGGCCAAGGAGGGCGGATCACCTGAGGTCAGGAGTTTGAGACCAGCCTAGCCAACATTTTGAAACCCCCATCTATACTAAAAATACAAAAATTAGCCAGGTGTGGTGGTGCATGTCTATAATCCCAGCAACTAGGGAGGCTGAGATGGGAAAATTGCTTGAACTTGGGAGGCAGAGGTTGCAGTGAGCAGAGATCACGCCACTGCACTCTAGCCTGGGTGACAGAGCAAGACTCTGTCTCAAAAACAAACTAAAGAATATAATTAACATTAATTCTGTATTTGATTTGGGAAAAACATCCAAGGAGATCCAGTAGGCTCTGGATTATGTTTATTGGCTATGAATATGTATGTAGAGAAGTTGGACCATCCAATACTATATAGTTTATGTAGGAGAACAAGTATTAAAATCTAGGTTTCTTGCATCTTAATTCTTTTTTTTTTTTTTTTTTGAGACTTGCTCTGTTGCTTATACTAGAAAACAGTGGCCTGATCATAGCTTACTGCAGCTTTGAACTGCTGTGCTCAAGGGATTCTCCTGCCTCAGTCTTACAAGCAGCTAGGCCTACAGGCATGTGCCACCATGCCCAGCTAATGGTTTTGAAAAAATCTTTTCTGTAGAAATGGGGTCTGTGTTGCCCAAGCTCATCTTAAAACTGTTTGGGCTCAGGTGATCCTTCCACCTTGATCTCCCTACGTGCGGGGATTACAGGCACTAGTCACTATACTTGGCCTTCTTAATTCTTAATAGACTGACTCCAACACACTTCTGAATACTGGCTTGCCTTTCTGATGGATTTGGCAGTAGGTAGTTAGGAAAGGGAAATGGACCTGAATTACATCATTCCCTGTACCCTGTATTGGTCCCACTTACACAGCACTAGATAAATGGTCAGAACATAGCAGGGCTGAGTTGATATGAGAGGCTAAGACTCCTTATAAAGACAGAATCTAATGGCCAGTTGGCTTTTGTTTGTAAGGTGATTTTGGCTGGGTTACAATGAAATGGTCAAGAAATTATACATTCTCAGTGGCATTTTATCAGCAGTATATAAGAACTTTAGCTGGGCTCAGTGGCTCACAGCTATAATCCCAGCACTTTGGGAGGCCAAGGTGAGCAGATCACTTGAGGTCAGGAGTTTGAGACCAGCCTGGCCAACATGGCAAAACCCATCTGTACTAAAAATACAAAAATTAGCTGGAGGTGGTGGTGGCAGTGGGGGAGCGCCTGTAATCTCAGCTACTTGGGAGGCTGAGGCAGGGAGAATTGCTTGAATCCAGGAGGCAGAGGTTGCAGTGAGCTGAGATCATGCCATTGTTCCAGCCTGGGTGACAGAGTAAGACTCCATCTCAAAAAAAAACAAAACAAAACTTTAGGCAGAGCAAGCCTATCCCATAGGCAGAAGAGACCATAGAAACTTATCCTGGCTGGCTTTTTGGAGTTGTACTTACAGTAGATTCATGTAACTGATTACAAAAACATATTGCTGTTAAAAGACTACTGTAACCTATATCTTAGGTTTGTGTAGTTTAATAGTTTATAAATAGTTTTCACAACTATTGTTCTGTGTAAACCACTGCTGTGATATGAATAATGTAGACATTGTTTTCTTCATTTATAGAAAGAAGTGAGGCTTACCAGGTTTAAGGTAGAAATGCTAATGACATTAGTAGATTCTTCGCTCTTTTTCTTCTTTGTAACTCTGACAAATAATTGAGAGTATTCCCTCATGGATAATCAACACTTCTAGATCACCGCAGTTACTTGTTAAGTATATGGCTGTTAGTGATGGTACAGAGGAAGTTAACATGAAAAACAGTTATTTCAGTTAAGATAACTTAATTATTTATATTCTTTGTTGGTAGGTAATTCCAACATGGAATATTTCACCAATTAAGAAGGCCAATGAAATTAAGGTAAACTTGGAAGAGATAATTGTTATTCTTTTCCAGAAAGACTTCATCGGTTTTGAAACTTAAGTACTTCCTCTTTAACTTTTCTTGATCAATCTTTGTTTTAATTCCAGCTTTGTTTTTTTCCATTCTATTACTCTTAGGTTTGCATCTCATGGAATCACTTTAACCTCTGCCTTGTGTTATTTGCTTTAGCTGCACATTATGCTCTTAGGATTTTTTTTCCCCTGCCCTGCTTCTTTCCCTTATTTTCCAAATATATATGATTTGTGTTTCCCATTACTTCATTTCTTTCTAATTGTACTAATGTAGCCTCCTCAGTTTGTGGATATCCACCTTGAAGAAGATGATTCCTCAGATGAAGAATATCAACCAGATGATGAAGAAGAAGATGAAACTGCTGAAGAGGTCAGTGAGTGTTAGTTGGTAATATTTGTCTTAATAAAGCAGGGTATACTTTGTTTCCTTAGTAATGTCACTTGTAGAGAGGATTGAGATGTGGTTCTTTTTTCAGCTCATTTCTATGCTTTAAACTTTTTCTACCCTTTATAATCCCTTAATTTTAAAATTTGTTGTATTATGAAATATAGCACAGAAATGTGCATAGAATAAAAATGTATAACTTTAGTTATTATAATGCAACTCCTTATGAAACTTACAGCAAAGTCAAGAAATATAACATTCCTAAGACACCCCCTGTATACCCTCGCCCGTCACAGGCACCTCCCTCCCCCTAAAAATAACCACCACCTGCCTTTTGGTAATTATTTATTTGCTTTTCTTTATAGTTACGTCACCTCAATATGTATCTCTACACACTATAATTCAATTGTTACTGTTTCTGAACATTACGTAAATGGACTTGTGTTTATATGTTTTGTTCCCGGCTTTTTAAAATTCAACATTATACTTTTGAGATTCATTTATACTATTGCTTTTAGGTATACTTTATTCACTTTCATTGCTGTGTTAATAAGTTGTTTGACTTGTTTCTTAATTTGTTCTTTGAATTGTTTGGTAAAAGGATTTTAGGTCTAGGTCTTACATTTTGTAATGCAAATTAGGATAGTGATCTGATGCATGTCTCCACCTTTAGGATATATATATTTTTTCTTTTTGAGACAGTCTCTGCTGTTGCCCAGGGTGGAGTGCAATGCATGATCTTGGCTCACTGCGACCTCCACCTTCTGGGTTCAAGCAATTCTCCTGCCTCAGCCTCCTGAGTAGCTGGAATTACAGGCATGTGCTACCACACCTGGCTAATTTTTGTATTTTTAGTAGAGACGGGTGTTTCGCCATGTTGGCCAGGCTGGTCTCGAACTTCTGACCTCAAGTGATCCACCTGCCTTGACCTTCCAAAGTGCTAGGATTACAGGCATGAGACACTGCGCTCAGCCTTTAAGCTTCTATTTAAATTTTATTTTCTGTTACTGTAACTAGTTGAATGATTGATATTTTATGATTCCTTCTCTTGAGATACTTCAGACTTTGTGGAATGAGGTAGGGACATAAATATTAAAGTGAACTGGATTTATTTTGTAGAGCTTACTGGAAAGTGATGTTGAAAGCACTGCTTCATCTCCACGAGGGGCAAAGAAATCCAGATTGAGACAGTCTTCTGAGATGACTGAAACAGATGAGGAAAGCGGCATATTATCAGAGGTACATTGGCATCATACAAAAGAGATAAGTTAGACATAACTGTGTGAATAGATTATTTAACTGTTTAAGTAGATTATCCATGGTGATTCTGGGCTGTTACCCTTCTTCAAAGTTCATTAAGTTAGTAAATAGTTTAGAGAAAGCTAGAACTAAATGATAGCTAAAGAACTTTTCTGAGTTCTCATTAAGGGGCCAAAAATGTGCAACTAGCAGAGTTTCTTTTCTCCTTCCCTTCTCTTCTTTCATATCTGTTGTTTTGTTTTCTGATATTGTCCTAAAGTCATTGTCATTAATTTCCCACATTTTGGTAACCTAAGTAGCATTCTGTTGACTTCACTAGAAATAGGATGAAACCTAATTAGATCAATACACTTGGTATCTTTGTTTTTATGTACCCCTGTCTAGAGAAGAAAAAGGACGATGGTGTATGGAAGGTCTACCTCTTTTTCCCTCTCTTTTTTTTTTTTCCCTTTTCTTGCTTTTTCTTTCTTTCTTCCCTCCTTCCTTTTTGATGCAGTTACCTCTTTTAATCAGGCTGAGAAAGTCACCACACCATCCATCAGGCACATCAGTGCTGAGGTAGTGCCTATGGGGCCCCCGCCCCCTCCAAAGCCGAAACAGACCAGAGATAGTACTTTTATGGAGAAGTTACATGCGGTAGATGAGGAGCTGGCTTCCAGTCCAGTCTGCATGGATTCTTTCCAGGTAAATATTATAACTGTACTTTACTAAGAAAGTCAGATGGAGTAATCTAGTTGTTGCTAAGGCTGGGAAGGGAGAGGAAAAGACAACTACAGTTTTATATAAGTAAGAGTTAGTCTTTGATACTTTATATTTGGCTAGTGCTATTTTCTGCTAAGTGACAATGGCAGTTTGAGTTTTTGTTGTTGTTGTTTTTTTGAGACAGGGTCTCACTCTGTCACCCGGGCTGGAGTATGGTGTTGTGATCTTGGCCCACTGCAACCTGCGCCTCCCGGGCTCAAGTGATCTTCCCACCTCAGCTTCCCCAGTAGTTGGGACTACAGGTATATGCCACCACACCTGGCTAATTTTTAAATTTTTTGTAGAGATGAGGTCTCCTTATGTTATTGCCTAGGCTGGTATCAAACTCCTGGGCTCAAGTGATCCTCCCACCTTAGCCTCTCAAAGTGCTGGGATTACTGATGTGACCCACTATGCCTGGCTGAGAATGGCATTATCTAAGGAAGAAATGAACTATATAGCAGAGAGCCTTTTAAAATGTAGAACATAGGAAAAACCTTCACCCAGATGCCCGAAAATTAACCTTTTACCACAATTGCTTGATTGTTTTGTTCCTCTTTCTCTCTGTATACACATACTGTTTTGTGAAGTGCATTGCAGGCATGATGCTGTTTTACTTCTATATGCTTTTGTGTATGTTTCCTAAAAATGAGTTTATTCTCTTGTATTAACACAGTATAATACACAATATAATCCCAGCTACGTGGGAGGCTGAGGCAGGAGAATTGCTTGAATCTGGGAAACAGAGGTTATAGTAGGCTGAGATTGCACCACTGCTCTCCCACCTGGGCAACAGAGATTCTGTCTCAATTTAAAAAAAAAAAAAAAAAGGTTACAGTAATATTCAGTAATATTATATAATACATTAAAGTGCTTATTGTGATTTTGCCTGTTGTCCCAATAATGCCCTTTATGTTGAAGGAAAAACATTTTTTTCCCCTATTCAGCATTCAACCCTGGATTAAATATGCATTTCATTACCTTGTTCTTTAGTCTTTTTTAATCTGGAACAGTTTCTCAGTCTTTCTTTGTCTTTTATAACTTGACAGTTTTGAGGCTTATACACCACTTATTTTGTAGAATTTTCTTCAATTTTTATTTTTCTAATATTTCCTCATAATTAGATTTAGGTTTTGCACTTTTGTTACAAATACCAGAGGGGGATGTGTGCTTCTCAGTGTATCAGATCAGAAGGCACATGATGTCTCTCATGTTAATTTTCATCACTTGGTTAAGGTGATGTCTGCTTGGTTTTCCCACTGTAAAGTTACTATTTTCCATTTTTAATTAGTATATATCTTGCGGGGATATACTTCAAAGACAAATTTCTTTCTTTCTTTCTTTTTTTGAGACAGTCTTGCTCTGTTGCCCAGCTGGAGAGCAGTGGCGTCATCTTGGCCCACTGCAACCTCCGCCTCTCAGATTTAAGCGATCTCCTGCGTCAGCCTCATGAGTAGCTGGAATTACAGGTGCTGACACCACACTCAGCTAATTTTTTGTATTTTGTAGAGACGGGATTTTCCCATGTTGGCCAGGTTGGTCTCCCGACTCAAGTGATCCGCCCACCCCTGCCTCCCAGAGTGCTGTGATTACAGATGTGAGCTACCACGCCCAGCCCAATTAATCAAATTTCCTTTCTTAAACTAATATTAGCATCCATTGATTATTCTTTCTTGAAACAGTCATTACTATGGTCGTTGTCAAATAACGACTTTGTAATTCTCACATTTAGCCAGTAATTTTTTTTTTCAAGACAGAGTTGCAGTCTGTCATATAGGCTGGAGTGCAGTGGCATGATCTTAGCTGATTGCAACATATGCCTCCTGAGTTCAAGCGATTCTCATGCCTTACCCTCTTGAGTAGCTGGGACCACGGACATGCACCACCACACTCAGCTAATTTTTTTTGTATTTTTTAGTAGAGACAGGGTTTCACTGTTGGCCAGGCTGGTCTTGAACTGGTCTCAGGTGATCCACCCTCATCAACCTCCCAAAGTGTTGGGATTGCAGGTGTGAGCCATTGCGCCTGGCCTTAGCCAATAAATTTTTATGTTCCAAATTTTCCCTACCACTCTTGCAGGTCAACGAAAAATATGTCTGTCCTAAAATTTTAAAGAATGATGTAATAATTTAAAAATAAATCCTAAAATTAAAAAATATAATTAAGGCTGGGTGCAGTGGCCCACACCTGTAATCCTGGCACTTTGGGAGGCCGAGGCAGGCGGATCACCTAAGGTCCAGAGTTTTAGACCAGCTTGGCCAACATGATAAAACTCTGTCTCCACTAAAAATATGAAAATTAGCTAGGTGTGGTGGCAAGCGCCTGTAATCCCAGCTACTCGGGAGGCTGAGGCATGAGAATTGCTTGGACCTGCGGACAGATGCCAGCCTTGGTGACAGAGTGAGACTCCATATCAAAATATGTTTTATTTATACACACACAGACACACCACACACACACACACACACACACACACACACACACACACATAATAAAATTAAAAATAGAATATTGAATGGAATAGCTCTGAGTCATTTAATCACCCTGATTTTGAATGAATAAATCGTAGTAGGGACAGTAATAGTTTTTTATCTATCCATTTATTTAACAAACACATACTGAATGGTTGAAGTTGAGAAACAACAGCATAGAAGACAGACGAAGTTGTTCTTCCTGGAACTTACAGTCTATTGAGGAGAGACAGACTATAAACATATAAACAAGTAAATTCAGATAGTGGTTAAGTGCTATCAACTAAATTAAAATGAGGAAATATGAAACTTTCTGTCCGAGAACTCTAGATAGGCTGATCAAAAAAGACCTCCTTGGCTGTAATTTCATCACTTTGGAAGGCCTAGGCTAGAAGATTGCTTGAGGCTAGAAGATTGAGACCAGCCTGGGCAATATAGTGAGACTCTGTCTCAAAAAATACAGAAAAATTAGCTAGGTGTGGTGGCACATGCTTGTATTCTTAGCTGCTTGGTGGCTGAGGCGGGAAGATTGATTAAGCCCAGGAGTTTGAGACTGCAGTGAGCTATGACCACCCCTGTACTCCAGCATGGGCAACAGTGTGAGAATCTTTTTAAAAACAAAAACAAGCTGGGCGTGGTGGCTCAAGCCTGTAATCCCAGCACTTTGGGAGGCCGAGGTGGGTGGATCACTAGGTCAAGAGATCAAGACCATCCTGGTCAACATGGTGAAACCCCGTCTCTACTAAAAATACAAAAATTAGCTGAGCATGGTGGCACGTGCCTGTAATCCCAGCTACTCAGGAGGCTGAGGCAGGAGAATTGCCTGAACCCAGCAGGTGGAGGTTGCGGTGAGCCAAGATCGCGCCATTGCACTCCAACCTGGGTAACAAGAGCGAAACTCCGTCTCAAAAAAAAAAAAAAAAAAAAAAAAATAGTAAAATAAAATAAAACAAAAACAAAATCAGGGTTGGGTGTGGTGGTTCATGTCTATAATCCCAACGCTTTAGGAGGCCAAGAACAGTGGATAAGTTGAGTGAGGCCAGGAGGTCAAGACAAGCCTGGGTAACATAGTGAGACCTTGTCCCTACAAAAAAATTTAAAACTTAGCTGGGCGTGCTGGCATGCACCTGCATTCCCAGCTACTGGTAGGCTAAGGTGAGAGGATCACTTGAGCCTAGGAGGTCGAAGCTGCAGCTAGCTGTGATCACACCATGGCACTCTAGCCTGGGTGACAGAGCAAGACTGTCAAAACACAAAATAAAAAGGTCTCTTTGAGGAGATGGCATTTGAACTGAGATCTGAATGAGAGGAAACCAGACATGTAAAAGATCTGGGGAGAAAAAGTGCCCCATGTGGAAGAAACAGCACATTCTGAGTCCCTAAGATAGCAACAATCTTGGCATGGTTAAGGAACAGAAACCACACGAAACATGGGATCATGGGAAAGAGAGGTAGAAATGAGGTCAGAGAGCAAGGCAAGAGCTAAATCATGAAGGTCTTAGGAAACCATGATAAGGAGTATAGATTTTATTTTAAACATTAGAAAAGATGCTGGGTGGAGTGGCTCATGCCTGCAATCCCAGCACTTTGGGAGGCTGAGGCAGGTGGATCACCTGAGGTCAGGAGTTTGAGACCAGCCTGGCCAATATGGTGAAACCCATTCTCTAACAAAAAATACAAAAAATTCACCTGATGTGGTGGCGCATACCTGTAATCCCAGTTACTTGGGAGTCTGAGGAAGGAGAATTGCTTGAACCTGGGGAGTGGAGCTTGCAGTGAGCTGAGATCATACCGCTGCACTCCAGCCTAGGCAAGAGTGAGACTCTATCCCAAAAAAAAAAATAAAAAAATTAGGGCCAGGAGGATGAATCATGAGATCAGGAGTTCAAGACCAGCCTGACCAATGTGGCGAAACCCCATCTCTACTAAAAATACAAAAATAACCTGGATGTGGTGCTATACGCCTGTAATCCCAGCCACTCAGGAGGCTGAAGCAGGAGAGTCGCTTGAACCCAGGAGGTGGAGGTTGCAGTAAGCCGAGATCGAGCCACTGCACTCCCGTCTGGGTGACAGCGAGATACTGTCTCAAAAAAACAAAATTAGAAAAGATTTCTTTGTTGTTTTCAGGTTAATGTTAAAAATTCCTTTTGGTTAATGTGTGGGAAATGGACTAGAGTAAAGCAAGAGGATAAACAGAAGCCCATTAAGAGGTTAATGCAGTGTTGTCTAGGGAGAACTTCCAAAATTGATCTACAGATTCAATACAGTCTCTATCCAAATCCCAGCTGTCATTTTTTATGGAAATTGACAATCGAATCCTAAGGAATTGCACAGGCCCAGAGTAGCCAAGACAGTTTTTAAAAAGTACAAAGATGGAAGTCTCACACTTTCTGATTTTATTTTCATTTCTTTAAAATAAATATTTTAAATGAGACGGGGCCTTGCTCTGTTGCCCAGGCTGGAGTGCAGTTGTGATCTCAGCTTACTGCAGCCTCATTCTCCTGTGTTCAGGTGGTCCTCTCACGTTGGCCTCTTGTGTAGCTGGAACTACCGGCATGCGCATGACAGTAGATGTCTGTAGTCCCAGTTACTTGGGAGGCTGAGGCAGGAGGATTGCTTGCGCTCAGGAGTTCAGAGTTTCAGTGAGCTCTGATTGTGCCACTGCTGTAGCTTAGGTGACAGATTGAGACCCTGTCTCTTGGGAAAAAAAAAAAAAAGGCTGGGCACTGTAGCTCACACCTGTAATCCCAACACTTTGGGAGGCCGAGGCAGGCAGATCACCTAAGGTCAAGAGTTCAAAACCAAGCCGGGCGCGGTGGCTCAAGCCTGTAATCTCAGCACTTTGGGAGGCCGAGGCGGGTGGATCACGAGGTCGAGAGATCGAGACCATACTGGTCAACATGGTGAAACCCCGTCTCTACTAAAAGTGCAAAAAATTAGCTGGGCATGGTGGCACGTGCCTGTAATCCCAGCTACTCAGGAGGCTGAGGCAGGAGAATTGCCTGAGCCCAGGAGGCGGAGGTTGCGGTGAGCCGAGATCGCGCCATTGCACTCCAGCCTGGGTAACAAGGGCGAAACTCCGTCTCAAAAAAAAAAAAAAAAAAAAAAAAGAGTTCAAAACCAGCCTGGCCAACATGGTGAAACCCTGTCTCTACGAAAAAATAAAAAGGTTAGTTGGGTGTGGTGGCTGATGCCTGTAATCCCAGCTACTTGGGAGGCTGAAGCAGGAGAATCACGTGAACCCAGGAGGTGGAGGTTGCAGTGAGCTGAGATCGCACCATTGCACTCCAGCCTGGATGTCAGAGCAAGACTCCGTCTCAAAAAAAAAAAAAGTATTGATAGATAGTACAACAGGGTGGGATTTGAATGCTTTATGCTAACTGAAAGCAGCCAGAGACAGGCTATACATTGTATGATTACATCTGTTAAATGTCCAGCAGAAACAAATCCATAGAGACAGAAAATAGATTAATGCTTAACAGGAGCTGGGAGGAGGGGGAAAGGGAAGCGACTGTTAATGGATATGGGCTTGCTTTCTGGGATAAAGAAATGTTCTGAAATTAGATAATGGTGATGGTTGCGTAACTCTGTTAATATACGAAAATCTATTCAATTATATACTTTAAAAGGGTGATCTTTATGGTATGTGAAGTATATCTCAGTAAAGCTGTTAAGGTTGGGCAGGTTGGCTCACGCTTGTAATCCCAGCACTTTGGGAGGCCAAGGTGGGTAGATCACAAGGTCAAGAGTTTGAGACAAACCTGGACAAGATGGTGAAACCTCTTCTTTACTGAAAATACAAAAATTAGCCTGGTATGTGGGTAAAAACCAGTGTACGGTGGCAGGCACCTGTAATGCAAGCTACTTGGGAGGCTGAGGCAGTAGAATCGCTTGAACCTGGGAGGTGGAGTTTGCAGTAAGCTGAGATCTCTTGCCACTGCATCCTAGCCTGGGTGACAGAGTGAGACTCTGTCTCAAAAATAAATAAAATCTGTTAAAAATGTTCATAAAGCGTTGGTTTCAAACTAATGTCATTTATTTTATTTTATTTTTTATGTCATGTTTCTTATAGTTTCAAACAATAATAAACCCACATTGTTTAGAGGAGAGATCCTATTAAGCTAAGATGAGAAGAAAAGAAGTGATGATGAGGTTTGGAAGTGTCATTCACTGAGTAACTTTTGTTTTTCTTTCTCCATTGTCCAGCCCATGGATGACAGTCTCATTGCATTTCGAACCCGTTCTAAGATGCCTCTGAAAGATGTTCCCCTGGGCCAACTAGAGGCAGAGCTCCGAGCTCCAGACATTACTCCAGATATGTATGACCCCAATACAGCAGATGACGAGGACTGGAAGGTGTGGCTAGGGGGACTTATGAATGATGACGTGGGGAATGAAGGTAAGTTTTGGTTTCTGAGTTATTATGTATATCGTCCATTATCTGTTGTAAGATTTTCATTATTTGGAAGGGTATAGAATGGAATGGTTTGGGTTAATTGATTTAATTTGTATTTAACTGATAATTTATCTTAAATCAGTAGTTTTTGTCTTTCTTTTTTTTTTGAGACAGGGTCTCACTCTGTCACCCAGGCCGAATGCAGTGTTGCAGTCACAGTTCATTGCAGCCTTGACCTCCTGGGCTCAAGCAGTCCTCCCTCTTAATCCCACTGAGTAGCTGAGACTACAGGCACATGCCATTGTGCCTGGCTAATTTTTTATTTTTTGTAGAAACGAGGTCTCATCATGTTGTCCAGGCTGTTCCCACCCCCTGTAGTGGGTAAAAACCAGTGTTGGAAGTGAAACACATGCACCTAAATGACCATTAGGTCAGCAAAGAAAATAAGATGAAAATCAACAGTGGAGGGCCTAACAAGCAACAGAATGATAAAAATTGTGTAAGGAGAAAAAGATGGAGTTGAAGATGAGTCATTAACATGCAAAGTGGAGAATCAGTTCCTTAATAATCAGCAACTGACATATTATACCCTTAAGTCATTCTGATAGGAGTCCTAAGTTTCTGCATTTTCCATTACTCACCCCTTTGACAATCTGATGAAAACTATGCAGCCTTCCCCCAGAAAAATATACATGAATTTTTATATGATTTTTGGGGGGGATACATATCTTTTAAAGTTTATTTATTGACACTTCCTGTTTCTACCAGGTTCAGAAATCTCCACGAAAAGGAATGGACAGGACAGATAGTTCTAAGCACTTTGTAGACAGTGAAGTCTCAGAGAAATTCATTTTCTTGCTCAGTGTTACAGAGTCTATTTGTATACTCCTAGGACTAGAACACAGTTTAATATTCTAGAAACCTGTCTCAATCAGAGAGGTTTCATGGTAAGTTAAACCGTTTTTTAGAAGGATATGATTTTTCATAATAAGCTGTGCTTTGTATCTTTGGCCTAGGCTAATCGGAAGTAATGGCAGGAAGAAAGTCAGGCTTTCCGAGCTTTGTCGGTAGCAGCAGCCTTGGTGTCCTCATTTTCATCACTTTGGTTAAAAGACCTGAGATAGTAGCTATTGGGAGGGAAAGGCCAGGCAGAATTGACTGTCAGAATTTTGAGAGTCTAAGACACTGTTTCTCTTAATTTGGTTCCTAGAACTTGAATCAGAATTGAGGAGTGTATGGATGTGTGTGTTGGTGGTGTTTATTAAAGATACAGATTTCAGGGCTTGACCCCTTACCTACTGAATCAGAATCTAATGAGTATGATCTAGGGATCTAATTCTGATATAACTAAAGGATTGGATTGGAAACTACTGGTCTGGGAAAGGTAAGAGTGCATGATAAATGTTGATTGGGGAATTGGACTAATGGTTAGGGGGTGGGTGAAAATCCACTTTCCTTAAAGTAAAACAGTATTTTTGTATGTGCTGATTCAGACAGATTTTTATTTTTTATTTTTTATTTTTGAGACGGAGTTTCGCTCTTGTTACCCAGGCTGGAGTGCAATGGCGCGATCTCGGCTCACCGCAACCTCCGCCTCCTGGGTTCAGGCAGTTCTCCTGCCTCAGCCTCCTGAGTAGCTGGGATTACAGGCACGCACCACCACCATGCACAGCTGATTTTTTGTATTTTTAGTAGAGGTGGGGTTTCACCATGTTGACCAGGATGGTCTTGATCTCTCGACCTCGTGATCCACCCGCCTCGGCCTCCCAAAGTGGTGGGATTAAAGGCTTGAGCCACTGGGCCGGGCATCAGACAGATTTTTAAAAGAGCATACAAAGCCAGTGATTAGGATGGGTGTGGTTCGGAGATCTACCAGTTAAAACACAATACTGGAGGGGTGTATACCAGCTGGGTAAATACTGACATTGCTAATCAGTCCAAAAAGTGATTATGCTCAGAGGGCAGATTCCACAGAGTACTAAAAGCTGAACAGAACTCAGAAGAATCCCCCCAAATGATTTTTCAGCATCTTTGTTAAATGTGTGCTCTGAGAATAATACTAGCTGACGCATTTGTGTGGTGTGGGCAGAAGCTATTTTTTGCAGTTCTTGCATCCAAACAGAAGGAGTCCAAACCTGTGTTACTACTTATTATTATGGGCTCTTCCCAGAACTTTCATTGTTTAGCAATGTTTGTTAAGAACTTGCTGTGAAGAGAGTTATATAGAAAGCATTATGGAGACTGTGAAGACAGTATTCCATTCCTAAGGAATTAAAGAATTTTTATTGAGAAGCTAAACCCACAAATAGATAAAAAAGATTTGATATTTATAGGTATATATAAATAGCTATATATAAACAATGCAAATTAATATAAGCTGAGTATAAATGTTGAATAAAGAACAAGTTAGATTAGGGTTTAATCAGCACAGATTTTTCAGTGATTATGAATTTAAAAGAGTGTGTATATGTGTGTGTGTGTTTGTGTATATATATATGTATATATTTGTTTTTGAGACATGGTCACAGTCTGTCACTCAGGCTGAAGTGCAGTGGCACGATCACAGCTCACTGCAGCCTCAAACTCCTGGGCTCAAGCAGTCCTTCCAGCTTAGCCTTCTGAGTAGCTGGAACTACAGGCACACACTACCACACTTGGCTAAGATTTTTTAAAAAGTCATTTGTAGAGGCCGGGCGTGGTGGCTTAAGCCTGTAATCCCAGCACTTTGGGAGGCTGAGGCAGGTGGATTACGAGGTCAAGAGATCGAGACCATCCTGGTCAGCATGGTGAAACCCTGTCTCGACTAAAAATACAAAAAATTAGCGGGGCATGGTGGCGCGTGCCTGTAATCCCAGCTACTCAGGAGGCTGAGGCAGGAGAGTTGCCTGAACCCAGGAGGCAAGAGGTTGCGGTGAGCCGAGATCGCGCCATTACATTCCAGCCTGGGTAACAAAAGCGAAACTCCATCTCAAAAAAAAAAAAAAAGAAAGTCATTTGTAGAGATTAGTTCCCACTGTGTTGTCCAGGATATACATATCCACACATACACACATGTGCGTGCGTGCGTGCGCAACACACACACACATTTTATATATATATATATATATATATATATATATTTTTTTTTTTTTTTTTGGTGAGACAAAGTCTCACTTTGTCGCCCAGGCGGGGGTGCAGTGGTACAATCTCAGCTCACTGCTACCTCTGTCTCCTGAGTTCAAGTGATTCTCCTGCCTTCTAAGTAGCTGGGGATTACAGACATGCACCACTACTCCTGGCTAATTTTTTTTTTTTTTTTTATGGAGATGGAGTCTCACTCTGTCGCCCAGGCTGGAGTGTAATGGATCGATCTCTGCTCACTCTAACTTCTGCCTCCCGGGTTCAAGCAATTCTCCTACCTCAGCCTCCCGAGTAGCTGGGACTACAGGTGCATACTACCATGCCTGGCTGATTTTTTTTTTTTTTTTTACTTTAGTGGAGACGGGGTTTCACCATATTGCCCAGGCTAGTCTCAAACTCCTGAGCTCAGGCAATCCTCCCGCCTTGGCCTCCCAAAGTGCTAGGATTACAGGTGTGAGCCACCGCACCCAGCCAATATTTGTATTTTTAGTAGAGACGGGCTCACACCATGTTGGCCAGCCTGGTCTCCAACTCCTGACCTCAAGTGATCTGCCCACCTTGGCCTCCCAAAGTGCTAGGATTACGGGAGTGAGCCACTGTGCCTAGCCCCAGGCTTTATATGTATTTTTTATAACAAAAGATGCTCATTATGGCCAGGTGAGGTATCCAGCCTGGGCAATGAGAGTGAAATTCCGTCTCAAAAAAAAAGATGCTCATTTATTATGAAAAGGTAAAACATTATGGAAAGGGGGCCAGGCTCTGTAGCTCATGCCTATAATCCCAGCACTTCTGGGGGGCCAAGGCGGGTAGATTACTTGAAGTCAGGAGTTTGAAACCAACCTGATCAACGTGGTGAAACCCCGTCTCTACTAAATTACAAAAATTAGCTAGGTGTGGTGGTGTGCATCTGTTGTCCCAGCTGCTCAGGAGGCTGAAGCAAGAGAATTGCTTGAACTCAGGAGGCAGAGGTTGCAGTGAGCTGAGATCATGCCACTGCACTCCAGCCTGAGCAACAGAGCGAGACTCCATCTTAATAAAAGAAAATTAAAAAAAACATTATGAAGGGTACTTGTTAATAGTTTTGTGTGTTTCTTTCTAGATATTCTCTGTGTATTCAACCAATCACATACTTACCTCAAACAATAATTTTTTTCCACAAAAAGAATCATACTATACATATTGGTCTGTATCTGCCATTTGCTTCTTTCACTTAGCAGGATAATTTAGATACTTTTCCATTATAATGCATAGAGATCACTTCTTCTGTCTAATGGATACATGATAGTAAGAAATTAAGGTATTCTCTTTTTGTTCTTTTTTTTTTTAAATCAGTTTCTCAGGTACTAGCTGCATTTCTCAACAGTCACATGTTGGGTAATGGCTACTGTATGATACAATACATGTATAGATCATCTCTTATCACAGAAAGTTCTGTTAGACAACACTGATCTAAAATTATCTGGGGAAAAATATTACCTTAATATGTAACAATCTCATAATTTAATGACTTTCATAATTTATACTTAGTAATTAAAAAGACAGTTTAGCACCGACATTAAAGAAAATTAGCCTGGGCACTGTGGCTAATGCCTGTAATCCTTGCATTTTGGGAGGCGGAGGTGGGCAGATTATCTGAGATCAGGAGTTCGAGACCAGCCTGGCCAACGTGGTAAAACCTTGTCTCTACTAAAAATACAGAAATTAGCCACGTGTGGTGGCAGGGGTCTGTAATCCCAGCTACTTGGTAGGCTGAGGCAGGAGAATTGCTTGAACCCAGGAGGCAGAGGTGGAAGTGAGCCAAGATTATGCCACTGCACTCCAGCCTGGGTGACAGAGTGAGACTCCATCTCAAAAAAGAAAATTATGAGGGAGAAATGTACCCATATTTCTATTATTCTAACCTAACAAATATTTATTTTTGTATATTTTTAGTTATTTATGATTCTTATTGTAAGGATATAATTTTACATGGTTATGATTATTACGTATGTATTATACTTATGTCATACATATATTGAACATTTATAGAATGGTTACATGTTCACATTTTATATGTATACATGTTGAGTATCCCTTCATCCAAAATGCTCAGGACCAGCAGTGTTTTGGATTTCAGATTTATTTAGATATTAGAATATATGTTTTATTTATTTATTTATTTATTTATTTATTTATTAGAGACAGAGTCTTGCTCTGTCACCAGGCTGGAGTGCAATGGCATGATCTCAGCTCACTACAACATCCACCTCCCAAGTTCAAGCAATTCTCCTTTCTCAGCCTCCCGAGTAGCTGAGAATACAGTCACACGCCACCACGCCCAGCTAATTTTTATATTTTTAGTAGAGACAGGGTTTCACCGTCTTGGCCAGGATGGTCTGAATCTCTTGACCTCGTGATCTGCCTGCCTTGGCCTCCCAGTGATGGAACTACAGGCATGAGCCACTGTGCTTGGCTGAATATATGTATTATTATACTTAACAGATAAGCATCCCAAATTTGAAATCTGGGCCAGGTGCAGTGGCTCACAATGTAATCTCAGCACTTTGGGAGGCTGAGATGTTCGCATTGCTTGAGCCCAGGAGTTTAAGACCAGCCTGGGCAATGTAGCAAAACCCTGTCTCTACTAAAAATACAAAAATTAGTTGGGCATGGCGATATGCACCTGTAATCTCAACTACTTGCGAGGCAGAGGTGGGACAGTCTCCTGAGCCCGGGTAGTCAAGACTGCAGTGAGCCATGATCATGCCACTGTACTCTGGTCTGGGTGACAGAGTAAGACCCTATCTCTCTTTTTTTTTTTTTTTTTTTTGAGACGGAGTTTCGCTCTTGTTGCCCAGGCTGGAGTGCAATGGCGCGATCTCGGCTCACCGCAACCTCCGCCTCCTGGGTTCAGGCAATTCTCCTGCCTTAGCCTCCTGAGTAGCTGGGATTACAGGCACGTGCCACCATGCCCAGCTAATTTTTTGCCCTTTAGTAGAGACGGGGTTTCACCATGTTGACCAGGATGGTCTCGATCTCTCAACCTCGTGATCCACCCACCTCAGCCTCCCAAAGTGCTGGGATTACAGGCTTGAGCCACCGCGCCCGGCCGTAAGACCCTATCTCAAAAAAAAAAAAAAAAAAAGGGGAGGGGAGGCTGAGGCAGACTGATCGCCTGAGGTCAGGAGTTCACAACCAGCCTGGCTAACGTGGTGAAATCCAGTTTCTACTAAAAATACAAATAATTAGCCAGGAGTGATGTGCTTTTGTAATCCCAGCTACTCGGGAGGCTGAGGCAGGAGAAGCGCTTGAACCCAGGAGGCAGAGGTTGCAGTGAGCCAAGATTGTGCCATTGCACTCCAGCTTGGGCAATGAGAGCAAAAGTCTGTGTCAAAAACAAAATAAAACAAAAAGCACAAAAAGAAAAAAGAAAATTTGAAATCTGAATTCTTCCAATGACTATTTCCCTTGAGAGTCATATTTGCACTCACAAAGTTTCAGATTTTGGATTTTTGGATTTGGAGTGCTCAGCCTGTACTCTTTTATCATCCTAAGAAATTATAATTACATAGCATTCTCTAATTGTTGGGAATTTGAGTCATTCCTTTTCTCACTGTCAGCTTCATTGTACAAGCAGCTTTTACAGAAACTATTATTTTCATGGGATATACTACTCAAAGTTACCTGGGCATGGTGGCATATGCCTGTGGTCCCAGCTACTCAGGAGGCTAAGGTGGGAGGATCATTTGAGCCCGGGAGTCAGAGGTTGAAGTGAGCTGATGTTGCACCACTGGACTTCAGCCTGGGTAACAGAGCGAGATGCTGTCTCAAAAAAAAGAAGAAAATGTGCTTTATTGGAACAGATTCCTAGAAGTTTGAGATCAGAGTTGGGAATAAGAGTCTAAAATACCTTTTTCCCTAGATGAAGCAGATGATGATGATGATCCAGAATATAATTTCCTGGAAGACCTTGATGAACCAGACACAGAGGATTTCCGGACTGACCGGGCAGTAAGAATCACGAGTGAGTCTGTGTTTATTTAAGTCCTGCTCTTGACTGCTTTGCAACTGCCTTTGTTTACTTTGTATATTTTTAGGGGTGAAGTTTGTAGCTCATCCGAGTTAAGACATTTAGGATTCTTTTACCGATTTATTTATCTGATTCTTTAAATTTAGGTATATATTCAGAAAGCCCATCCGTTATTCATTTGTATATCCCAAAGTCACATATTGAGTTCTTACTGTTCGGCAGGGATTGTGCAAGATGAATAAGACATGGCGTCTGTGCTGTAGGAGGAGTTCAGCCTAGTAGAGTGATAGAAGCAGAAAATGTTATAATACGGTGATAAATGCTGTAACAGGTTTTATGTAAGTTATACTAACAGCCTAAAAGAGAGTGTCATCTCCTAGTGTGTGATATGGAGTAGGGTAGGAGAACTTAGGAAAGAATTTGCAGAATGAAATGATTTTTTATCGTAGTTCTGAAGGAGGAATAAGAAATTTGGTGAATGGGGACAGAGAGGAACATTGCAAATAGAAGAGCATCTGCAAACCTCAGAATTGTAAAACATCAAAAAAGTATGTTTGGAAAATAGTAAGTACTTTGGTGGTGTTACATGAGTGAAAAGGTACAGCAGTGGTAGATAAGATTAGGTAGTCTTTATATCATGGAGGATCTTTAAGCTCTCAAAATGAGGTTTAAGGCTGGGCACGGTGGCACAGGCCTGTAATCCCAGCACTTTGGGAGGCAGAGGCGGGCAGATCACCTGAGTTCAGGAGTTCAAGACCCGCCTGGCCAACATGGCGAAATACCGTCTATCCTGAAAATACAAAAATTAGTTGGGTGTGGTGGTAGGCACCTGTAATCCCAGCTACTCTGGAGGCTGAGGCAGGAGAATCGCTTGAACCCAGGAGGCGGAGGTTGTATGAGCCAAGATCACACCGGTGCACTCCAGCCTGGGCAACAGAGTGAGACTCCACCTCAAAACAAAAAAAAAAAAAAGAAAAACAAAACAAAAATGAGGTTTAAGCAGTAAATCAGTAGGAACTGATTTGGATTTTAGAAAGATCACTTTGATTTAAAAGCAGTTTAACGTATGAATTTGTTAGATAAAAAGAACAAGATTGGAGGTATGGAAAACAATTATGATAACTTGGCTTGAGTTATTTGTTTAAAAAAATTATATCATTGAGCTAGGCGTGGTGGCTTATACCTGTAATCCCAGCCCTTTGGGAGGCTGGGGCTGGAAGATCACTTGAGCTCAGGAGTTTCAGAACAGCATAGGCAACACAGAGAAACCTTGTTTCTACTAAAAAGAAATTAGCCAAATGTAGTGGCACATAACTGTAGTCCCAGCTACTCAGGAGGCTGAGGCAGGAGGATTGCTTCAGCCCAGGAGGTCAAGAAATCAGCAAACTATGATGGTGCCGCTGCACTCCAGCCTGGGACTCCAAAAAAAAAAAAAAATTACATCATTGGCTAGTGTGTCAAGCATAGAAAACACAGGCCAGGCGCGGTGGCTCATGCCTATAATCCAAGCACTTTGGGAAGCTGAGGTGGGTGGATCACGAGGTCAAGAGATCAAGACCATCCTGGTCAACATGGTGAAACCCCGTCTCTACTAAAAATACAAAAATTAGCTGTGCATGGTGGCACGCACCTGTAGTCCCAGCTACTTGGGAGGCTGAGGCAGGAGAATTGCTTGAACCCAGAGGGCGGAGGTTGTGGTGAGCCGAGATCACGCCATTGCACTCCAGCCTAGGTAACGAGCGAAACTCCATCTCAAAAAAAAAGGGAAAACATATTTCATCCTGAAAAAATTCTACCTATGGGGAGAATGAAAAGTAAAAAAATATAGTTTTTTATTGCACATAGGCATTCCCCTGTGCTGGAATAATATACATGACATAGAGAAGGTAAGATACTGGATCTTGACCAGCTCATGCAGAGAGCTTTATAAGCATTCAAGACATACCCAACTAAAGAGAATTATGTAAACACAATCCTTTAGAACTTACATTTTGTTTTATTGCTTTATTGTATCTTTCTTTCTTTTCTTTTTTTTTTTTGTGAGACGGAGTTTCGCTCTTGTTACCCAGGCTGGAGTGCAATGGCGCAATCTCGGCTCACCGCAACCTCCACCTCCTGGGTTCAGGCAATTCTCCTGCCTCAGCCTCCTGAATAGCTGGGATTATAGGCACGCGCCACCATGCCCAGCTAATTTTTTTGTATTTTTAGTAGAGACGGGGTTTCACCATGTTGACCAGGTTGGTCTCGATCTCTTGACCTTGTGATCCACCCGCCTCGGCCTCCCAAAGTGCTGGGATTACAGGCTTGAGCCACCGGGCCCGGCCTGTTTTTTGTATTTTTAGTAGAGACAGGGTTTCACCATATTAGCCAGGATGGTCTCGAACTCCTGACCTCGTGATCTGCCCACCTCAGCCTCCCAAAGTGCTGGGATTACAGGTGTGAGCCACTGTGCGTGGCCCGCCTTGCTTTTTTTTTTTTTTGAGACGGAGTTTCGTTCTTGTTACCCAGGCTGGAGTGCAATGGCACGATCTCGGCTCACCGCAACCTCCGCCTCCTGGGTTCAGGCAATTCTTCTGCTTCAGCCTCCTAAGTAGCTGGGATTACAGGCACGCGCCACCATGCCCAGCTAAATTTTTTGTATTTTTAGTAGAGGTGGGGTTTCACCATGTTGACCAGGATGGTCTCGATCTCTTGACCTCGTGATCCATCCACCTCGGCCTCCCAAAGTTCTGGGATTACAGGCTTGAGCCACCGTGCCCGGCCAAGCTGCTTTTAAGATTAGAATACTATTTCCTTTATAAAAATCTTTTATTTATTTATTATTTTATTAACTTATTTTGTTTTGTTTTGAGACAGTCTTGCTGTCTCCCAGGCTGGAGTGCTGTGGCATGATGTTGGCTCACTGCAACCTCCGCCTCCCAGTTTGAAGCGATTCTCCCTCAGGCTCCCAAGTAGCTGGGACTACAGGCATATGCCACCATGCCTGGCTAATTTTTTCTCCCCAAGTCTTTGTAAGTTTCAATTCAGTTATATATATAATATATATTATATATATATATAAAATATATATTTTATATATATATATTTTGAGATGGCGTCTTGCTCTGTCGCCCAGTCTGGAGTGCAGTGGCACGCTCTTGGCTTACTGCAGTCTCCGCCTCCTGGGTTCTTGCAATTCTCCTGCCGCAGCCTCCTGAGTAGCTGGGACTACAGGTGCACGCCACCACACCTGGCTAATTCTTTGTATTTTAGTAGAGATGGGGTTTCATCATGTTACCCAGGCTGGTCTTGAGTTCCTGAGCTCAGACAGTCCACCTTCCTCAGCTTCCCAAAGTGCTGGGATTACAGGTGTTAGCCACTGTGCCGGCCATTTATTTTGGTATATTATGACAATGATAGTGGAAGCATTGATAGAAAAGCGAATCAGAGAAAATGTAGAATGAAAACGTTCAAGGATTTAGGCTTTGAGAAAACTTAAAGGAGAATCTAGGAAAGTACAGGAAAAACCTAGAATAGGCGTCCCCAAACTATGGCCCTCGGGCTGCATGCGGCCCCCTGAGGCCATTTATCCAGCCCCCCGCCACACTTCAGGAAGGGGCACCTCTTTCATTGGTGGTCAGTGAGAGGAGCACAGTATGTGGCGGCCCTCCAACGGTCTGAGGGACAGTGAACTGGCCCCCTGTGTAAAAAGTTTGGGGACGCCTGACCTAGAAAATCTAGTGTCGTAGAAACCAAAGGAAGAGTCTTTTGGCTGGGGCACAGTGGCTCATGGCTATAATCCTAGCACATGGGAGGCTGAAGTGGGAGGATCGCATGAACCCCGGAGTTCAAGACCAGCCAAGATAGGACAAGATAGTGAAACATTGTCTCTACAAAAAAAAAAAAATATTTTTTTAAATGAAAATTAGCCAGGTGTGGTGGTACATGCCCGTAGTCCCAGCTACTTGGGAGGCTGAGGTGGGAGGATCACTTGAGCCCAGGAGGTGGAGCTTGCACTGAACAGAGATCATGACATTGCACTCCAGCCTGGGAAACAGAACAAGACCCTGTTTCAAAAAAAGAGTCTTTCAAGAAGGACAGAGTTGCCGGGCGCGGTGGCTCAAGCCTGTAATCCCAGCACTTTGGGAGGCCGAGGCGGGTGGATCACGAGGTCAAGAGATCGAGACCATCCTGGTCAACACGGTGAAACCCCGTCTCTACTAAAAATACAAAAAATTAGCTGGGCATGGTGGCGCGTGCCTATAATCCCAGCTACTCAGGAGGCTGAGGCAGGAGAATTGCCTGAACTCAGGAGGCGGAGGTTGCGGTGAGCCGAGATTGCGCCATTGCACTCCAGCCTGGGTAACAAGAGCGAAACTCCGTCTCAAAAAAAAAAAAAAAAAAAAAGAAGGACAGAGTGGACAGTAGTGTCATATGCTAGTCAGGAAACAGCCACTTAAAGCACAAAAATATCTTAAGTTTAGCTATCAGCCTGGAATATATTTGCCTTCCCTTTTTGATTGTTACTTTCTTCAGTTTACATATAATTTCTCAGGGAGATCTTCCTTCATTAGGATCCATCTTCTTGTTCTGCACTCCCTTACCACTCTTTTTGTCCTTTTATATCACCTCATAATTGCTTATTTAAAATCTGTCTTCTCCCCTGGACTGTAAGTTTCTCAAGAGTTTTGTGTGTTTATTGCTGTAAAGCTAGTGGCAGTATTTGCCAGTCAAGTGGAGATGGGTAAATGAAGGACCGTCTTTCTAGTCATATAGTTCTGTAATTATAAGTGAAAGCTGGGGTAGAATTTAAATTTTTTTTTTCCTGCCTCTTGTCCTCTTGGGTCTCATCATGTTTGATTATAGTCCCTTTAAAAGGACTTACATGGATAACTAAAATTAAAAAGCATAGAAACACAGAATTTGAAAAACTCCTTGTGGTCACATGTTTTCCTCCCACTTGAGAATTTGTTTACATTTTCTCTAAGGTGGCCTTTTAGTCTCTGTTTAGATACTTTCAGTGACAGGGAGCTCATCAATTCTGCAGATAGTATATCCTAAACTTGAACACCTCTTCAATTAATACTTTCCTTATTGAACCCAAATCTACTTTTTATACTCCTCCTGTTTGTCTTTTTTTTTTTTTTGAGATGGAGTTTCACTCTTGTTGCTCAGGCTGGAGTGCAATGGTGCAATCTTGGCTCACCGCAACTTCTGCCTCCCAGATTCAAGTGATTCTCCTGCCTCAGCCTTCCAAGTAGCTGGTATTACAGGCATGTGCTACCACACCCGCCTGTTTTGTATTTTTAGTAGAGACAGGATTTATCTATGTTGGTCAGGTTGTTCTCTTGCCTCTCTCATTCTCTCATATATCCCAAGCATCTAAAACAGGGATTGAAGTATAGTTAGTGCTCACTAAATGTTTTTGAGTAAATAAATGAAGGATAGCCAGTAGTGGTGGCTCACACCTGTAATCCCACTATTTTGGGAGGCTGAGTGGGCCTGATTGCTTGAGCTCAGGAGTTCGAGACCAGCCTGGCCAACGTGGCGAAACCTTGTCTCTATAAAATATACAAAAATTAACTCAGTATATGGTGGCACGCATCTGCATTCCCAGCTACTTGGGGGGCTGAAGTGGAAGGATTGACTAGGCCAGGGAGGGAAAGTGGAGGTTTCAGTGAGTCAAGATCACTCCACTGCGCTCCAGCCTGAGTGACTTAATGAGACCCTGTCTCAAAAAAAAAGGATAGATAACGAAGAATTTGTCATGCCTTGTTGAAAACATTATACATTGTCTTCATGGAATTCCTCCTTATTGTAAAATCTAACTTATACCAACACCATACTGTTTGGCTTTGTTGCAGAAAAGGAAGTAAATGAGCTGATGGAAGAGCTGTTTGAAACTGTGAGTAATGATCCTCAAGTGAGAACATGGGATTGTAAAAGTCAGTTCTCCAGCAACATGTGCCATTTGGCCTCTGCTCTCCCTCTAGGACAGGAGGGTTGGACCGAACCAATTCTCCTTTTAGTCTCCCTGGGAAAGAATAGAGTGACAAGGGAATTTTTCTGATTAGTACACTGTTGATTATACATGTGTATGTTGTTCTTATTAAAATTTTCCTTGAAACTTTTTTTTTGGAGGGACTTGCTCTTTACCCAGGCTGGAGTGCAGTGGTAAAATTATAGCTGACAGCAGCCTTGACCTTGTAGGCTCAAGCAATCCTCCATCTAATCCTGAATAGCTGGGATATACCACCACACCCAGCTGATTATTTTATTTGTAGAGACAGGATCTTACCTGGGCTCAAGGAGTTTTCCTGCCTTGGCCTCCCAAAATGCTGGAATTATAGGTGAGAGCCAGCATGCCTGACCCCTGGAAAACTTTTGATGGCTTTCCCTGCTGTCATTTGTGTGTCCTTAACCGTTGTCAACTAGTTTTAAACTACTTTGTGCACAAATAATTACATTTTTCATAAATTTGTCTCAAAAGGTATTTCTGTTTAAGAGATTGATCATTTTGAGGCTGGGTGCTATGGCTCACGCCAATAATTCAGCACTTTGGGAGGCCATCGTGGGTGGATCACCTGAAGTCAGGAGTTTGAGACCAGCCTGGCCAACATGATGAAACCCTGTCTCTACTAAAAACACAAACATTAGTGAGGCGTGGTGGGTGCCTGTAGTCCTAGCTACTGCAGAGACTAAGGCAGGAAAATCACTTGAACCTGGGAGGTGGAGGTTGCAGTGAGCCTAGATCATGCCACTGCACTCCAGCCTGGGCAATAGAGCAAGACTCTGTCTCAAAAAAAAAAAAAAAGAGAGATTGATAATTTTGAGTTACCTTTGCTCTGTCCTTACTGTTGCAAGTTGGCTGGTTGAGCGACTTCTTTCCTGGCATTAGAGCCATCCCAAGTGTGGGTTTGTGGGAGTCCTGAAGTGAGAAAGGTTCTGGAGTAGGCTTTTCCTGGGTTCCAGAATTATTAAACTCTTGTAATCTATAGTTTTTACTCTTCCTTCCTAATAATTGAGCAACATTCAAGAGACCCATTCCCCAGGAAAACCCTCCTTTTCCTTTGCCCACAGTTCCAAGATGAAATGGGATTCTCCAACATGGAAGATGATGGCCCAGAAGAGGAGGAACGTGTGGCTGAGCCTCGACCTAACTTTAACACCCCTCAAGCTCTACGGTAGGCTAGTTGAAGACCTTGAGATCTGGAGTAGAGGAAAAGTTTATTTTGAAAACCTTTTCAGAAGTTGCAATTAACAATTTTTCGCCCCCAACCAGCTTCTGTTACTGATGTAAGGATGCAGAGCCCTGTCAGGAGTTAGGTGTCAAGTGAAAAGTCTCCTTGTTATGGGGCAGTGCAGCTGTAGGCCAAGCTGTATCTGTTTGGGAAGGGAGAAAAAACAGTAGCTGGCATCCATATCTGCTTCTCCAGGTGAGTGGTGCTGGAGAGGTATGTAGCACTTTACGTGGCCAGCCACACAAACTACCCAGTATTGTAATATCCAGTCTGTCTCTTTTGTTATTTTTATGTGCCATTAAGATCTGCTAAATGTGACTGAAAATTTATTTTTTTCTTTTTTCTTTTTTTTTTTTGAGACGGTCTTGCTCTGTCGCCAGGGGCCAGGCTGGAGTACAGTGGCGCGAGCTTGGCTGACTGCAACCTCCGCCTCCTGGGTTCAAGCAATGCTCCTGCCTCAGCCTCCCAAATGGCTGGGACTACAGGTGCGCGCCACCACACCCAGCTAATTTTTTTTTTTTAATAGAGACGGGTTTTCACCATGTTGGCCAGGATGGTCTCAATCTCTTGACCTCGTGATCCGCCCACCTCGGCCTCCCAATGTGCTGGGATTACTGGCATGAACCACCGCACCTGGTGACTGAAAATTTCTTAGTCACCGAGGCATTAGTGGATCAAACCCTGAAGCACCTGCAGTAAGGAGTCTGAAACATTTGTGCTGACCTTTTTGCATGAAGTTGGCACCTGTGTTACAGCATCCAGAAAGCAGAGGCTTTAATTTTTTTCCCATTTTGTGGTGGACTTGCATCTACACTTTATTCTATTGTTACCCACTGTGAGTAGCAGCATATAATCATTAGGTAGATGGCTAGAGGTCAAAATGCAGTTTGTACTGTAAGTGGAACAAAGCAAGGGGAACATTCCTTCTAATTAGTCCTGTGTTTGAACTTAACAACATTACTAAGTAGAGAGCTTGGGGTCCATCTGAAACCTAGGCCTTTAGGGAGCTTCCAATTTAGTGAAAAAAGATAAGGTATGCCAACCAATGTCTGAAAACTAGAAATTACCAGTCATTCTCCATTACAACAAATATCACAATACAACTACACCAAAAATCTCAAGATTACTAAGTCAGTATTTGTCCCATTATTTTAAGTTATAGTTCATAGGACAAAATTCTGGTATAGCAGAATGGAACCATTCATCCTAGGAACATATAATGGGATTTGGTCTATAAATGTATTTTGGTTCTACTGAGCGACTCTTTGTAAATTTTTAAAATGTGGAAAGTAGAGGCTGGGCACAGTGACTCAGGCCTGTAATCCCAGCATTTTGGGAGCCTGAAGCATGTGGATCACCTGAGGACAGGAGTTCCAGACCATTCTGGCCAACATGCTGAAACCCCATCTCTACTGAAAATACAAAAATTAGCCAGGTGTGGTGGCATGCACATGTAATCTCCACTACTTGGGAGGCTGAAGCAGGAGAATCACTTGGAGGCGAAGGTTGCAGTAAGCTGAGGTCACACCACTGCCCTCCAGCCTGGGTGACAGAGCAAGACTCTGTCTCAAAAAATAAGTAAATAAAATTCATGAAGTATAGAAATAATTAAAAACTCCTGTTAGAATTCAGTTACCTTTTGTTATTCGATGGAATACAGTCTTATATCATCTCTTATGTTGATACATTCTGTGAAATGTGCCATTAAACGATTTCATCATTGTGTGAACATAGAAAGCGTCTGGATAAACCTAGGTGGTTTAGCCTACTGCATACCTAGACTATATGGTATAATGTATTGCTCCCAGGCTACAAACCTGTACAGCATGTTATTGTATTCTACTGAATTCTGTAGGCATTTGTAACACAATGGTAAGTATTTATGTATATAAACATAGGAAAGATAAAGTAATCTTACGGAACCACCTGGGTATATGTGGTTCATTATTGACTGAAACATCATGTGGCACATGACTGTACTTGAACAGCTCCTGCTTCTCTTTCTGTTGCAAATACAAATTTGTTTTAATCTTTGACATCCTAGATTCTGTAAGTCCATAGATACTAAAAACATCTTCACTTACTCTTAGCCAAAAGGCCAAGAAGTGAGAAAAAAAAAACATCTTAAAACACAATAAAGCATAGAGAGAGAGAGGAAAGGAAGAAAAAGAACAAAACAACAACTCTGGGAAAGTGAGTTATCTGTGCTTCTCTTATCGGTTATACAAGTAATACTTATTAAAGCTAAAACTAAGTGCAAGGCCGTGTGCAGTGACTCACACCTGTAATCTCAGCACTTTGGAAGGCCGAGGCGTGCAGATCACCTGAGGTCAGGAGTTCAAGACCAGCCTGGCCAACATGGTGAAACACTGTCTCTGCTAAAAATACAAAAATTAGCCGGACCTGATTACAGGTAGCATGCGCCTGTAATCCCAGCTACTCGGCGTACTGAGGCACGAGAAACACTTGAACCTGGGAGGTGGAGGTTGCAGTGAGCCAAGATTGCACCACTGCACTCTATCCTGGGCGACAGAGCAAGACTCTGTCTCAAAATGATAATCATAATCATAATCATAGGCCGGGCATGGTGGGTCACACCTGTAATCCCAGCACTTTGGGAGGCCAAAGCAGGCATATCACCTGAGGTCAGGAGTTTGAGACCAGCCTGGCCAACATGGCGAAACCCTGTCTCTACTAAAAATAAAAAAAAAATTAGCTGGATATATTGGTGGGTGCCTGTAATCTGAGCTACTTGGTAGGCTGAGGCAGGAGAATCACTTGAACTTGGGAAGCGGAGGTTGTAGTAAGCTGAGACAGTCTGGGCAATTGGAATGAAACTCCATCTCAAAAAATATATAATAATAATAGTAATAATAAAACTAGTGCAGACTATGTTTCCATTATCTGCTTTTTTATGCTTCTGCTCTTCTGTTTCTTCAGTGGTAGTAGTGCAGATGTTTGAGTTTTCAGTTCTCAGAAAAGATTGTATAGACAGTCCCACGGGCTTTAGGTTTTTACCCTGTGCCACCCAAAACCACAGTAAGTACTATAAAAGAAAACATAATTTTTATCCCCAATAGTCAATTGAAAAAAGTTATTCATTGCTGTAATACTGGGGATTCCTTGCAATATGATAACCTGCTTGTCATAGCCGCATCAACAGATCTTATCCTGATTGCGTAAGGCATCAGCATGTGCTTAATCACTTAGGTATCTTATTCTGCTTTTACTTCAGAACTGATATGCTAGGTATTTGAATTTTTGCTTCAGCCCTGGAAATAGTCTCTCAGGAGGGTAGGGGTGGGGAGTTAGGATTAGGAATTTATTTTAATTAATTAGGAGAGGAATTTTTTTAAATTAATTAATTAATTAATTAATTTTTATTTTTATTTTTCAAGACAGGGTTTCACCATGTTGGCCAGGCTGGTCTTGAACTCCTGACCTCAGGTGGTCTGCCTGCCTCGGCCTCCCAAAGTGCTGAGATTACAGGCGTGAGCTACCACGCCTGGCCAATTTATTTTTATTTTTTTGAGACAGTCTTGCTCCATCGCCCAGGCTGAAGTGCAGTGGAGCGATCTCGGCTCACTGCAACATCTGTCTCATGGGTTCAAGTGATTCTGCTGCCTCAGTCCCCCAAGTAGTTGGGATTACAGGCATACATCACCACACCTGGCTAATTTTTGTATTTTTGGTAGAGATAGGGTTTCACCATGTTAGCCAGGCTGTTCTTGAACCACTGACTTCAAGTGATCCACCTGCCTTGGCCTCCCAAATTGCTGGGATTACAGGTGTGAGCCACTGTACCCAGCAAGGAAGAGGAATTTAAAGAGCTAAAAGAAAATACCTTCATGGAAAGTAGTAGGAGTAGCAGTATTTGAACTAACCACTCAGTTCTGTTCATGTGAACTACTAATACACTTAGTTATTTTAATATATCCTTTTCCTGCTTCATGTTAGATTTTTGACTTGTTAAGAAAGCAAGACTTGCCAGTCAGAGTGGCAGTTATTAAAAGGTCAAGAAACAACAGGTGGGCCAGGAACAGTGGCTCACACCTGTAATCCTAACACTTTGGGGGGATGAGGCAGGTGGATCACCTGAGGTCAGAAGTTCGAGAGCAGCCTGGCCAGCATGGCGAAACCCTGTCTCTACTAAAAAATCAGAAGACTATCCACTAGCCAGGCCTGGTGGCACATGCCTGTAGTCCCAGCTACTCAGTAAGCTGAGTCAGGAGAATCACTTGAACCTGGGAGGCAGAGGTTGCAGTGAGCTGAGATCACACCATTGCACTCCAGCCTGGGAACCTGGGTGACAGAGTGAGACTCCATCTCAAAAAAAAAAAAAAAAAAAAAATGGCTGGGCTCGGTGGCTCACACGAGTAATCCCAGCACTTTGGGAGGCCAAGGCAGGCGGATCATTAGGTCAGGAAATCGAGACCATCCTAACACAGTGAAACCCTGCCTCTACAAAAAAATTATACAAAAATTAGCTGGGCATGGTGGTGGGTGCCTGTAGTCCCAGCTGCTTGGAATCCTGAGGCAGGAGAATCACTTGAACCAGGCAAGCAGAGGTTGCAGTGAGCCGAGATCACACCACTGCACTCCAGGATGGGCAACAGGGCAAAACTCTGTTTAAAAAAAAAAAAAAAAGGAAACAATAAAACAGGTGCTGGTGAGGCTGTGGAGAAATAGGAACGCTTTCACACTGTTGGTGGGAATGTAAATTTGTTCAACCATTGTGGAAGACAGTGTGGTGATTTCTCAAAGACCTACAAGCAGAAATACCATTTGACCCAACAATTCCATTACTGGGTATATAAAGATACACACACATGTATGTTCATTGCAGCACTATTAACAATAGCAGAGACATGGAATCAACTCAGATGCTCATCAGTGATAGACTGGATGAAGAAAATATGGTAAATATCCATCATGGAATACTGTGCAGCCATAAATAGGAATGAGATCATGTCCCTTGTAGGAACGTGGATGGAGGTGGAAGCCATTATTCTCAGCAAACTAACGTAAGAACAGAAAAACAACACTGCGTGTTCTCAATTATAAGTTGGAACTAAACAATGAGAACACGTGGACACGGTGAGGGGAACAACACACACTGGGACCTGTGGGGGGAGCGGGCGGGGGAGGGAGAGCATCAGGATAAATAGCTAATGCAACTGGGCTTAATACCACGGTTATGGGTTGATAGATGCAGCAGTCCACTAAGACACACGTTTACCTATGTAACCTGCCCATCCTGCACATGTATTCTGGAACTTAAAGTTTTGGGGGAAAAAAAAAAAAAGGCAAGGCAGTGTACCCTGAGTGGATAGGGAGATGGGACAAGCTGAACCTGGGATGGGAGTAACAAGTAAATGGGAGCAGAAATGAGAATGATGAGTTCCCACCAGCTCCTTGGCTGCTTTCTTATCCAGAGATTTCTCTGTTCTTAGCTTTTTGTTTGATTTTTTCTTCGTTTGTATATTATTTAGAGAAGTAACTGTAGAAGAACGGGATGAAGTATAATACAGAATCCTCATGTTTGATGCATCCTAACTACTTTGGGAAAACAGCTGGATAGGCTGGGAGTTTGACTGTTGGCTAAAGTGAGATGGGGGATTAGTAGAGAATGAGAATTGTTCAGGCTCTTTGCTCGTCATTGGGAAGAATTGGATGTGTTGCAGATCCAGGGAAACACTCAACTTAGGTATCTCCCTGTTGGGAATAGGTTTGAGGAACCACTGGCCAACCTGTTAAATGAACAACATCGGACAGTGAAGGAGCTATTTGAACAGCTGAAGATGAAGAAATCTTCAGCCAAACAGCAGCAGGAGGTAGAGAAGGTTAAACCCCAGAGTGAGAAAGTTCATCAGACTCTGATTCTGGACCCAGCACAGAGGAAGAGACTCCAGCAGCAGATGCAGCAGGTGATACTTTTCTTGGTCATGTTAATGTTGGATTATACCATGGCCTAACTCTGAGGCCAGAAATCAACAGCTTTGTAAAAGTCAGAGATAGTTACCTTACTACCTGCTAAAACCATAGTATCTCCACATCAGTTAGGAGCTTGAGAAATCACCGTGTTCATGCACTTTGGCTCAAGGAAGAGAGCACACAAAGACACTAATGGTATTTGGAAATATAGATTTCAAAGAGTTCTTAGTCATCTGTTCTGAAATTTAACAGCCTTCACTGTGAGAAGTGCTTTGGATTTGTTTTTCTAATCTAAGTCTCTCTGGTTCAAGGTTGAACTTCCTCTGCTTCTGTCATTACGTTCAAGGGAACATGTCTGAGAAGTTTATGCCAATATCCCATGTTCTTATAGTCTCTCCAGAAAGCAAAATATGTGTGATAAAGTTGCAGATATCTTGGTTAATGTCTCTATGGGGGCTGGATGCAGTGGCTTACACCTGTAATCCAAGCACTTTGGGAGGCTGAGGTGGGAGGATTGCTTGAGCCAGGGAGTTCAAGAGCAGCCTGGGCAACAGAGTGAGACCCCGTCTCTACAAAAAATAAAAATAAATTAGCCAGGCATGGTGTCATGCAGGTGTGGTCCCAGCTACTCGGGAGGCTAAGGTGAGAGAATTGCTGGAGCATAGGAGGTTCAGAGGACAGGGAACCATGCACAGCAGCCTGGGTGACAGAGGGAGATCCAGTATCCAAGAAAAAAAAAACCTCGCTGGGTTCCTGAAATGACAATGTCATAACATGTCACTGTATTATGTTCTTTCTCTCCCCAGCACGTTCAGCTCTTGACCCAAATCCACCTTCTTGCCAACTGCAACCCCAATCTCAATTCGGAGGCCAGTACCACCAGGATATTTCTTGTAAGGTTCCAAATATCCCTAATTCTAAAGACTAGAATATGAAATTGGCCTGGCAGGTTATTTCTCGCAGTTATTCACTGATCATAATCTATATTCTTTTGGGTATTTTTGATTGCTTTGCCTACTTTCTGTTAAGGCTTCCTGTGTTTGCTAGGAGAACATAAGCCACTAATTTCCATGAAAGGACAAGGAGTGTATTCAATTTTCTTAATACTGTCCTTCTGATATTTTTATTGAGTACTACTCATCTTTAGATCCAACCTAACTGTTTAGGTTTTTGGTACCACTGTTCCTTTTATAGATGTTGAGACAGCATGGTGGCTATGCCTGCAATTCCAGAACTTTGAGAGGCCAAAGCAGGCAGATTGCATGAGCCCAGGAGTTCGAGACCAGCTGGGTCAGCATGCCAAAATCCTGTCTCTACAAAAAATGTAAAAATTAACCAGATGTGGTGGTACAGGCCTGTAGTCCCAGCTACTCAGGAGGCAGAGGTGGAAGGATGGCTTAAGCCTGGGAGGCAGAGGTTGCAGTGAGCTGAGATTATGCCATTGCATTCCAGCCTGGGTGGCAGAGTGAGATCTGGTCTCTAAATAAATAAATAAATTAGCCGGGCGCGGTGGCTCAAGCCTGTAATCCCAGCACTTTGGGAGGCCGAGGCGGGTGGATCACGAGGTCAAGAGATCGAGACCATCCTGGTCAACATGGTGAAACCCCGTCTCTACTAAAAATACAAAAAATTAGCTGGGCATGGTGGCGGGTGCCTGTAATCCCAGCTACTCAGGAGGCTGAGGCAGGAGAATTGCCTGAACCCAGGAGGCGGAGGTTGCGGTGAGCCGAGATCGCACCATTGCACTCCAGCCTGGGCAACAAGAGGGAAACTCCGTCTCAAAAAAAAAAATAAATAAAATAAATAAATAAATTAATTAATTAATTAAAGTAATAGTCTTAATTCTTGCCTGGGTGCAGTGACTCATGCCTGTAATCTTAACACTTTTGGAGGCTGAGGTGGCTGGATCACTTGAGATCAGGAGTTCGAGAACAGCCTGGCCAACATGGAGAAATTCAGTTTCTACCGTATTGCTGGGTGTGGTGGCAGGTGCCTGTAATTAATCCCAGCTACTCCGGAGGTGGAAGAAGAAGAATCACTTGAGCCTGGGAATTGGAGGCTGCAGTGAGTCAAGATTGCACCACTACACTCCAACCAGGGCAACAGAGCAAGACTCCATCTCAAAAAAAAAAAAAAAAAATCAGTGGCTGGGGGCAGTGGCTCATGCCTATAGTCCCAGCACTTTGGGAGGCCAAGGTGGACAGATCACTTGAGGTTAGGAGTTTATTTTTCTAGTTCAGGAGCTAGACCATATGTTCCTTAGTGAGAAACACTAAATCTAGAAGTAAAACAAGAATATAATCCCTGAACATCTGAGGACTCGGGCATAATCTTAACAGAGTAGTTTATTGCAAAAGACTTTATGATGATTTTTACCTGTTTTTATCTTGTAGTAGGAAGGCCAGCTTCTCGTTTAGATTCTAAAGGCTACTGGTATTAATTGTCTGGAATTGTCTTAGATCTTCTTTTTGTGTCCTGTTTTCCCAGAAAGAGCTGGGAACCTTTGCTCAAAGCTCCATCGCCCTTCACCATCAGTACAACCCCAAGTTTCAGACCCTGTTCCAACCCTGTAACTTGATGGGCGCTATGCAGCTTATCGAAGACTTCAACACACATGTCAGCATTGACTGCAGCCCTCATAAAACTGTCAAGAAGACTGGTAGGAGACAGATGTGTCAGCTTTAAGTTTTTACTTGCGGTGAGAGGTGGTGGGAATCTTATCCCATAGATAATTTCCTAGGATACTTGCCTATGAATGGAGGACACAGGACATTTGTAATTTCTTCTTTCTCTCTTATCCTCTCTTTGTACTCATTGTCTAAATTCTAGAATTACATGATAATCTCTGGGCCTGGGTAAGGCATGGAGGCAGTGGACAGGATAGGAATATGGGAGGTAGAGATCTGAGGCTCGGTGCTAAGAATTGGAATTCAGCGATATGAGTGGTAAGTATTAAGAGTCAGATCAAGACAAACTGGGCCTGGTAAAGATAAAGTCAGGTGGTAACATTTGATCACCTTTAGGTTTTTACTCTTCATTAAGATTAACTAATTTTATTTACCCTACTGACTATAGTGTAAGTGATATCTCCATTCTGAATGAAATGTTGATTTGGGAGTTAGGCTCAAGTTAGAGATTGTACATTTGCCATGTTCAATATTTTAAAGAAATTTGCAGCTTTAGGTTCTGCTTTGCATTATTGGTTTTGTATTTTTTGGGAAATATTTGCTGTTTACTTAAGCCAAATATTTGCTTCTGATTTAGCAAATTAGTTGTGGTTTGTTCTGGATTTGGGTTTGTCTTTGGATTCTATTTTAAATCCTGAGTCTTATCATTAAGTTGAATATAGTTGAATTTAAGTGTATTATATCATAGACATGGATCTCAAACTACTTTAATAGCTAAAGTAAATGATAAATGAAATGGTAATGAAAACTTGATTTAATACCAAATAATAGTAATATCTTACACATCTAGTGTCCTGTGTTTTTCTTCTGGATATATAAAAATAATAGTTATGGAAGAAGAAATATGGATATAGTAGTTTTGTCTCTAGAAACGCAGAGGTGCCTGAAATTGAGAGTCTGAGAGAGGGAGACAGAAATGAATGAGACTGAATTGTCTCATTCCTTTTATGGTTCTTTTGTTCCCAATCTCAGGAGGAATCTGGGAGAACTTAATGAAAGTTAAGTAAGAATCAAATAAAAGTAAAATTTGGAATACCAGATTTGTGAGGGAGATTAAAGAAGTTGGAATCTTATCCTGGAAGAAAGAAAGCATTGTTGAAGGTCTCTTATCTTTCAAGGATTTAAAGGGGGAAGGAGGTAAAAAATTTTTGAGCATACACTATATGCCAGGTATTACTAGGTGCTTTTTAAGTGTTTGTTTCACTTAGTGAATATAGTGTTCCTCACAGAAAGAATAAGAGAATCAACTTGTATTGCCATTGAGTGGGACTCCCTTTGATATAATATTAGCTTGAGAAAGGCTATGGAAACTTTTTGGGGATGGTGGGCAGATTGGAGAGAATCAAGTTAGATAAGGACAGCTCTACCTAATTGCAAAAATGCATTTACAGACTTTTATGAAGCCCTCTTTTGTCCTAGAAGTTGATTTATCAGAGATTTATTTTCTTATAGCCAGTGAATTTCCCTGTTTGCCAAAGCAAGTGGCTTGGATCCTGGCCACAAACAAGGTTTTTATGTATCCAGAGTTACTTCCAGTGTGTTCCCTGAAGGCAAAGAATCCCCAGGATAAGATCCTCTTCACCAAGGCTGAGGACAAGTAAGTGTTTACTCTGGGGGATCAAAACAGCAGAATATCCCAGGGAGAAGATACAGTTCCTTTGAGGAGTTTAGGGGAAGTAAGACTTGTGTAATAAGACACGGATACAAAAGACAAGGAAAAGCAGTACAGATCAGCAGCATTCTCTAGGGCATGCTTGTTCTAGCAGTGCCAAATACTGCTTTTTGGGGGGATGTCACACACATTTTTGAAGCATTTTAGGCTAGGCCTGGTGGCTCACACCTTGTAATCCCAGCACTTTGAGAGGCCAAGGCAGGAGGTTCGCTTTTATTTTATGCCATTATTTATTTGTTTATTTATTTAGAGACAGGATATTACTCTGTCACCCAGACAGTCATGGCTCACTGCAGTCTTGATCCTTCCACCTCAGCTTCCACGGGAGTAGCTGGGACCACAGTCATGTGCCACCATACATGACTAATTTATTTTTTATTGTATTTTTTTTTTTTTTTTTTAATACAGATGAGGGTCTCTCTGTGTTGTCCAGGCTGCTTTTAAACTCCTGGGCTCAAAGCATCCTCCCTCCTTGACCTCCCAAAGTGCTGGGATTACAGGCATAAGCCACTGTGCCCAGCCAGGTTATGAACATTTTTATGGCCCTTTGTGTGGATTGCTGCACTGTTATCACCACATATGTATATATGTAAACATGATTATATATGTTGTTAGAGGGTAGTATTGGTGCCAGTTTAATTTGTCTGACAGGGTACCTATTCATTTTATATTTGTTTTATTAGAATCATTCTCCTCCCGTGTATTATCTTTGAACTTCCTTTTATTGTTAGTATACCGCTCATCATAATTTCATGTTTCTTAATGATTTATGCCTAGTTTCTCATGTTCCCAGGTAATTGTGAAGTATTTGTTTTTTTTAAAACATGTCATTGAGTTTATTGTAGAGAATGGTAATAGGAAATGGGATTGTACAAAGAAAAGAGACGAAGACAAAATTGGATGAGGGTTTCACACTGGGTGTCCCATCCAGGGACTCAGCAGCCCTACCATAGATCTGCCTGATTCTCTTGCATCAGGAAGTTGATCTTTTGAGCCATTTCCGTGTTGTAGATCTGCTGGCACCTTTCATAGCTTTCCCTCTGTCGCTGGCAGCATGGCTTCTCGTAATGCTGCTGATGCTTAATGTCCTCAGTGAGCCCATCCATAGTGAAGATTTTGTTTAGGGTCCTGTATGCACTTCCCACGTTCCCTTCCTGTACCATCACAGTCCTTGCGATGAACTTCACGTTTTTGCCCTGACCTTGGATTTAAGTCTTCACTCTAGAGCCTGGTGCACTCAGTACCTAGCCAACCCAAAGGCTTCTCGTTACCAGAAGTGGAAACCGATTTTTTTTTTTTAAATGGAGTCTCTCTTGTCACCCAGACTGGAGTGCAGTGGCATTATCTCGGTCCACTGCAACCTTTGCCTCCCAGGTTCAAGCGATTCTCCTGCCTTAGCCTCCTGAGTACCTGGGATTACAGGCGCCTGCCACCATACCTGGCTATTTTTTGTATTTTTAGTAGAGACAGCGTTTCACCATGTTGGTCAGGCTGACCTGACCTCAAGTGATCCGCTTGTCTCGGCATCCCAAATTGCTGGGATTACAGGCGTGATTGTACCTGGCCTTATTCTTATTCATAATATTTAATCACTAAGTATCTGAAATTTTCTATTGAGTAGTCACCAACTTGTACAAGAATTAGATTTAGAAAAAGTAGATTGGCTAGGCATGGTGGCGTACACCTGTGATACCAGCACTTTGAGAGGCTGAGGCAGGAGAATCGCTTGAGACCAGGTGTTTAAGATCAGCCCAGGCAACATAGTGAGAACTGGTCTCTACAAATAATGAAGGAAGAAAATTAGCCAGGTGTGGTAGCAAATGTCTGTGGTCACAGATAATTGGGATTCAAGTGTGAGAATCACTTGAGCCCAGGCGGTCAAGGCTGCAGGGCACTGTAATCATGCCACTGCTCTCCAGCCTGGACAACAGAGCAAGACCCTGTCTGAAAAAAATGAAAAGGTAGATTGGGCCACATGCCATGGCACATGCCTGTAATTCTAGATGGGAGGCTGAGACTGGAGAATCGCTTCAGCCTAGGAAGTAGAGGCTGCAGTGAGCTGTGATTGCACCACTGCACTCTAGGCTGGGTGATAGAGACCTTGTCTCAAGAAAAAATGAAAAAGTAGATTGTTAAATGTGTTAGCCAGGGAAGTCTTTTAGAAGGAAGGACTGTGAAGTGAGACTTAGTGTCATTGCTCTTTTCTCAGTTTGTTAGCTTTAGGACTGAAGCATTTTGAAGGGACTGAGTTTCCTAATCCTCTGATCAGCAAGTATCTTCTAACCTGCAAAACTGCCCGACAACTGACAGTAAGAATCAAGAACCTCAACATGAACAGAGCTCCGGACAACATCATTAAAGTGAGTATTTCCTTCATGCGCCATTGGGACACCTCACCAATATGTACCCATTCTTTTCTCCTCTTGTTATTGTCAAAGAAGAGAGGGACCTTCTTTTATCTAAAGCTAATTTCTCCCACTTATACATTAGATTCATTATGTTTCTCTAGAGTATCCTCATCCTCTTAAAAGATTTCACAAATCCATGTTTCCCTGTAATATATTCTCTGTCTTAGACTTTCTAGAAATGGTATACAATATTCCACTTACGTGCTTTTGTTTTTTTTCTTTTTGTCAGACAGACTCTTGCTCTGTCACCAAGACTGGAGTACAATGGTGCAATCTTGGCTCACTGCAGTCTTCGCCTCCCAGGTTCACATGATTCTCCTGCCTCAGCCTCCTAAGTAGCTTGGATTACAGGTGTGCACCACCACGCCTGGCTAATTTTTGTATTTTTAGTAGAGACGGGGTTTCACCATGTTGGCCAGGCTGGTCTCGAACTTCTGACCTCAAGTGATCCACTCGCCTTGGCCTCCCAAAGTGCTAGGATTACAGGTGTGAACCACCGTGCCCAGTTTCTTCTTTTTTATTTGGATATTTATTTATGTTGTTGTGTTTTTAGAGACAGGTTCTCACTCTGTCATCCTGTCTGGAGTGCATTTGCACAATCATAGGTCACTGCAGCGAATTCCTAGGTTCAAGTGATCCTTCCACTTCAGCTTTCCCCGCACCTTGGACTACAGGTGCTTGCCACCAAGCCTAGCTAATTATTTTATGTGGAGATGCAGTGTCACTTTGTTGCTCAGACTGGTCTTGAAGTTCTGACCTGTGACAGTCCACTTAACTTAGCTTGGCCTCCCAAAGTGTTGGGATTATAGGCGTGAGCCACTATGCCCAGCCTTTTGTTTTTTTCTTTCTCTGTTTTTTTTTTGAGACAGAGAGTCACTCTGTCACCCAGACCGGAGTGCCTTTTTAAATTGCATTTTAGGTTTTGGGGTACATGTGAAGGATATGCAAGATTGTGGCATAGGTACACACATGGCAGTGTGATTTGCTGCATTCCTCCCCATCACCTATATCTGGCATTTCCCCCCATGCTATCTCTCGCCAACTCCCGACCCTCTGCTGTCCCTCTACTCACTGCAACCTCTGCTTTCTGGGTTCACGGGAGTCTCCCACCTCACCCTCCTGAGTAGCTGGGATTACAGGCATGTGCCACCATGTGTGGCTAATTTTTGTATTATCAGTAGAAACAGGGTTTCACCATGTTGGTCAGGCTGGTCTCGAACTCCTGACCTCATGTGACCCACCCACCTCGGCCTCCCAAAGTGCCACGCCCGACCTGTTTTTGTTTTTTTCTTGAGATGGGGTCTTACTCTGCTACCCAGGCTGGAGTACAGTGGTACAGTCGTATCTCAGTGCAGCCTCAAACTCCTAGGCTCAAGCATTCCTTTCACCTCAGCCTCCCAAGGAGCTGGGATTATATGCATGAGCCACCATGCTTGGCTATTAACAAATTTTTTTTTTTTTTAGAAATGAGGTATCCTTGTGTTGCTCAGACTGGTCTCAAATTTTTGGCCTTAGTCAGTCCTCTTGTCTTAGCCTCTAATTTCTACTTCCTGATGTATTGGATTTAGGTCTTACTTATTAACCATAAACCAGGAAGGCTGAGGATTTGCCTGTCTCCTCACTCCCACTTCAAACATCCACATTTTCTGCTCTTCAATCTGCTCGCTAGTAATTATGTCACAGTTTTGGTTAGGTTGAATTCAGAGTTGACACTGTAAGATTTTAAGGACTGTGTAGATGTTCTTCACAGCTGAGCTATGTTACTGTGATACCTTGCCTTTCCTGCTGAACATTTTTTTTTTTCTTGGAGTAAATAATTGCATTTTTAGGGGGATGGGGCGGGACTTGATTTTATTATGCAATTATTCCCAGATCAACAGTAAAGGTTACTTAAATTTTCTTAATCTCCTTTCAGTGTGTCAGGCCTTCTAGATATTCCATATTTTCATCTTGAAGAAATTGCTCCCTGAGCCCTCTGACACTATTCCACTCTAAGTGTGTTACTCTCCAGGCTTGCTGTACTGATACCTTCTTGGGCTTTTTCTTCACCATTATCCTGGGAATTCATCCGCAGAATCCTCTTACTGTGTTGGATCTTATTTCCTGAATTCCACATCTTTGTTTTTATTGTACCTCCTTCTTTTAGCGGAACACATTCCAGTATAGCATGTTTTTAAAAATTTGTTTCTAAATTGTTAAAAATTGAGATGGGTCTCACTTTTTTGCCCAGGCTGGTCTTAGAACTCCTGGGCTCAAGTAATTCTTCCACCTTAGCCTCCCAAAGTGCTGTGATTATAGGCGTGAGCCATGGCCCCATTTAACTCTTGAATCTTCGTGTACCTCCTATTTTTCCCAACCTCTGACAGCATGCAGGATTTTTCCTTTGGGTCCAGTGTTTTGAAAATTCATGGTAATATGCCTTGGAATTTGTTTAGTTTTTCATCTATGGTGCTAAGGCACTTGATAAACCATATTCTGCTGCAGAAAAATCTTTTTTCTTGAAGTTTGAGTTGTGTGTCATTTTCTGTGCACATCTTTGTACTTTGTTTGTTTCTTTGCTTCTTGGTCTTTGGGACAGATACTCCTCAGTTGCCCAGGCTGGAGTGCAGGGGAGTGATCCAGGTTCACTGAACCTCCACCTCCGAGTTCAAGTGATTTTTGTGCCCCAGCCTCCCTAGTAGCTTGGATTACAAGTGTGTGGCACCATACCTGGCCATTTTTTCTATTTTTAGTAGAGTTGGGGTTTCACCATGTTATGTAGGGTGATCTTGAACTCCTGGCCTCAAGTGATCTGCCCGCCTTGGCCTCTCAAAGTGCTGGGATTACAGGTGTGAGCCACTGTGCCTGGCTTTCTTTGTATTTTTTTAAATGTAGGATATCAGTATTGATCTGCTTGGCTGTCTCCCACTAGTCTGTAAGTTCCTTGAGAGCAAGAATTGCTTCTCTTATATGTGTGCTTAGCTTTTAGCACAGTGCCCAGGACATAGAAAACATTCTGTATATGCTGGATGAGCAGATGCTTATTGTCTGTGGTATTTTTTTTGTGTTTTTTGTTTGTTTTTGAGACAGAATCTTGCTCTGTTGCCAGGCTGGGGTGCAGTGGTGCCATCTCGACTCACTGCAACCTCCGTCTCCCATGTTCAAGCGATTCCTATGCCTCAGTCTCCCCAGTAGCTGGGACTACAGGCATGCGCCACCACGCCTAGCTAATTTTTTGTATTTTAGTAGAGACGGGGTGTCACCATGTTGGCCAGGATGGATCTCCTGACCTCATGATCTACCTGCCTTGGCCTCCCAAAGTGTTGGAATTACAGGCATGAGCCACTGTGCCTGGTGTGTTAGTGGTTTTAGTTCAGTTCTCATCTTCATTTGCGCTTTTTTTTTTGAGATGGAGTCTCACTCTGTCACTCAGGCTGGAGTGCAATGGCACAATCCCTGATATCTGCTCACTGCAACCTTCAGCTCCTGGGTTGAAGTGATTCTCCTGCCTCAGCCTCCTGAGGTGCTGGGAATACAGGCTTGCACAACCATGTCCAGCTAATTTTTATATTTTTGTAGAGATGGGGTTTCACCATGTTGACCAGGCTGGTCTCGAATTCTTGACCTCAGGTGATCCGCCTACCTCTGAAAGTGCTGGGGTTATAGATGTGAGCCACCACACCCAGCCTTCATTTACTCTTAAAACTGAATTTTCTCTGTTTATCTTTTTAAATTTTTTTTCCCTTCTCATGCCCTTCACACCATCATTTCCTTAAAAGGAAGCTTTGATGTGTCCAAGGTGTAGATTATGACACTGTCCTAGGAATCATTAAAGGTCAGGTTCCGAGGCCTAAAGCAAAACACCATTTGTGGGTAATTACATTGCTGACCCCCCAGTAGAGAGCAGTCATGTGGCCAATGGATGTTCAAAGGTCAGTCTTAGGACCACATAAGTAAATAAGCTCTTTAGATAAACTCCCGCATATTCCTTTGTACCTACTCCTGCCTAATTGCCTCTGAGTAGGAACCACCTTCAGCTCCTTCCTTCCTGAGGCTTTTGCAAAAACCTTCTGGCCTTCCAAGAAGGTTTGTGTCTATTTTACAATTTCTCCTGCCACCCTGACTGAACGCCTAAGTGTTTGTTGGGGGGTGAGGGTTGGGGTATTTCTCAACCCACCACCCACCCCACTCACTAGCCTGACAAAGGGCAGTGTTTCTGGAAAGAATGTAACTCGTGCTTTTTTTTTCATGTTAAGTTTTATAAGAAGACCAAACAGCTTCCAGTCTTAGTAAAATGCTGTGAAGAGATCCAACCACATCAGTGGAAGCCACCTATAGAGAGAGAAGAACACCGGCTCCCATTCTGGTTAAAGGTACAACCCTCTTCCTCAAAGTCTGTGGGAGGGAAAAGGTCACTGCAAATTCTGACAGAATATCAAGGGCTTCTTTAATCTTCTAATGCTTTCGTTGTAGAACTAGAACTTCAGAAATCTTTCTCGTTCACCTTTCTTCCCTTTTCTGACCTTCTCTGGGTGATTCTACAACCTTTTCAAAATAATAGGTAAATAATAAATTTGCTAAGGACATTCACAGAAGTTTCTAAGGTGTATAATTGGAATGTGGTCTTTGTAGAAATTTGATGTACAAAGAGACCCTTCTTGGAAAGATACCTTGAGACTGTCTAATGTCCCTAAAATCTAGAAAGCCCTATTCCTTTTCCCAAATTCTTTTTTGTTTGTTTCTGAGACAGAGTCTTGCTGTGGTGCAATCTTGGCTCACCGCAACCTCCCGCCTCCCAGGTTGAAGTGATTCTCCTGACTCCACCTCCCTAGTAGCTGGGAACACAGGAGTGCCACCACACCTGTATAATTTTTAAACTTTTAGTACAGATAGAGTTTCACCATGTTTGCCAAGCGGGTCCTAAACTCCTGACCTCCCGTGATGTGCCCACTTCAGCCTCCCAAAGTGCTGGAATTACAGGCGTGAGCCACTGGGCCAAGCCTCTTTTTCCCAGATTCTGACATGTGCTGGATCAGAGTGTTCTTGTTTCCAATAGGCCAGTCTGCCATCCATCCAGGAAGAACTGCGGCACATGGCTGATGGTGCTAGAGAGGTAGGAAATGTGACTGGAACCACGGAGATCGGCTCAGATAGAGGCCTAGAGAAAGACAACTCGGAGTTGGGGAGTGAAACTCGGTACCCACTGCTATTGCCTAAGGGTGTAGTCCTGAAACTGAAGCCAGTTGCCAACCGTTTCCCCAGGAAGGCTTGGAGGCAGAGGCGTTCATCAGTCCTGAAGCCCCTCCTTATCCAGCCCAGCCCCTCTCTCCAGCCTAGCTTCAACCCTGGGAAAACACCAGCCCGATCAACTCATTCAGAAGCCCCTCCAAGCAACGTGGTGGTCCGAATTCCTCACCTGATCCAGCCAGCCACTGTCTTACAGACAGTTCCAGGCGTCCCTCCACTGGGGGCGAGTGGAGGTGATGGTTTTGAGTGTCCTGCAGCACTGCCTGCTCTGCCCCCTGAGGCCAGGACCAGCTTCCCTCTGTCTGAGTCCCAGACGTTGCTCCCTTCTGCCCCTGTGCCCAAGGTCATGCTGCCCTCTCTTGCCCCTTCTAAGTTTCGAAAGCCATACGTGAGACGGAGACCCTCAAAAAGAAGGGGAGCCAAGGCCTCTCCCTGTATGAAACCTGCCCCTGTTATCCATCCTGCACCTGTTATCTTCACTGTTCCTGCTACCACTGTGAAGATTGTGAGCCTTGGCAGCGGCTGTAACATGATCCAGCCTGTCAATGCAGCTGTGGCCCAGAGTCCCCAGACTATTCCCATCACCACCCTCTTGGTTAACCCTACTTCGTTCCCCTGTCCATTGAACCAGCCGCTTGTGGCCTCGTCTGTCTCACCCTTAATTGTTTCTGGCAATTCTGTGAATCTTCCTATACCATCCGCCTCTGAAGATAAGGCCCAAGTGAATGTGGACATTGCTTGTGCTGTGGCTGATGGGAAAAATGCCTTTCAGGGCCTAGAACCCAAATTAGAGCCGCAGGAAGTATCTCCTCTTGCTGCTACTGTTTTCCCCAAAGTGGAACATAGCCCAGGGCCTCCACCAGCAGATACAGAGTGCCAAGAAGGATTGTCAGAGAACAGTGCCTATCACTGGACTATTGTGAAAACAGAGGAGGGAAGGAAAGCTCTGGAGCCACTGCCTCAGGGCATCCAGGAGTCTCTAAACAACTCTACCCCTGGGGTTTCAGAGGAAATTGTCAAGATGGAACCCGAAGATCCTGGAGAAAAAATCAGTGGATCCCCAGAGCATGACATTTGTGATGACATTAAAGAGGAACATGCTGTGGAATTAGACACTGGCACCCCAAGTGAGGAGTTGAGCAGTGCTAGAGAAGTAAATAAACAGACGGTCTTACAGAAGGAAGAGGAGAGGAGTCAGCCAACTAAAACTACTTTATCTTCTCAAGAGCCCCCTGATGAAGGAGTCTCAGGGACAGATGTGAGCAAAGGATCATCAAAGAATGCTTCTTCCTTGATGGATCCTGAAGGGATGCTTAGTAGCCCCCAAGGGAAGCCAGAAGACTCATCCAGTGTTGATGGTCAGTCAGTGGGGACCCCCGTTGGGCCAGAAATTGGAGGAGAGAAGAATGGGCCAGAGGAAGAGGAAGAAGAGGACTTTGATGACCTCACCCAAGATGAGGAAGATGAGATGTCATCAGCTTCTGAGGAATCTGTGCTTTCTGTCCCAGAACTCCAGGTGAGAGCTGGAGAATATTCTCAAGTAATTTGTGGACTCAGTAATATGTTTAATTTATTGATAAGCCACCTGCATGTTTGCTGCAGTATAGATAGTCCTAAAATCATTTGTATTTGATTTTGTAATGCATTATGGGACATGATTGTGGGGTTGAGGTGAAATGAGAGGGAAAGGATGAAATTTTACTTACTATATTAAACTCATTTACACATTAAATTGGTCACCTGACCATACTTTAAATGCCTTAAAAAATAGTAAATAAGGCCGGGCGCGGTGGCTCAAGCCTGTAATCCCAGCACTTTGGGAGGCCGAGGCGGGTGGATCACGAGGTCGAGAGATCGAGACCATCCTGGTCAACAAGGTGAAACCCCGTCTCTACTAAAAATACAAAAAATTAGCTGGGCATGGTGGTGCGTGCCTGTAATCCCAGCTACTCAGGAGGCTGAGGCAGGAGAATTGCCTGAGCCCAGGAGGCGGAGGTTGCGGTGAGCCGACATCGCGCCATTGCACTCCAGCCTGGGTAACGAGAGCGAAACTCCGTCTCAAAAAAAAAAAAAAAAAAAAAAAAAAAAAAAAAAAAATAGTAAATAGCTGGGTGCGGTGGCTCATGCCTATAATCCCAGCACTTAGGTGGATTACCTGAGGTCAGGAGTTCTGGAGCAGCCTGACTAACATGGAGAAACACCATCTTTACTAAAAATGTAAAATTAGGCGTGGTCACACATGACTGTAGTCCCAGCTACTTGGGAGGCTGAGGTGGGAGAATTACTTGAACCCAGGAGGCAGAGGTTGTGGTGAGCTGAGATCGTGCCATTGCACTTGAGCCTGGGTAACGAGAGAAAATTCATCTCAAAAAAAAAAAAAAGTAAATAAATATGGGCTAAGGCAAAGGAAAACCCTTCAGTGGAGAGAAGCTTGTAAAAGCCATCTTCTCCTCTCCTGCTGTCATTCAGAACCGATGTGAGCTATCACTAGGATTTCTTTTTTTTTTTTGAGATGGCGTCTCATTCTGTCTCCGAGATTGGACTCCAGTGGCATGATTTCAGCTCACTGCAATCTCCACCTCCCGGGTTTAAGTAATTCTCATGCCTTAGCCTCCCAAGTAGTTGGGATTTCAGGCATGTGCCACCACGTCCAACTAATTTTTGTATTTGTAGTAGAGACGGTTTCATCATGTTGGCCTGGCTGGTCTTGAACTCCTGGCCTCAAGTGATCTGCCCAGCTCCGCCTCTCAGAGTGCCTGGATTACAGGCATGAGCCACTGCACCTGGCCTGTCGCTGGGATTGCATAACTCAGGAAATGTTGCTCTGACAGCTGTGGTGAGCTCCCCATTTAACTTCAGATTACCCTGATACAGCTTTGTGCTGTTCAGCATTTTGTGAGCCACTAGGAGCCCTTATAAGTGTTTTTTGGAGGGTTTTACAGGAAACAATGGAGAAACTGACTTGGCTAGCATCTGAAAGGCGCATGAGTCAGGAGGTTGAGTCTGAAGAAGAGAATTCTCAGGAGGAGAACTCTGAGCCAGAAGAAGAGGAAGAAGAAGAAGCAGAAGGAATGGAAAGCCTGCAGAAAGAGGATGAAATGACTGATGAAGCAGCTGGGGACTCTGCTGAGAAGCCTCCTTCTACTTCTGTGTCACCTGAGACTGCTCCAGAAGTGGAGACCAGCAGAACCCTGCCAGGTGAGTTAGGCAAGCCTCTACTGACGGACCATTCTCACTTAACCTCATTGTTTAGAGGACAGTGTGCAGAGTGGGTAGTTTATAAACCAGGTGGAGGATTTCCAGAGGAAACCCTCTGGATCTCTTCTGTAGCTTCCTTCCCCCAAACTTTTTTTTTTTTTTGGAGACAAAGTCTTGCCCTTGTCACCCTGGCTGGAGTGCAGTGGCATAATCTTGGCTCACTGCAACCTCTGCCTCCCAGGTTCAAGCGATTCTTCTGCCTCAGCCTCCTGAGTAGCTGGAATTACAGGCGTGTGCCACCACGCCCAGCTAATTTTTGTAATTGTAGGAGAGATGGGGTTTCACCATGTTGGTCAGGCTGGTGTTTTCACCATGTTGGTCAGGCTGGTCTCGAACTCGTAACCTTGTGATCCACCCACCTTGGCCTCCCAAAGTGCTGGGATTTGGGGCGTGAGCCACCGCACCTGGCCCCAAAACATTTTTAATGTGGTACTTTTGTGGAGAACAGATACTTAGACATTTTTAATTTGATTCTCATCTGTTGCTAGATTTGTATCAGCTTCATTCACTCTTCTTTTTTCCTTTTTTTTTTTTTTTTTTTTTTAAGATGGAGTCTCCCTCTGTCAGGAGTGCAGAGTAGTGTGATCTCAGTTCATTGCAACCTACATCTCCCGTACTAAAGCAGTTCTCCTGCCTCAGCCTCCCGAGTAGCTGGGATTATAGGCATCTGCCACCATGCCCAGCTAATTTTTGTGTTTTTAGTAGAGACAGGGTTTCACCCTGTTGGTCAGGCTGGTCTTGAATTCCTGACCTTGTGATCTGCCCACCTCAGCCTCCCAAAGTGCTAGGATTACAGGTGTGAGCCACCACACCTGGCTCTTCACTTTCTTATATTGGTTCTTACCTCCTCTGTCATGTGTGGGGCTAAGAGCTATGTTTATTTCAGAAAGCCCTGTTTGTTCCTCATCAACACATGGTCTCTCAAGAGCTCAATAAAACCACACTTGCTCTTTAGACTTCCTTTCTCAATATGAAGTAGTTGATTATCTTAATGTCATCCTAGTTAAGGCAGTTACACTACAGACTGCATAGAGCTGACTTGACTTACTTCTCATACCATTTTTCAGCAACTTTTTCCTTGAATTCCCCCATAATATTGAATAGGATTTGGCTGGGGTGGTCAGTGTGGTGGAGTGGGAAGAGCAGGGGTTTCAGGGACAGAGAAACAATCTTTTTCATGTGTGCTACAAGGAGAGAACATCAAAGCTGCTGGAAAGGGCCGGAGCAAGCATCGAGCTCGCAACAAGCGGGGAAGTCGGGCTCGGGCCAGCAAGGACACCTCCAAGCTGCTGTTGCTGTATGATGAGGACATTCTCGAGCGAGATCCACTCAGGGAGCAGAAGGACTTGGCCTTTGCTCAAGCTTATCTGACCAGGGTAGGCAAATTCTGCTTCCTGTTACTCCAGTCTCTCTGCCAGTCTCTATGAATGTGGCTGCGTCTCCTTCAAGGGAGATGTTTTTAAAAATGAAATCTGTTTCTCAGGCTTTACAGCAGGCTTCATGTTCCTCTCTCTCAGCTTTTCTGGCAAAAGATCTCTGTGACAGAACCATAAGGAGACATAGAGTTTAATCATAAGCATGTTTATTGTTAGCATCCTGCCATCATCCTTCTGTTGCCTAGAGACTGGCAGAAAGATGATACCACCATCATCAGTGGGAGGTTGTGACTTTAACCTCGTGGGTTCATAAGGACCTTTATAGAACCTTTGGCTTGAGAAGAAAGATAGTGGGTTTACTGTCCAGTGAGTGGATTCGGGGAAGTACATTGCTCTTAAGGCATGAACCAGCCTGGGCGTGGTGGCCCTTGCATGTAATCCCAACACTTTGGGAGGCCGAGGTAGGGGGATCCCGTGAGTCTAGGAGTTAAAGACAAGCCTGAGCAACATAGGAGACCCCCATCTCTACAAAAATTTTACAAATGAGCTCAGCATGGTGGTACATGCCCGTGGTCCCAACTACTTGGGAGGCTGAGTTGGGAGGATGTGGTTGAGGCTGCAGTGAATCATGATTGTACCACTGCACTCCAGTCTGGGCAATAAAATGAGATCCTATCTCAAAATAAAAAGAAGACATAAACCAGCCTCTTCCTGGTAGTGTCCTGAGAACTATGTCCTTCTGTTGGTAACCACCTGGCTCCTTTATCCACCCAGAAAGCAGAGTACTGGCAATGATAGTCATGGCTAATATTTTACTGACATTTCTAACTTATGTATTATTTACTCTCAGATTACACCCATGCTGAAATAGGTGTACAAACGCATCTTAATCTGTTTTATTATGGGGCTGCAATCAGTGAGGGCTGTGACCTAGAGAAAAGCATTACCTGGTTTTGTGGGTAGACCTGTGGACCTTAGAACATGGTTTCTCAGTTGCTCACTCCCAGAGAAACATCTTTACCTTGCCTATTGCTCTGTGTCTTGTATTAACAGCCAGCTGTTAAGACCTATTGGAGGGGCAACCTGTGATGGATAATTCATGGAACTCTTTAACCATAACCCCCGCTCCGTTGTACCATTATTGCTTGTTGTGGTCCAAATAAAGGGTGTTAATGATTGAAAGTCTTCCCGTGTAGGTACGAGAAGCCCTACAACATATCCCTGGCAAGTATGAGGACTTCCTTCAGGTCATCTATGAATTTGAGTCAAGTACCCAGAGACAGACAGCTGTAGATCTCTACAAAAGCCTGCAAATTCTGCTCCAAGAATGGCCTCAGCTGTTGAAAGACTTTGCCGCTTTCCTGTTACCCGAACAAGCTCTGGCCTGTGGATTAGTAAGTATATGGGCAAGAAAAGTACACCAGGACTTCTGGGTCACAGTGAGACTGGGATTGAATGGGGCTGAGTAAGACACACAGCCTTCCCCTAGCCCGGAGTGATAAGGGCCTCTGTCTTTTCAAGGATTATCTTTCCAATCCCATTCTCCCATTTTCTTCACATGACAAATGAGAGGGTTTTACCTGTAGTTGCCAAAGGAGACCTTAGGTGAGTCATACGCTCTCTGCTCCTCACTGGGATCAAACCAGGCATTCATTTAACAAATACTTGTTGAGTACCTGCAACTGTCAGACAATTCCTGACCTCAGTTGCTAGGAATACAGCAATTACAAAAGACCAAAATCCCTGCCCTCATGGAGCTCACATTCTCATGGGGAAATTCAGATGATAACTCTGGAAAACATATTTATAAAAGATATAAATTATAAAAATTAATATAAACAGTAAAATATATAGTATACAATGTTTTATAGTGATCATGTTTTACTGAAAAAGAAAGCAGGAAAAGAAACTAGAGGGGTGGTTGAGGGATGGTATATGCAGTTTTATACACAGTGGTCTGGGAAGGCCAGTGTGGTACAGTGACATGTGAAATGTTGCAGAATAGGAGGCTAAACATGAGGGATAGCCCAGTTGTCCTGGGAGTCTTGTTATGACTGATAAAAATAAGAATAAAGGGAGCAATGGGATTGTTCTGAGTTTTATGACAATTAAATGACAGTAGGGTAGTTCTGCATATAATGTGTGATGCCCATTTTCTCTTCTGGTGTTGTTATGAGGATCCAATCATTGTATATGTGAACAAAAGAAAAAAAATTTTTTTTTTTAGTCTGAGTTTCACTCTTGTTGCTCAGCGTGGAGTGCAATGGTGCGATCTCAGCTCACCGCAACTTCCACCTCCCGGTTCAAGTTAAATTCTCCTGCCTCAGCCTCTTGAGTAGCTGGGATTATATGCTAATTTTGTATTTTTAGTAGAGACGGGGTTTCTCCATGTTGGCCAGGCTGGTCTGGAACTCCTGACCTTGGTGATGGGCCCACCTCGGCCTCCCAAAGTGCTAGGATTACAGGTGTAAGCCACTGCGCCTGGCCAAAAAAATATTTTAAAGAGATAATGTTGCCTGGGTACGGTGGCTTACGCTTGTAATCTCAGCACTTTGGGAGGCCAAAGCTGGTAGATGGCTTGAACTCAGGAGTTTGAGGCCAGCCTGGACAAAATACAAGATCCCATCTCTACATAAAATAAAAAAAATAACTGGGTATGGTGGTGCACACTTCGATCCCAGCTATTTGGGAGGCTAAGGTGGGAGGACTGGGAGCTTGAGGCTTCACTGAGCCATGATTGTTCCACTACACTCCAGTTTGGGTGACAAAAGCAAGACCTTGTCTCAAAAAAAAAGAAGAGAGACAAAGTCTGGCCAGGCACAGTGGCTCACGCCTGTAATCCTAGCACTTTGAGAGGCTGAGGTGGGAAGATCCCTTGTAGCCAGGCGGTTTTTGTTTTTGTTTTTGTTTTTGTTTTGAGGTGGCGTCTCACTCTCTCGCCCAGGCTATATAGTCCAGTGGAACAATCTCCACTCACTGCAACCTCTGCCTCCCAGGGTTCAAGTGATTCTCTGCCTCATCTTCCTGGTAGCAGGGATTACAAGCATGCACGATCGCACCCGACTAATTTTTGTATTTTTAGTAGAGATAGGGTTTTACCATGTTGGCCAGGCTGACCTCAATCTCCTGACCTCAGGTGATCTGTCCGCTTTGACTTCCCAAAGTGCAAGGATTATAGGCAAGAGCCACCACACCCGGCCTGTAGCCAGGATGGACAACAGTTGAGACCAGCCTGGACAACACAGTCCCCAGGGATCCTCCCGCCTCAGCCTTCTAAGTAGCTCAAGCTACAGGCGCACACCACGACCCCTGCCTGATTTTTAAATTTTTTAATACAGACAGAGTCTCACTATGTTGCTGGCCTTGAACTCCCTGACTTTAAGTGATCCTCCTGCCTTGGCGTCCCAAAATGTTGGGAATACAGGTGTGAGCCACCTTGCATGGCCTCAGAATTCTTTGTAACATAAACTCTAAAGTGTCGCATGAATTTTGGAGTTTGATTTCACAATCCATAATACAGCAAACAACATGAAATATGTACATCTCTTGAAACTCTTGTTCACATCTTAACTTACTTTGGGTTGGTACCCACCAGTGGCTCAAGGTAGCTGGAGGTTGGGGTTTTCAATTAGATCTCATAGTTGTAAACTTAGAATTTTAAACCAGGGTTCTGTCATCCCTCCGGTCCTAGTCTGCTAGTTCTTATCCTTATAACCCTCAAGTCCTGCTCTAGCTTCATGGTGACTCCTCTTTTGCCCACTTTCCAATCTGGTAGTTTGAGGAGCAGCAGGCTTTTGAGAAGAGCCGCAAGTTCCTTCGGCAGCTGGAGATCTGCTTTGCAGAGAACCCCTCACACCACCAGAAGATCATCAAGGTCCTCCAAGGCTGTGCAGACTGCCTTCCCCAGGAGATCACCGAGGTATTCTTTCCTGGCCTGCTTTCTTCCTGCTGTCTTCCGGGCCTTAGGCCTTTCCCTTGTCACTTTCTCCAACCTACTCCGTACCTTTTTGCCTCTGCAGTCCCATGGGCTTCCTGGAGGAGATGAAGAAGGCAAGGACGTTTTAGGGTTACCCAAAGCATGAAGCACTGGGATAGGGAGGGATCACTACCTGAAACCAGAGCCTGTCTGATCTTCACAGGCTCAGGAATGCCATGGATGACCTGGAAGGGATGTTCAAGGAAGGAAGTTCTGGGACCTGGAAGGGGCCTTGCCTCCTTGCTCTGCTTGGGGTAGTGCCCTAGCTGGAGATCAGTAGGTCGAGGTGGAGAGTGAAATCATCAGGAATCAAATCTAGTATTAATACCCTTCCGCTGTAGGCAGCTAAGGAGGAAGAGAAAGTTTCGGTATTCTTCGTTATCAAGCAGAGGCTGTGTGTGTCTCCCAGTTGACTAGGAAAGCAGAACATGGCAGTAGGTGGGACTGGTTGGGAAGGGCAGCCTAGAGAGCCTCTGGAGACTTCCTCTCTTCCTCTGTGACTCTCCTCAGCTTAAGACACAGATGTGGCAGCTTCTCAAGGGCCATGACCACCTACAGGATGAGTTCTCTGTCTTCTTTGACCACTTGCGCCCAGCAGCTAGCCGGATGGGTGACTTTGAAGAGATCAATTGGACTGAGGAGAAGGAGTATGAGGTACAGGCTCTGAGGCTCCTGTGGCCTTATGAAGGGGGAAGGCCCCATGTGGGAGGGATATCTGCCTGGTGTCTGTCCTGAGCAGCACCAACTCCTTCCTAGTTTGATGGCTTTGAAGAAGTGGCGCTTCCTGATGTGGAAGAAGAGGAGGAGCCCCCCAAGATACCCACAGCCTCAAAGAACAAAAGAAGAAAAGAGATTGGGGTCCAAAATCATGATAAGGTATTTTCTTTGTTTGTTTTTGAGACAGAGTCTCACTCTGTCACCCAGGATAGAGTGCACTGGCATGATCTTGGCTTACTGCAACCTCCGCCTCCCAGGTTCAAGCTCTTCTGCCTCAGCCTCCCAAGTAGCTGGAATTACAAATACACACTCAGCTAATTTTTTATTTTTAGTAGAGATGGGGATTCACCATGTCGGCCAGGCTGGTCTCAAACTCTTGACCACAAGTGATCCACCTTCCTCGGCCTCCCAAAGGCCTGGGATTACTGGTAGTGAGCCACTGCACCTGGCCTAAAATCATGATTAAGTATGCCAGGTTATTGAAAAGTATCTATGTTTCATGAAGCAAGCCTTGCGCTTTCTCACCAAACATTTCTCCTGGCCCAAGGTTTGTAGTTCAAAGGCTCAGGATCTGAGACCATCAGGGAGAATAAACCAAGGGTCAGGCTGATACGGACATGCAGAGCCCTTGGGAAGACCATGCAGTTGCTGCTGGGCCCCAGGATTTCCTTGTTAGAAGGACCTTGTTTCTCCTCCTCTTCTCTCTAGCTCAAGCTATTACCATTCAGTCAGCTTTTTCATTTTTGTTCATGTGAGAAAATAACCAGTTAAGGATGAGCCTGCTGTTAAGAAAGTAGAACCAGCCGGGCGCGGTGGCTCACGCCTGTAATCCCAGCACTTTGGGAGGCTGAGGTGGGCAAATAACAAGGTCAAGAGATCGAGACCATCCTGGCCAACATGGTGAAACCCCATCTCTACTAAAAATACAAAAAAATTAGCTGGGCCTGGTGGTGTGTACTTGTAGTCCCAGCTACTCGGGAGGCTGAGGCAGGAGAATTGCTTGAACCCGGGAGGTAGAGGTTGCAGTGAGCTGAGGTCATGCCACTGCACTTCATCCTGGCGTCTGGTGATGGAGTGAGCCTCTGTCTCCCCGCAAAAAAAAAAACAGTAGAACCAAGATTCCCCATGTTAATAATAGTGAAATAGTGATAGTATCTAATACTTAGTTGTATTACAAAGTGTCAGGCATTGCTAGGAAGTATTTTCATGGATTATTGACCCATTTAATTCTCACAGTAATCCTATGGAGAAATTGCTGTTTGTATTTTACAGAAGACGTAACTGAAATGCAGTGTGCTGTTGGCAGGGTCTTATATTTAGTAAGTGGCAGTGCTAGGATATGAACTCAGTAAGCCAGCTACAGAGTCTGCTCGTTCTCACGGCTCTTCAAATAGTCTTTTTTTTTGAAAAAAATTTCGTTTTTCCTGACCAAATGTTTTAGAGTACTCTTTCCTGGGGAGAAACTATTTCTTAGTAGCTGTATGACCTTGAACAGCTTTCAGTTTCTTCATCATAAATTGGGATAATAATAGTACTTACGTCTTGGGTTTATTGAACAGTGTCATTGAGTGAGCCTTCCATGGGTACAAAGCCCTCTCAACGGGATTGGAAGAAGGGAGAGCTAAAGGCACAGAGAGACAGAAACAAACATATTGTATCTCATGATGGAGCTCTTCAGTGACTTTGCTTCAGGTTCTGTCTTAAATATTTCTTGAAAACATATGGGCGATAGGGATATGTCATTCTTTAGGTCATTTAGGGATTGTTTCAGGGATTCATAATAGGCGTTAATCTAGTTCGGGCTATTTCCCCACGCAATGTGATGAGATGATACATAAAAGAAGAAGGCTGGGGCTGGGCACAGTGGCTCACACCTTTAATCCCAGCACTTTGAGAGGCCAAGGCAGGTGGATCATTTTAGGTCAGGAGTTCAAAACCAGCCTGGTCAATGTGGCGAAATCCCATCTCTACTAAAAATACAAAAAAAATAGATGGGCGTGGTGGCATGCACCTGTAATCCCAGCTACTCAGGAGGCTGAGTCACAGGAATTGCTTGAACCTGGGGAGTGGAGGTTTCACTGAGCCAAGATCACACCACTGCACTCTAGCCTGGGCAACAGAGTGAGACTCTGTCTCAAAAAAAAAATAGCCGGGTGTGGTGGTGTCCACCTGCAGTCCCTGCTACTTGGAAGGCTAACATGGCAAAATCACTTGAGCCCAGGAGGCAGAGGTTGTAGTGAGCCACAAATGTGCCACTGAATTATAGCCTGGAGCCAGACTGTGTCTCAAAAAAAAAAAAAAAAAAAATAGCATGGGGAGACGGTAGGGGGTGTTGTGTTCCTATGGCTCACAACCTTAGCTTCCTCTCTTGGTACCAAAAATACAGCTGGGTGCAGTGGCTCACGGCTGTAATCCCAGCACTTTGGGGGGCTGAGGCAGGTGGATCACGAGGTCAGGAGTTCCTAGACAGCCTGACCAACATGATGAAACCCAGTCTCTACTAAAAATACAACAGTTAGCTGGGCATGGTGGTGCACGCCTGTAATCCTAGCTACTCGAGAGGCTGAGGCAGGACAATCACTTGAACCCGAGAGGCAGAAGTTGCAGTGAGCTGAGATCACACCACTGCACTCCATCCTGGGCAACAGAGCAAGACTCCATCTCAAAACAAACAAACAAACAAACAAAAATCTTGGCAGCTAATCAAGCCCAGATATCTTCTAGGAGACTGAGTGGCCAGACGGGGCCAAGGACTGTGCCTGCTCCTGCCATGAAGGAGGTCCAGATTCCAAGCTGAAGAAGAGCAAAAGGAGGAACTGTAGCCACTGTGGCAGCAAGGTGAGGGAAGTGTCAAGGGTACTGGTCCCAGGGGTGTCAGAGCTGCTCGGGGCTACCCAGAATTGTACCTGATTGAATTCCTAAAAAGACGTGTACATATGCAAAATAATTGGAATCTGCTAGAAATATGTGATAGATTTTGTTTTCTTAAAGAGAATCCTGTGAGGAAAGCTTTTGGAATTGGAAAAACAAAATACCCGTTAAAATATTTCCCTCAGATTTTAGAAAACGAAATAAACCTCTGTCTTGAGAATAGTCTCTTTAAGTAATCCTAGTTTTCTAGAGTGGAGTTGGTTGGCAGGAAGAGCACAGTTCTTGGTAAGACAAAGGAGTTGTGGAATCCAGTACTCTACTCTGGGCCATTTAAAATCCTTGTAGCAGGGAGGCAGAGGTTGCAGTGAGCCATGATCACAACACTGAACTCCAGCCTAGGTGACAGAGTGAGACCCTGTCTCAAAAAAAAATAAAAAATAAAATCCTTGGAGGAGTAGCTGGGCCACAGGGCACTCAGGAAGGCTCAGGTGGAAGGATCACTTGAGCCCAGGAGTGTGAGGCTACAGTGTACCACCATGGTCATACCTGTTAAGTAGCCACTGCTCTCCAGCCTGGGCAAGATAATGTGTGTCATCTGTGAGACCCTGTCTCTGTGTCTCTTTTCTTTTTGTTTTTCATTTGAGACAGGGTCTAACTATGTTTCCCGGGCTGGTCTTGAACCACTGGGTTCAAGTGGTCCTCACACCTCAGCCTGCCAAGTAGCTGGGTTTACAGGCATGTCCCACTACATCCAGTTTAAACCCTGTCAACCAAATTGTTGGAGCACGCATGCATGTTGGTTGACTTGGTGAGCATCAGGCAGGGCTTATTCCTTTGTTGGGCCCCAAAGACATGGGCGATCAGGACACCTTTGACCCCGAAGGCCATCCCTGCAGGTCTGTGACAGCAAATCCTACAAGAGCAAGGAGCTCCATGAGTTGGTGGGCAGCAGCCCCCACCAAGAGGCTAGTCCTATGCCTGGTGCTAAGGACGCGGGGCAGAGCAAGGATGTGATGGAAGAGGAAGTCCCAGAGGAGCGGGAGAGCAGTGAGGCCACCCACAGCAGGACTGTCAGGACCACCAGAAAGGGAGAGACGCCCGTTTCAGGTGAGTGATCTGACTGCCAGCCCGGGCCTTCCGTTTCTCAGTCGCATTCTCCTGTACTCCAGATGGGAACCTCTATGCACCCAGATAAATAACAGCCTTTTCAGGGATGGATATACCCCGTTTCACTCATGGACCCATAGGAAGCCCTTCTTCTGTTCAGGCTTTTTCTATCCTATGGCCTCAATCCTCTTACAGAATGAAAAGTGCTACAGATTTCACATGATTCAACATTGTCTTGTTTCCATTCCTAAAACCCTTCACCCATCTCCAAATCTGCTGTAATGTACATCCTAAAGACTCAGGACATTCTCAGCTTTGGCAGTAGGACTTTTTATCTTTGTGTAAGTGAGATGACAATCCCCACCTCCACCCAACTCTTCTATTTTTTATATTTTTTTTTTTGTAGAGATGGGGGTCTCACCATATTGCCCAGGCTAGTCTCAAATTCCTGGCAACAAGCGATCCCACCACCTGGCTTCCCAATGTGCGGGCATTATAGGTGTGAGCCACCATGCCAGCCCTCTTGTAGCGGAATGTTCGCACAGTACCTGGCCACAGTGACCCTATTGTAATTTCTCATGCTTAGGTGCATCTCGATCCTGACAGTACCCTGAGATCCTTATTTTCCTCCTAAGCAGGATTGGCAGTGGGGGGCACTTTGCCGTCCCCTCGAGAAGTGACTCTTACAGAGCGGCTCCTGGATGGCCCACCACCTCATTCACCAGAGACTCCTCAGTTTCCCCCCAAAACTGGAGCTGTACTATACACTGTTAAGAGAAACCAGGTTGGGCCTGAGGTTCTCCCCTGCGCCAAGGCATCCCCCAGACTTCAGAAAGAGAGAGAGGGCCAAAAGGCCGTGGGTGAGTCAGAGGCTTTGATGCTGGTCTGGGATGCATCCGAAACTGAGAAATTGCCTGGTACCGTGGAAACCCCCGCTTCCTTCCTGAATCCTGTTTCCTCAAAGACCAGAGATGCAGGGAGAAGACATGTGTCCGGGAAACCAGAGACTCAAGAGAGATGGCTGCTCTCAAGCAGAGCTAGGGTGAAGACAAGAGACAGGACGTCCCCTGTTCATGAATCTCCATCAGGAATTGATACCTCAGAGACTTCTCCCAAAGCCCCTAGAGGGGGTTTGGCTAAAGACAGTGGAACACAGGGCAAGGGTCCAGAGGGGGAGCAGCAGCCAAAGGCCACAGAAGCTACAGTGTGTGCCAACAACAGCAAGGTCAGCTCCACGGGGGAAAAGGTGGTCCTGTGGACAAGGTAGGTATGGGTGGATGACATGTTTGCAAAAGAGCATAGACCACATGTGTGGCTCCCTAGGGTTACCATGATACTTGTGTTACAGGGAAGCTGACCGTGTGATCCTCACCATGTGCCAGGAGCAAGGGGCACAGCCACAGACCTTCAGCATCATCTCCCAGCAGCTGGGAAATAAGACCCCTGCTGAGGTAAGTGGGCTGGGGTGGGAGAAGGCCCGGCAAAAAGAGTTCAAGGTGGCCAACTAAGACAAAGACCAAAGGAGGAGTTTTCAGAGCCAGGACACTAAGTGGTTATTGTAAAGGTCTGATCTAAGGAAAGGCTCGACTCATCAGGCTGGTAGTGGTTCTAGAAGAGAAAGGACACTGGATTTTGAGGATTTCTTTTGTTTTTTTTGAGACAGTTTCACTCTTGTTGCACAGGCTGGAGTGCAGTGGTGTGATCTCAGCTTACTGCAACCTCTGCCTCCTGGATTCAAGTGAATCTCCTGCCTCGGCCTCCAAAGTAGCTGGGAATACAGCTGCCCACCACCATGCCTGGCTAATTTATTTTTTTTTTAGTAGAGACAGGGTTTTACCATGTTGGCCAGGCTGGTCTTGAACTCCTGACCTCAGGTGATGCGCCCAGCCAGGATTTTGAGGTAGAAGCCCTGAGTTCCATTCTAGTTTTGTTTTTAGGAGGCGTGTGACTTTGGGCAAAACATTTAGCTTCTTAGTGTCCTTACTATAAAGACATCACTCTCCCAACCTTGCTGTGTGGAATAAATAAAAAAGTTCCCAAATAAGACTGAAGTGCTTCATGGATGTTAACCTGTTTCTAAGGATCAGTGAATACAGCCCTCCTCCTTTCTCAGGTTTCCCACCGTTTTCGAGAACTCATGCAGCTCTTCCACACTGCCTGTGAGGCCAGCTCTGAGGATGAGGATGATGCGACCAGTACCAGCAATGCAGACCAGCTCTCTGACCATGGGGACCTTCTATCTGAAGAGGAGCTGGATGAATGAGACTCTGGGAATGCTTGGGTATCAGCTACACAGGACCAAACCCAACAGGCGCCCTGACACCAGCGAGGAGGGGAGCTGCACTCTCCCTGTACAACCCTTGCACCCGGTTTACAAAGCTGGACGGCAGGGGCCCAGGACGAGGACAAAGGCTGGAGGTTGGAGCCGGGCCCAGGGGCTGTGCCATCCTGGGCATCCTTCAAGGTCTTTTATGAAAACCTTACGGATGTGCTCTGTAAATAGCATCGAGTGAGAGTGGAGCTCAGGTCCTTTCTCTACCTTTTTTTGCTCTGACGGCATATATTTATTGTTCTGTGGTCTAATCACAGGGTTTCTAAACGTAGTAAGTGCGTATGTTGGTGTCGCTAGTCTTGCCACACAGCTTCTCTGCACAGAGACCTGCATCCAGCCGTTGTTACTGCCAGCTAGCGCCTCCCCAACACTGGGAACTTGAGTCCACGAGGCTGTCAGTCAGTCACCGTCCCGGTAGCACTGGGCCAGGCTTCGCAGCTCCTGCAGCAGCTCTGCTACGTCGTCGTGCTCCACTCCGGCATCCATGAAGCTGGCCCAGCGCCGCACATCGAGTTTGGTGAGGTCTCCGGCCAAGGCTTCCAGAGTCCGGTGCAGGGACGAAGAGGAACACAGTGCCCCAAACACTGGGATGCTCTCCACTGCTGTGGAGGGAGAGAGAAGCCAGACCTGTAGGTGGATTATTCTACCCCAGGGCTCTGTCAAACTGATAAGGAAGTCCACCCTTGGCAGTCTTGATTGTAAACTCAGTAAATTTTGTGTACTGCCCCCCTTAGTACACCAGTACTCCAGAGGAAGAACACTTCTTGGGAGCCATAGGGTGAATAAAGGAATGGTTAACTGTGGCCTCCTGAAGCACTTTTAATCCAGGGAAGGAGATGGTAAAAACTCTCCCGTACTTGAAATGTTTTCTTCATCTCACACATACCTGCTCCCTTCAGGGAACCATCCGGAACCAAACCCTGTGGACTGCAGCTTGAGAAGAGGTGGGGGTAAGGAGGAACCACCCTGCGGGGAGTCAGCAGCAGATGGGAAGAACTGGGGGGGCAGAGAACAGCCGTTAAGTGAAGTCAAGGGAGGGCTGAGGTTGGCAAGAAGGGCAGGAGCGAACTGTCACACTGACCTCATGGCTCTAGGCTGCTGCTGCTGTAAATACTGGGCCAGCACTTCTTCCCCAGTGGTACACGCGTGCAGGGAGGAGGGTGGAGTCCCTGGTGTGAACTGACCGCCAGAACAAAGCCAAAACCACTGTTGGTCTATGGCAGCATGAATAAGAAATGAAGAATTCTTACATTCTCAGACCATCAGCTGAATCAAAATGTTCAGAGACTTTTTTCCTTTGGTAAGGGGTGGGGAGGGAACAGTATTAGAATGGCCCAGAGAAACCAAGGAGAAAAGGACATAAAACGAAAATTGACACGGGCCCTAAGGACCAACAGTTCTCGCCTTGTGTGGCAGGCTCTGCCTATACCCCTCAGCACCACTGACTGGGCAAAGCAACGTGTTCCAGAAGGGTCACCACATGCAGACAGCGGGGTCCATGGGGTGGCTCCTCGAAGCTGCATCAGGGAATCAGGAAGGGACTGGCCTGGAGCCAAGGGGAAAGGGATGGTTGCTCCTGCTGTCACCACCTAAAGATAAGGAAGAGAACAGGTTACAGGACTTCCTGAGCACTGGGCCAGCCCCTCACAAAGCGTCATACCTTTTTCCCACAGAAGCTCAGCATGTCAGCCAGCTGAACCATGGAAACTGGGGAGGCGCACAGGCGATAAGGAGCAGTGAGTGTGTCCAGGGCTGTAGCCAGGATGGCACTGTGGTGGAAGGGCAGAGTGGCCTGTAAGAAGACACCAGGGGGGCACTTGGCCTCGGGCCTGGAAGAGTGTGGAGGCAGAGTATTAACGGCAGAGAGATCCAGGGCATGAAGCAGGGATACGTTTGGCCCCAGGCTGGACAGGCATAGGACACTGTGACCTGAGTGGCCACATCACAGCTGAGTTCAAGCTCAGGCCTCAGGGACAGCCACTTACAGACAGTGGCTGACTTGGGACTATGAGGAGGCCCCACAGCCAGCTGCAGTCAGAACAAGAGCACCGAGCCTTACATCATAATGCAGGTAAGGGAACTTGACAGGTGGCTCGGGTCGCAGGCCCAGGCTCCCATCCAGGGACAAGGGGCAGACGAGAGAGCTGTGAGCAGTCAGGTGCACGAGACCAAAAGCTGTGTTTAATAGACGATAGACGTTTCTCTGGGCCTCCTGGGGAAGACAAGAGCGGTCTGCATTAAGCAACTTTCCCACTGGGATTCTCGTTTCTCCCTCCCTCCCCACCGTGTGACTGCTTACTCCTCCAAGTTCCACTCACCCCACGATGGCAGGGACCAGGTAGCAGGCCCCACGTTATTATTCCCCGCCCTGAATATTCATCTTGTAGCATCTCTGCAGCCTTAGCGCCCACCCCAGAGAAGCCATCGTGCAGGTCACACAGGATCTGGAAGCCCTGGGCAGAGGTGAGTGACGAAAGATAGTTAGGGAGGAGGATGAGAAGAGCTTCCACCCTGGGGCACACATGGCCACACCACTACCTGCAGGTAGTCACATTCCTCCACGTAGAAGTGCAGCCTGTCCTCCAGCTCTTCCTGGTACTTGGGTTCCTTTAGGACACTTTCCCCTTGGCCAAAAGCCTCCAGCCGACCTGCTTCCCTGCCACAAATAAACACGACCCAAGACTTGCATCTCTTCCTCTCAACTCCTCAACCTCTTGTCCTGGGGAAGGGCAGGGAAGATGGCCTCAAGAGCCTCATCCAGCATTGGTGAGGACCCACGTTTCTTGCCTCACAGCCTCTGGGGCCTCCATACCCATCGTGATTGTACTTCTGAATCATACAGATGCTCCGGGGATGCAGATGGACTCTGAGGAAGTCTGACCAGACTCTGATGCTGCCCTCTGTAGGGATAAGTGGTTTTGGAGTGGTAGACGTGGTGAGCTGTGGGGGACCTGAAGACAAGTAGAGGAAACGTACCTTTCTCCACATTTCTGCTCCACCCAGACCCCCATCCACCAGTATCTGGGGAAGTCTCACCTTTGTCGTTGGGAATGGATTTGACCCTCCAAACACCATCACTACTCAGCACACCCTGGGAGGGGTGAGAAAAATCCTCATTTAGTTCCAGGCAGTTTAGAGGAAAAGGTTGATTTATCCTCGAGTTGGTTGACCACATCACACAACCTCCTTTCTGTTCATGGAGTCGCGGTCCTTAGGAAAAGATGTGCTTTTTCCAAAAATATCATTTTAAGTCATTTAAGGTGATTAAAATCCTCTTTTACCTGCCCCTATGGAGGCCCTCGGGTTGTAGCACTGGGTTAAAAAGTTCAGGGCAGTGGCCCTCACCTCTGCACTCAGAAAGTCCTGGAGATAAGGGTTCTTGGGGTAGAGTTCCTCTTTGTGTGTGGTGAGCTTCCCCTGCCTGAAAGAGATTGGAGATTGATCAAAGAAACTGCATTCTGATGAGTTCTCCAGCGTTCTACATACACACACGTTCCCCACCCCTCTCATCAATTACACACCATGCTATTGCAGCGTCCAGCTGTTTGTCCTTGTAGAGTCCACCTTCCTCTTTTAGGGAGCTCAAACTACCTGTACAGAAATAACAGACAATGTTAGGTCAAAGCCTGGGGCACCCTACCCCTCTAGCTAAACTTCCTGATCACCTGCTGTCACCAGCTCTCCAGCACTTGGCTCTTCCAAGCTTTCTGGGATATACACCAGTTGGGGGTGGGGGGGAACCTAGGCATAGGATAATCTAGATTCTGTATTTCCGTTCCCAGCTTAGTCATTAGCTATGGGACCGGGGTCAAAAACTACATTCAGCGGTCCGACAGGAGTGCTGCAGTTCAAGTCCTCGCCGTCTCCAAGGCCTAGCAGCGTGTTCCCGAGATGACTCTGGAGCAGAGTAAGTTTTAACGTCCTGCGCCCCTCGGGTGCTGCCACACTGCGCTCAGCTCTTCATCTCTGGTCCTTGAACTCAGGAAGGTGGGAGCGTCTTGAAGCGAACGGCAGGGCAGGGACTCGGCACACGGAAGGGAAACACGCGGCATCGGCTGACCCTGCCACCACCTCACCCTTCAGATCCATGAGGATGAGTCGCGGCGTGTAGGTCTCCTGGCCGTGCAGCGTCCGGCCCGTACGATACAGGACGTCGGGGCACAGCTCTCCCGGCGGCTGCTTAGCATCGGTCGCTCCGCCCAGCGCAGCATCCTGGGGAGGCAGAGAGGACGAGGCAGGCCGGCTGAACGTCGGGACTGTAGATCCCGAAGGGCTCCGCGGGGGCAGCTGGCGACAGACCTCACCTGCTGGTTCCACCAGTGCGCGCCCACGAAACCGGCAAAATGTCCCAACTGCAGTGTGAGCACCTCCCGGGCCCCGCCCGCCATACCGCGCGGCTCCACGGGGCTGCGGCCCTCCAGCCCCGCCCGCGCTCGCTGCTTCTAGCCGATTGGCTAAGCCGGCGCGCGGACGAGTGTCATTCTCGGCGCCCTATTGGTCCGCAAACACAGCCTTTCCCATTGGAGGAGCGGTTCGCCGATCCTTTCCTCCGTTTTCCTGGGTGTCGCCCAGTCTGGTTTCTCCGTGGTTGCGTGTGAGGGGCCGGGCTCCACGGGCCACGCTGGTGCTCCTGCTCCAGGCTGGAGCGGGTTGGGCGCTGTCTCCGCCGCTCACGTGGGTCCCCCCGAGGCCCTGCCCGCTACTTCTCCTGCGTCTTATCCCTTCTCACAGATCTCTCCGCTGGCTGATAGCTCCCGGAACAAAAATAAAACCTTGCCAGGAAAGCGCAAGCTCCCCTAAAGCTTCCCATGCCCCCTCATCCCTTCACAAGTCGGATTTCGACTAATACGCTGTCGACTGGCCTAGTTACCATCTCTCAATATTTAATGTATTTATCTGTGTATCAAATCCCTTACGTAAATAGAGGATGTATACTTTTTTTTTTTTTTTTTTTTTTTTTTTTTTTTTTTTTTTGAGGCGGAGTTTCGCTCTTGTTACCCAGGCTGGAGTGCAATGGCCCGATCTCGGCTCACCGTAACCTCCGCCTCCTGGGTTCAGGCAATTCTCCTGCCTCAGCCTCCTGAGTAGCTTGGATTACAGGCACGTGCCACCATGCCCAGCTACTTTTTTTTGTATTTTTAGTAGAGACGGGGTTTCACCCTGTTGACCAGGATGGTCTCGATCTCTCGACCTCGTGATCCACCCGCCTCGGCCTCCCAAAGTGCTGGGATTACAGGCTTGAGCCACCGCGCCCGGCTAATTTTTGTATTTTTACCAGAGACAGGGTATCACTGTGCTGGCCAGGCTGGTCTCGAACTCCTGAGCTCAAGTGTTCTACCTGCCTTAGCCTCCCAAAGTACTGAGATTACAGGTGTGAGCCACCGTGTCTGGCTCGGTTTTTTGGGTTTTTAAAAAGACTATGTTTTAGAGCATACTGCTTTATTTATTTATCTGACGAAGTCTCACTCTGTTGCTCTGTCTGGGGTGCAATATCGTATTCTCAGCTCAGTGTCACCTCTGTCTCCTGGGTTCAAGTGATTCTCCCACCTCAGCCTCCCAATTAGCTGGAATTACAGGCACCCAACATCTTGCCTGGCTAATTTTTTTTTTTTGAGAAAAGAGTCACACTCTGTCACCAGGCTGGAGTGCAGTGGCATGATCTTGGCAGACTGCGACCTCTGCCTCTGGGGTTCCAGTGACTCTCCTGCCTCAGCCTCCTGAGTAGCTGGGACTACAGGCACCCGCCACCGTGCCCAGATAATTTTTTCTATTTAGTAGAGACAGGTTTTCACCATGTTAGTCAGGCTGGTCTCAAACTCCTGACATAAGGTGATCCACCCGCCTCAGCCTCCCAAAGTGCTGGGATTACAGGCATGTGCCACCTCACCTGGTCCTCTTTTGAATTTTTATTTGCAACTTTAGACTTCTGTCTTGAAGGTAGCATCGTGTTTGCGTGTGTCAGGTCTTCCCAGAAATGGACACCAAGATCGGGTTATAGGCTGGCCAAAGTCATTCATGCCTATACTCCCAGCAATTTGGGAGGCGGAAACAGGTGGAGCACTTGCGCCCAGGAGTTTGAGACCAGCCTGGGAAACACAGTGAGAACTCATCTTTTTATAGCTGGAATTAAAGGTACATGCCACCATCCCCAGCTAATTTTGTATTTTTAGTAGAGACTGGGTTTCACCATGTTAGCCAAGCTTGTCTTGAACTGCTAACATCAAGTGATCTGTCTGCCTCACCCTGAGCCACCACACCTGGCTATATATATTTGGGTAGAAATTTGTCTCTAGGAATTGGTAAGAGAGGTTCCTTTTAGAAGAGCAGTGGGAGAAAAGGAAGATACCTGACTTTCCATTACATTGTAATTCATTCCTTGTACCTACGGGGGATTTGTCCAGGACCCCACCTCCCCCGGGCAGCAACATCCTCAGATGCTGAAGTCCCTTATATAAAATAGCACAGTACACTTTATTTTATTTTTTGAGATAGAGTCTTGCTGTCACCCAGGCTGGAGTGCAGTGGTGTGATCTTGGCTTACTGCAACCTCCACCTCCCAAATTAAGGCAATTCTCCTGCCTCAGCCTCCTGACTAGCTGGGATTACAGGTGTGTGCCACCATGCCAAGCTAATTTTTGTACTGTTAGTAGACATGGGGTTTTGCCATGTTGCTGAGGCTCATTGCAAACTCCTAAGCTCAAGCAATCTGCCCACCTTGGGCTTCCAAAGTGCTGAGATTATAGGTGTGAACCACTGTGCCTGGCCAGCTGTGAATCTTGACAGGCTGAATTGCATAAAGTCTAAACAGAACCACTGGCAATTTCTGTAGAATTGATCTCTTCTGACTTGCAACAAGTGGAATATCAGGGAAATACAATTTGGCCAATCTAAAGGCTCCTTCCATGTTATTAATCTAATACAACACTTTACAAACATACTTTAGGCCAGGTGAAGTGGTTCATGCCTATAATCCCAGCACTTTGGGAGGCCAAGGCGGGCGGATCATGAGGTCAAGAGATTGAGACCATCCTGGCCAACACGGTGAAACCCCGTCTCTATTAAAAATACAAAAATTAGCCGGGCGCGGTGGCTCAAGCCTGTAATCCCAGCACTTTGGGAGGCCGAGGCGGGTGGATCACGAGGTCGAGAGATCGAGACCATCCTGGTCAACATGGTGAAACCCCGTCTCTACTAAAAATACAAAAAAAGTAGCTGGGCATGGTGGCGCGTGCCTGTAATCCCAGCTACTCAGGAGGCTGAGGCAGGAGAATTGCCTGAACCCAGGAGGCGGAGGTTGCGGTGAGCCGAGATCGCGCCATTGCACTCCAGCCTGGGTAACAAGAGCGAAACTCCGTCTCAAAAAAAAAAAAAAAAAAAATTAGCCGGGTGTGATGGCACGCGCCTGTGTTCCCAGCTACTCAGGAGGCTGACGTGGAAGAATCGCTTGAACCCAGGAGGCAGAGGTTGCAGTGAACTGAGATTGCACCACTGCACTCCAGCCTGGTGACAGAGCAAGGCTCCATCTGAAAAAAAAAAAAAGATACTCTATTTAGAAAAAGAGCCATCATTTATCTTAAATGTGAAAACCACATCCAATAAACTGATACAAGTTTCAGGAACAAGGCAGTACCATTTTTTTAATGCGGGTCCAGAGCCAACTGCAGTCTGTCCAATCCCCCATAGGTCTAAGGGCTTGGCTCCTCTTCCTGTGTACTGCCAGCCTTCCTCATCTCACTGTGTCCAGCCTAAAGCAGATGTCCCTCGTCTTCCTCGAATGTTGTGATGGTGGCTTAGAGATAAGCACAGTGCCGCTCCAGCAGCGAGGGGTTTGCGTTACTTAGAAACAACAGCTGTTTTTTCCCTTCTTCTGTATGAGCTAAAATAGAGACAAACACAGGTAAGTGGTGTTTCCTCCCGCTGCACTGGTTTCCCCAGAAAATCATGTAGTCAGAGGCTACCATTTCCAAATTACATTCTGAGGTAATTAGCATCCCCCAAGAGATCTTACTTCCAGACCCTTACCCCAATCAACTACTCTTTTTTTGTATGCATTATTTCCTTCTTTGTGTCTACTCCTCAATCCAGCATGGAGCTCTCCCTCCACTCCCAGAGCATCTTCAGGACTTTGTCAAACCTCCCAACTCTCTTTAGAAATCTGTCCATTGGGCTGGGTGTGGTGGCTCACCCCTATAATCCCAGCACTTTGAGAGGCTGAGGCAAGCAGATCACGAGGTCAGGAGATCAACACCATCCTGGCCAACATGGTGAAATCCCCCTTTTTTTTTTTTTTTTTTTTTTTTTTGGTTTTTGGAGGAAACCCAATCTCTACTAAAAATACAATTAGCCAGTCATGGTGGCACGCACCTGTAGTCCTAGCTACTCAGGAGGCTGTGGCAGGACAATTGCTTGAACCCAGGAGGCAGAGGTTGCTGCGAGCCAAGATCATGCCACTGCCCTCCAGCCTGGGAGACAGAGCGAGACTCCATCTCAAAAAAACAAAAAAAAAACAAAAAAAAAACCCCTGTCCACTGTGCCTCCCAACTTAACATGCTGCAGTTACTCTTATACTCTTCACTCTACTTCTTTAATAAGCTATTCCAATTACTATCTTTTCCTCTTCTTTTTTTTTTTTTTGAGACGGAGTTTCACTCTTGTTACCCAGGCTGGAGTGCAATGGCGCGATCTCGGCTCACCACAACCTCCGCCTCCTGGGTTCAGGCAATTCTCCTGCCTCAGCCTCCTGAGTAGCTGGAATTACAGGCACGTGCCACCATGCCCAGCTAATTTTTTTGTATTTTTAGTAGAGACGGGGTTTCACCATGTTGACCAGGATAGTCTCGATCTCTCGACCTCGTGATCCACCCGCCTCGGCCTCTCAAAGTGCTGGGATTACAGGCTTGAGCCACCGCGCCCGGCCTTCTTTTTTTTTAATAGAGACAGGGTCTCACTATATTGCCCAGGCTGGTCTCAAACTCGCAACTTAAAGTGATCCTTCCACCTCTGCCTCCCAAAGTGCTGGGATTACAGGCGTGAGCCCACTGCATCGGCCTCCAGTTACTATTAACTCTCTATTATCAGTAATAGAAGTAACAGAGCAGCCTGAGCTTTTCTTCTATATCCCCTCTCATATTTCAAGGTCAGGTTAAGATAAAGAAATAGATAGCTGGAATGCTTTCAGTCAGATAGATGAAATATGGTGCAAAAAGTTAATTTTTGTATATATACTAGGACAGGTGTGGCAAAGAATTTCTTAGGTGCTACGGTAGCCTCTTGCACAGCATGAATTATTCTGTGAGTGTCCCAGCACGAGTCTCTCAAGTGTAGTCCGTTGAATGAAAAAATGCAATAAAGAGAATGTGGCAGGAACCCAATCACCTGGAAACTGTCCAGTGGATGGAGTGGGTTTGGCTGCCTTCTTTATCATGGAGAATTTACGGATAAAATCTCTTTTGTAAATTAAACCTTAACCACCTCCCACCCACCTTTCTGTAGCATCTTAGCCAGAAAGAAGTCAAGATAAAGGATAAAGTATAAATTAGAGGCTGTTGCTGAGGGAAGAAAACATCAAGGTTCTGATTCAGTGGGATTCTACTGTGATCACAAAGCCCTGGTAGAAAAAAACTAAATGGACCTTTCTCATGTTGAAGCCAATTGTTTTCCAAATAATACTGAATACAACTTTCAAATTCCTTTGGGTTATAGTTGGAAACCAGAATGGGAATAAAGGGATCCAGGGCATCAAATCCTTCCTAGGGAAGAAAAAGGATAAAGAAACATATTAGTTAAGAGACAAAGCACCAAACAGACAAACTCTACTTAAGCATTTTGAAGGCAGGGTCTTTTTCTTCTATTTAACTCTACTTCCCATCCTCTGGCAACATTGCTTGATACAGGACTCCACATATGGCTACATTAAAAAAAAAATTGAGACTGTCTCAAATAAAATACAATAAAAAATAATGGGAAAAAATACTCTAGATGGAAAATAAATGGAAACAAAGCAATCAAAATCAAACTGTATTTCAAATTAATTAATTCCTTCCTTCCTTCCTTCTTTCCTTCCTTCCTTCTTTCCTTTTCTTCCTTTCTTCCCTCCCTTCCTCCCTTCCACCCGTCCTCCCTCTCCCCCTCCCTCTCTCCTCTCTCCCTCCCTTATCCTCCAGCAGTTTTGCTCTTCTTGCCCAGGCTGGAGTCAGTGGCATGATCTCAGCTCCTGGGTTCAAGCAATTCTCCTGCCTCACCGCACACCCAGCTAATTTTTGTATTTTTAGTATGGACAGGGTTTCATCATGTTGGCCAGGCTGGTCTTAAACTCCTGAGCTCAGGTGATCTACCCGCTTCTGCCTCCCAAAGTGCTGTGATTACAGGTGTGAGGCACAATGCTTGGGTGAGAAGGAATTTTTGAAGAGAGTATTTGGCCAGGCATGGTGGCTCACGCCTGTAATCCCAGCACTTTGGGAGGCCGAGGTGGGCGGATCACAAGGTCAAGAGATCGAGACCATCCTGGCCAACATGGTGAAACCCCGTCTCTACTAAAAATATAAAAAATAGCTGGGCATGTTGGCACGTGCCTGTGGTCCAAACTACTTGGGAGGCTGAGGCAGAAGAATCGTTTGAACCCAGGAGGCGGAGGTTCCAGTGAGCCAAGATTGTGCCACTGCACTCCAGCCTGGCGACAGAGCAAGACTCCTTCTCAAAAAAAAAAAAAAAGAGAACATTTGCAGTACAGATCCTTAGGCTAAAGACAAAAATTAAGTGAACATCAAACTCTAGTTAGCAGTTCCTTTTTCACAGGATTAAGAGCCAGGAAACCTGAAACTACTTTTAAATATGTTCTAGTATTGAGCTAGTAAGTAAATATACTGTGGCTACTGGCAGATTTCTCTTTATTTTAGATTATAGTTACAGATATGGAAAGTGGAAAGGGTATAATGAATGCTGTGATACCAGCATGGAATTGGCAAGTATCAGTAGCAACTCATGGTTTCTGAATATGATTAGAGAAAGAAAACACGTGTGGATATGTATAAACATGTATATACACACAGTTCACACACATGCATCTATTTACTAACTTTGCTGTGAGGGCCTAGGAGAATGGACACCTCACTAGCAGTAAGTATATCTAGCACTCAGGCCTTGGTTGCTAAATACCATTCTCCTCTAAAACAAGTCAACGATCTTTGGAGAAATGGGGATTCCAGGGCTAGGGCATGGGAAATACAAGAGGAGTCTGGAACATATTCTTATGACAGAAAATAAAGAAGCGGTCAAAGAATCACGGGAGCTGGACATGGTGGCTCACGCCTGTAATCCCAGTTCAAGACCAACCTAGGCAACAACACAGTTAAGACCCTGCCTCTAAAAAAAGAAAAGAAAATGACAACATTCGGTGTGGCTGGATGCACTGGCATGTCTCAAGGCAAGAGTGAGCTATGATAGCACTACTGCACTGCAGCCTGGGTGACAGAGTGAGACCCTGTCTCCAAAAAAAAAGAAAAAGAATGATAGGGACATAAAAGGATATAGAAGCTAGCTTGAAGGAGCTTTTTTTTTTTTTTTTTTTTTTTTGAGACGGAGCTTCGCTCTTGTTACCCAGGCTGGAGTGCAATGGCACCATCTTGGCTCACCGCATCCTCCGCCTCCTGGGTTCAGGCAATTCTCCTGCCTCAGCCTCCTGAGTAGCTGGGATTACAGGCACGCACCACCATGCCCAGCTAATTTTTTGTATTTTTAGCAGAGACGGGGTTTCACCATGTTGACCAGGATAGTCTCGATCTCTTGACCTCGTGATCCACCCGCCTCGGCCTCCCAAAGTGCTGGGATTACAGGCTTGAGCCACCACGCCCGGCTTTTGTTTTTCTTGTTGAGATAGGGCCTCACTCTGTTGCCCAGGCTGGAGTCCACTGGCACAATCAGGGCTCACTACATCCTTGACCTTTTGGGCTCAAGCAATCCTCCCACTTCAGTCTCCCAAGTAGCTGTGACCACAGGTGAATGCTACCATGCCCAGCTAGTTTTAAACATATATATTTTTTTTTTTTTGAGACGGAGTTTCGCTTTTGTTACCCAGGCTGGAGTGCAATGGCGCGATCTCGGCTCACCGCAACCTCCGCCTCCTGGGCTCAGGCAATTCCTGCCTCAGCCTCCTGAGTAGCTGGGATTACAGGCACGTGCCACCATGCCCAGCTAATTTTTTTGTATTTTTAGTAGAGACGGGGTTTCACCATGTTGACCAGGATGGTCTCGATCTCTCGACCTTGTGATCCACCCGCCTCGGCCTCCCAAAGTGCTGGGATTACAGGCTTGAGCCACCGCGCCCGGCTAGTTTTAAACATATTTTTATAGGGGTAGTCTCACTTTGTTGCCTAGGCTGGTCTCAAACTCCTGAGGAGCTCAAAGCATCCTTCTACGTTGGCCTCCCAAAGTGTTGTGATTACAGCTGTGAGCCACCTTGCATGGCCACAAAGGAGCTGTTAATGGCCAAATCTAAGATTATTTTAGCACCAAAGTAAAAAATGATAGTGATGATTTAGAATCCACAGAGTAAGAATCCACAAGTCCGTATCAGGGGGAGGCTCTGTGCCCAGTATAACTAATGTAATGGATACTAAAACCCCAGTAGGTGGAGGTTTGAGAAGTAACAGGATCTTTACCTAGTCTCAAAGTATATCTCTATAAGATAATAAAAATAATAACTTTACTGAAGAGAAACCAGATGGACAACACCTCAGCTAACAGTTCAAAGGTCATTACCAGTAATGAGAGAGAGATTTCATGTGCTTCCTGATAGGATGCACTCACTCAGACATGTCATCACTTCTATTCGGGAGGAAACCTCAGACAACCCCAAAAGCGACCTACATAGTAACTGGCCTGCATCTTCCAAAAATATAAAGATTAAGATTTCAGCCGGGCATGGTGGTGCATGCCTGTCATCCCAGCACTTTGGGAGGCCGAGGTGGGTGGCCTCCCCCACTACCTTGGTGGATGGATCACCTGAGGTCAGGAGTTCAGGACCAGGCTGACTAACATGATGAAACCCTGTCTCTACTAAATACAAAAACTTAGCTGAGCATGGTGGCAGGAACCTATAATCTAAGCTACTTGGGAGGCTGAAACAGGAGAATTGCTTGCACTGGGGATGTGGAGGTTATAGTGAGCCAAGATCGTGTCATTGCACTCCAGCCTGGGCAACAGGAGCTAAACTCCAAAAAAAAAAAAAAAGATTTTAAATGACAGAGACTGACAGACTGTCACAGATTAAAGGAGACCAAAGAGACATGACAACTTAATATAACACATTATCTGGGATTTCTTTTTCTATAAAAGATACCAGGATAACTGGCTACATCAGAATAAATTCCACCAGATAGGTGAAAGTATGATACCAATATCAATTTTCTGACTTTGATAACTGTGCTCAGGGTACATATTAGAATATCTTTGTTTTTAGAAATGAGACATTATTTGGAGAGAAAGCAACATCATCTCTGCAGGCTATGTGATACAGTTTTGAGAAAGACAGACAGGTAAAGCAATTGTTACCGAGTTAATACTTTAGGAATCCAGAGGAAGGGCATAAAGGAATATGGTTTTTCTCTAAGTCTGAAATTATGTCAAAATAAATAGACTAAGGCCAGCTGTGGTGGCTCACACCTGTAATCCCAGCACTTTGGGAGGCCAAAGTGGGCAGATCACCTGAGGTTGGGAGTTCAAGACCAGCCTGACCAACATGAAGAAACCCCATCTCTACTAAAATTACAAAATTAGCCGGGCCCAGGGGTGCATGCCTGTAATCCCAGCTACTCGGGAGGCTGAGGCAGGAGAACTGCTTGAAAGTGGGGGGCGGAGGTTGCAGTGAGCCGAGGTCATACCATTGCACTCTAGCCTGGGCAGCAAGAGTAAAATTCCATCATAGATAGATAGATAGATAGACAGATAGATAGAAAGATAAATTAATAAAAATAGATTTCTTTAGATTAAATAACAATTTAAGGAGAAACAAATTTTCCTTTGACTTGACCTTTCCCAGCAACTCCTGGGGCAGATAGGCGTTCCGGGGCTTAAAGAGAGACCCAGTCTGGCTCAAAGTCAACACAATGGCGCCTCCATGCTGAAATAAAGGAGAAAAGGCTGAATTGGAAAAAGTTGAATAGGATACAAAACTGCATCTATAGTTTTTTTTTTTTTTCTTGGGCATATAGTCTTACAAAAGTGTGGTCTAGAACAGTTAAATGGCAACTAAATTATTCCAGATTTGGCTCTGACAATAAACTGCTGCTGCCTGCTTTTAAATTTATCATGACACACTTTTGGGTCTTAAACTCTTTTCCAAAGATGGTAAGGACATACAAAAACATTTTAAATGACTGCAAGCAAAATAAAATTAGGCCAATATTTTAAATAAAGTGGTTTTGAATAAACTTACTCCAGTTAAGTGGAAAGATTATAAACCACATACACAGATTTTAATTCAGGCCTTATTTCTAACTTGGTACAGACACGTGAATTAAATAACTCACCGTCTATAAAATCAGAGACTGGAAAGTCTAGATTTTAGAATGCTAGAAGGCAGTGGTGGGACTGGAAAGTCTCTGATTTTGTAGGCGGTAAGTTATTATCTTATTTAATTAGCAATGAAACAGTAGAGCATGTTTAAAATGAAAACACACTGCTTTCTGAAATGTTAGGCATCCTATGCACTTACCCAATCGTTTTTCATCATTTTCCTCAGGTTGTGAACAAGTGCTAATTCCTCTGGGGCAATCTGATATCGGACAGAAAGAGAGAAGAGATCATCACGTGCTTTTCTCAGATGTTCTCCTGAAACAACTGACAATTTTTTAAAAACCCTCAACTAAGACATAATTGTATACCTGAAGGTACTCCCCCAGGATAAGCCACATAGCCTCTGGCCCTAGAACTGCCATCCTTCTGGAGATTAACGGTCACTGAGAAAAACACCTACCGCCCCAAACCAGCCCCATTTTGACGTTTCTGATCTCCTCTGCTTACCATTTAGCCTCATTTTGAAAACACAATCAAAAGCCAGAAAAAAATTAAGAAAGAAATTACAGCTTCTGCTGTCATGCCCTTTGCATAACACCCTCCCATAGTTTTCAATGAATAGTGGAACTCTTAGCATTACCTTCTCCTCTGATTCCATTTACTGTTTATCTTTTTTTTTTTCCACCCAAATCTCTTTAATCTCTTTTTTTTTCTTTTGACAGAGTCTCATTCTGTTACCCAGCGAGAATGCAGTGGAGCCTCTGCCTCTTGGGCTCAAGCCATCTTCCCATCTCAGCCTTCCAAGTAGCTGGAACTACATACAGGTACACACCACCATGCCCAGCTAGTTTTTGGCATTTTTTGTAGAGAAAGGGTTTCACTATGTTGCCCAGGCTGATCTCAAACTCCTGGACTCACTCAATCCATCCATCTTGGCCTCCTAAAATGCTGGGATCACAGGCATCAGCTACACCAGTCCTGGGTAGGTGGGTGGGTGGGTCGGTGGGTGCGTGTGTGTGTGTACATTTTTTTTTTAATACAGAGTTCCACTCTTGTTGCCCAGGCTGGAGTGCAACAGTGTAATCTCAGCTCACCACAACCTCCGCCTCCCAGGTTCAAGTGATTCTCCTGCCTCAGCCTCCCGAGTAGCTGGGATTACAGTCATTCACCACCATGCCCAGCTAATTTTGTATTTTTAATAGAGTTGGGGTTTTTCCACGTTGGTCAGGCTGGTCTCTTAACTCCTCACCACAGATGATCCACCTACCTCGGCCTCCCAAAATGCTAGGAATACAGGTGTGAGCCACTGAGTCCAACCATATATATATATACGTAATTTTTTTTTTTTTTTAAGAGCCAGGATCTCGCTGTGTCACCCAGGTGGGAGTGCAGTGTTGCAATCATGCCTCACTACAACCTTGAACTAGGCTCAAGTGATCCTCCTACTCAAGCTCCCAGTAGCGGTGACTACACATGTGCCACCCTGGCTACTGGCTGATCTCTTATTTTTTTAGAGACAGAGGCCTTGCTATGGTTCCCCTGCTGGTCTTGAACTCCTAGCCTCAAGTGATCCTCCTGCCTTAGTCTCCTTAGCCACTACGATTACAGGTGTGAGCCACTGCACCTAGCTCTTTACTGTCGATTTTACTTCAAACACTCCTAGGGCAAGAAAACGTAACTGTACAGTCTACAAGGCTAAGACCCAGCCTCTGTTCTGATGGAACCAGAAATCAGAGAAATGAGACAGACACCCAGTTTTCCTACTGGTCTTTTATCTTCTCTTTTCAGAGTAGTCCTTCCCCAGACAGCATTGATTCCATCCACGGCCACCAGGAGGCGAAAAATACCCGAAGAACTCTGCCTCTTTAGCTCTTTCAGCACAATTCCAACTGCAGTCTGTGGCGTTCCTCACCCGCGTTATGCCCTGTTGGGAGAGACAGTGGACTGCAGTGCTGCCAGAGGCCTTCTCTTGTTATCACGTTACACATTCAGTGTCTTTTCTTTATTGTTATTATTTTCAGTATCTTTTCTTATACCTGTTCAACCACTTCTCCCAGAGGACTGCCTTTCTCAGTGCTCTCTCTCTTATTCCAGACATATTTCTCTTGAACTTTTATCTAAAAGCAAGCAAAGAAAATAAAAACCAAAAAAAGACTACTTGACCTAAGGGTGAACCCATCCCTTGAAAAGTTGGAGGCTAAGATTAAGAGGAGTCCATTTTAGTCTACTGCTCAGGTTCTGCAGGAGACCTCAGTGTGGAAGTGAATGCTTTTTTTTTTTTTTTCCTTTTTTCTCTTTTGAGACAAGACTCCTGCTCTGTCACCCAGCCTGGAGTGTAGTGGCACGATCTCAGCTCACTATAACCTCCACCTCCCAGGTTCAAACAATTCTGCCTCAGCCTCCTGAGTAGCTGGGCCTACAGGTGTGTACCACCATGCCGACTGATTTTTTGCATTTTTAGTAGAGATGGGATTTTGCCATGTTGCCCATGCTGGTCTTGAACTCCTGGGCTCAAGCAATGTCCCCCAACTCAGCCTCCAAAAGTGCTGGGATTACAGGCATGAGCCACACTGTGCCCTGCCGACACGAATGCTTTCTAATCCATTTCTGCTTGGAGCCTTGAAAAAATATACATAAAGAATTCTGATGAAAATGTCCAGAATGAGACTATGGTATCTGCATTTTTAATAAGCTCTTAGGTGACTCTGCTTTATACCCAGAATTGAAGGCCCCTGGTAGACAGGGTATCCAAGAATCACCAGGGTAAAGAATTTTTCCAATACATTTCTTGTTCCCTAAAAACATCTTATCCTGAGAAGATCATGCAGTTTGGAAATGTTCTTGCAAGGGACTGGAAAGTATACCTTTTTTTATTTATTTTGAGACGAAGTCTCACTCTGTCACCAGGTTTGAGTGCAGTGGCGTGATCTCAGCTGACTGCAACCTCCACCTCCCATGTTCAAGTGATTCTCCTACCTCAGCCTCCCGAGTAGCTGGGACTATAGGCATTCACCAACACGCCTGGCTAAATTTTGTATTTTTAGTAGAGACGGGTTTTCATCACGTTGGCCGGAATCATCCTGATCTCTTGACCTTGTGATCCGCCTGCCTCAGCCTCCCAAAGTTCTAGGATTACAGGCATGAGCCACCACACACAGTTGGAGGCTGTACCTTGAAAAGTCAATGAATCAACTGGATTTCACTTTGCTACCCACAAAATGGGAATAACTTACTGTTGCCTCTTTATTTCACATGGATAAATGAGTTTCAAGTTATTAGTCTGTATAACTGTATCATTTTTAGTTTCTTTCATATGTGAGCAAACCATATGAAAGAAACTAAAAATGATACAGTTATTCTAACTCCAATTATCAGGTCTCCATAGTCTATTGGTACTCAGGGCACAAGCAGGACAGAATCCATATAGACTACCTAGTACTCAACTTCCAAGAGTCTAGTCACCTGCTTCAGGAAGCGCTCATTTGTAGTTTTGAAATTCTTCAGCCAGGTTGAAGCCTCTAAAGGTTGATCAAAGCGCTGTTTGTTGTAGCTGGACTGCAGAAGTTCCCGGCAATTTTTCACCCAAAGATGAGCTTTAAAAAGGCAGAAGAAAACAAACTAGGCAGAAACTATTCACCTGGAAATATTCCAGCCTCTTTAAGTTATAAGAAATGACTTTAGTTTCTCGTATATATTTCTTTTTTGTGACAGAGTCTTGCTCTGTTGCCCAGGCTAGAAGGCAGGATGAGATCACAGCTCGCTGTAACTTTGAACTCCTAAAAGCTCAGGCGATCCTCCTACCTCAGCCTCTCTAAGTGCTGGTGAACTACTGTGCCCGGCCTTGTCAGGTCCATCTTACACTAAACATTATCATTAGAATCAATATATAAAGCATACTAAGTGGGTTAAATATCACTTGTGCTTACTGGCAAGTCTGAAAGATAAGTCAGAAAATACGGATGTTACATGAGCAGGTTTGTTTAAAAAAAAGAAAATGTGAATGCACATAACACTGAACAAAAAAGGGATATGTGCAAAGTGTATCCCTTAAGTTTTGACAATCCATACTGATGACTCTAGAAGGTTGATAAATAGCAAAAGGCTCTATGGGTACTCAGAATTATTAACCAATGGCAAAAACAAAAACTCCATGGCAACCTGTAAGGCAGGAGTTTATGCTCATGGGTATTAAATATCAAAAGCAGGACTGCTTAGCATCAAAAGGCTTCAGGAATCTTTTAGCCCAATTTCCTTTTGTCACATTGACTTCACCCTGTAACCTGCTTGGGAGTAGTATCAGGAAGAAATGTTGATGAACGAGCTCTGACTGGTCTACATCTGGAGCAAAGGCTTTTCTTTTTTCTTTTTTTGAGACAGGGTCTTGCTTTGTTGCCCAGGCTAGAGTGCAGAGATGCGATCACAGCTCACTGCAGCCTCCTCCTGGGCTTTAGCGATATTCCAGCCTCAGCCTCCCGAAGTGCTGGGATTACAGATGTGAGCCATCGTGATTGGCAAACGCTTTTCTTTTGGTTATCAGATCCCTGTTAGAAAATTAAAGCTAAGGTTGAGCACGGTGGCTCACACCTGTTATCCCAGCACTTTCGGAGGCTGAGGCAGGTGGATCACCTGAGGTCAGGAGTTTGAGACCAGCCTGGCCAACATGATGAAACCCTGTCTCTAGTAAAAATACAAAAATTAGCTGGGCGCGGTGGCTCAAGCCTGTAATCCCAGCACTTTGGGAGGCTGAGGCGGGTGGATCACGAGGTGAAGAGATCGAGACCATCCTGGTCAACATGGTGAAATCCCGTCTCTACTAAAGATACAAAAAATTAGCTGGGCATGGTGGCACGTGCCTGTAATCCCAGCTACTCAGGAGGCTGAGGCAGGAGAATTGCCTGAACCCAGAAGGCGGAGGTTGCGGTGAGCCGAGATCACGCAATTGCACTCCAGCCTGGGTAACAAGAGCGAAACTCCGTCTCAAAAAAAAAACAAAAACAAAAACAAAAATTAGCTGGGCATGGTAGTATGTGCCTGTAACCCGAGCTACTCGGAAGGCTGAGGAAGGAGAATCACTTGAACCTGAGAGGGGGAGGTTGCACTGAGCTGAGACAGCACCATTGTCTCCAGCGTGGATGACAAGAATGAAACTCCGTCTCAAAAAAAAAAAAAAAAAAATTAAAGTTGCAAGGCTTTAATAACAGATAAGTGAGCCTAACAGAAGAAAAGACAGGAAGATCTTACCATCTGGAATATGTAGTATGAGCCAGTCCTGTTTTGCACAGAAATGAATAACATGGCAAAGACTGAGGGTTTTTCCTGTTCCCTTCTCCCCATCTAAAGTACATATTGTTAAAGAAAACATGAGTAGAAGGGTCACTTATACTGTGAACAGTACTTATGTTTTGGTTTTTTTTTTTGAAATGGAGTCTCGCTCTCTGTCCCCAGGCTAGAGTACAGTGGCTTGCTATCAGCTCACAGCAACCTCTGCCTCCTGGGTTCAAGCGAATATCCTGCCTTAGCCTCCTGAGTAGCTAGGATTACAGACACCCACCACTGGGCCTGGCTAATTTTTTTTATTGTTAGTAGATGCAGGGTTTTGCCATGTTGGCCAGGCAGGTCTTCAACTCCTAATTTCAGGTGATCCACCTGCCTTAGCTTCCCAAAGTGCTGGGATTACAGGTGTAAGCCATCGCACCAGCCTCAACAGTACCTTTTTTCATTTCTTCTTTTCCCTTCTTTGAGGAGAGAAAGCATTGGTTCATGAGGGTCCAGGCATGCAGGAAAGGATACACAGAAGGTATCGTACGGCCGGATAAGCAAAATTGGTGTTTTTCAGGTAATGCAGAAGTTCTAGGGCTGGTTTCCTTACCATCAGGTAAGCTTCACTGAATGTCTTCACCTGATAAAACAGCAAAGGAAGCAGTAGGTGGGGTGTGGAACTTCTAACCAGTTCTTGGTATACACACACTGCCTAAAGTGGCAACTAAGACCATCAAATGGCATGCCTCTAATTTATTCAGTTAGGAGAGGGTGGGTTGGTAATGAGTTTGAAAATCTATCCATGTAACTTAACTAAAAACTGAAATACATTATTCCACACCAAGTAACATGACAGCCAGCTTTTGATTATTCCTGTTACTGAATCAGATATTATCTCAGCTGAAATCTATAAATAATTGATATATCTCATTAAAAACGTATGTATACCATTTAGGGTCACTGTAAATATGAAAAGTATATATAAAAACGCTTAAAATATCTGACATGAGTTAATCATTCTATAAACATTAACACTTAAAAAAAAATTTTTTTTTTTTTGAGATGGAATTTCGCTCTTGTCATCCAGGCTGGAGTACAATGGCACAATCTCAGCTCACCACAACTTCCACATTCCGGTTCAAGTGACTCTGCTGCCTCAGCCTCCCGAGTAGCTGGGATTACAGGCATGAGCCACCACACCCAGCTAATTTTGTGTTTTTAGTAGAGATGAGGTTTCTCCATGTTGGCCAGGCTGGTCTCAAACTCCTGACCTCAAGTGATCCACCTGCCTTGGCCTCCCAAAGTGCTGAGATTACAGGAATGAGCCACCATGCCCAGCCTAGAATTTATTTTTAGTTAATTTTTATTACTTTAACCGTTTAGACTTTCTTCTCTAGAACTAAATATATAGCAGCTCCAGAGCAGGTGTGACCTGCTACCCACAACTCCAAGGCCATTCATACCTCACACCTCCAGCATACTAACCTTTCAGAGTTTACGTGTTCAGTCCCTTTTTGTCACCAAAATACTTTGGGGGGAAACTTGGGAAGCACTAATGCGTATGAAAATGATTTGCAAAGAAAGTATTAAAATATGCCTACTAATAAGAATATCTAACAAATACTGTTTGTAAGTATAACTAAAACAGTGTTAATTTTTAATTTTTTTTTTTTTTGAGACAGTCTCACTCTGTTGCATAGGCAGGAGTGCAGTGACAACATCTCAGCTCACTGCAATGTGCGCCTCCCAGGTTCAAGCAATTCTTCTGCTTCAGCCTCCCAGGTAGCTGTGACTATAAGCGTGTGCCACCACGCCCAGCTAATTTTTGTATTTTTAGCACAGATGGAGTTTCATCTTGCTGGTCAGGCTTGTCTTGAACTCCTGGCCTCAAGTAATCTGCCCACCTCAGCCTCCCAAAGTGCTGGGACTACAGGCGTGAGCCACTGTACCCAGCCAGTGTTGATATTTTTAAAAGAAATCCTAACAAAACAATTGAATTGTTGTAGGATTTGACAGATAATTACAAGCTTAATGGAAAGTTCAATGTTCAAAAAAATATGATAGATATTAAAACAAATGTCAGCCAGGCACAGTGGCTCATGCCTGTAATCCCAGCACTTTGGGAGGCCACGGCAGGTGGATCACCTGAGATCTGGAGTTCGAGACCAGCCTGGCCAATATGGTGAAACCCCATCTCTACTAAAAATACAAAAATTAACCGGGTGTGGTGGTGCGTGCCTGTAATCCCAGCTACCTGGGAGGCTGAGGCAGGAGAACAGGAGAATCATTTGAACCCAGGAAGTGGAGGTTGCAGTGAGATGAGATCGTACCACTGCACTCCAGCCTGGTTGACAAGAGTAAAACTCTGTTTCAAAGAAAAATGTCACATCAGGGCTGGGAGCTGTGGCTCACACCTGTAATCGCAGCACACTGAGATGCCAAGACAGGAGGATCACTTGAGTCCAGGAGGTCAGAGATGTAGAGTGTGCTGTGGTCACACCACTGTACTCCAGTCTGGTTGTCAGAGTGAGACCCTGTCTCTATAGTTAAAAAACATAATAATCGGCTGGGCATGGTGGCTCACACCTGTAATCCCAGCATTTTGGGAGGCTGAGGCAGGTGGATCGTGAGGTCAAAAGATTGAGACCATCCTAGCCAAGATGGTAAAACCCTGTCTACTAAAAATACAAAAATTAGCTGGGCGTGGTGGCACATGCCTGTAATCCCACCTACTTGGGAGGCTGAGGCAGGAGAATTGCTTGTACCCAAGAGGTAGAGGTTGCAGTGAGCTGAGATCGTGGTACTGGACTCCAGCCTGGCCAAAGAGCAAGATTCCATATCAAAAAAAAAAAAAAAAAAAAAGATAATAATAATAAAATAGGTTGGCACTGTGGCTCATGCCTGTAATCCCAGCACTTTGGGACGCCAAGATGGGCGGATCACCTGAGGTTGGGAGTTTGAGACCAGCCTGACCAATATGGAGAAACCCCATCTCTACTAAAAATATAAAATTAGCTGGGTGTGGTGGCACATGCCTGTAATCCCAGTTACTGGGGAGGCTGAGGCAGAAGAATCGCTTGAACCCAGGAGGTGGAGGTTGTGGTGAGCTGGTATTGTGCCACTCCAGCCTGGGCAACAAGAGGGAAAGAGCCTCGGAAAAAAAAAAAAAAAAAAAAAAGGCTAGAGATAGTGGCTCACTCCTGTAATCCCAACACTTTGGAAGGCTGAGGTGGGCAGATCACAAGGTCTGGAGTTCAAGACCAGCCTGACCAACATGACGAAACCCTGTCTCTACTAAAAATACAAAAATTAGCCGGCATGGTGGTGCCTGCTTATAATCCCAGCTACTCAGGAAGCTGAGGCAGGAGAATTGCTTGAACCCGGACCCAGGAGGCGGAGGTTGCAGTGAGCTGAGATCACGCCACTGTATTCCAGCCTGGGCTACAGAGTGAGACTCCATCTCAAAAAAAACAACAACAACAAAACATAATAATAAAAAAACAGAGTCAGCTACTCTCAGCCCACTGCCCATGAGTTAGGTCTGCTCCAAAAGGAACAGTATTAAAAAAAAAAAGTCATATTAGGCAATATGACAATGCTAATATACACAAATAGTGGTGAGGAAGGCCTTCACATAAATGAAAATTATGAAAAGAATGTGTACATTCTTCCAGAGCATTGTTGGTTAAGCCAATCTGAAAACATGAAATAGTTAAAGACAGAACCTCACAACCCTGAAGCTAAATATTGTACCATGAAGGTCCTGGAACAGTTTAAAGTGCCACTGCAGATGACTGCTTCTGGTTGTGTCCCATTTCTAATCTTAACAAAAAAAATTTTTTTAATTGAAATTGTTTTTTGGAGACAGAGTTTCACTGTTGCCCACGTGGAGTGCTGTGGCGCTGCCGTACCCCACTGCAGCCTGAACTCGGCTCAAGTCATCCTCCTGCTTCAGCCTCCTAAGTAGCTACCATACTGAACTAAATGTTTTTCTTTTCTAAATAGAGATAAGGTCTCATAATGTTGCCCAGCTGGTCTTGAACTCCTTCACTACAACAATCCTCCCACCTTGGCCTCCCAAAGTGCTGAGGCTACAGGCATAAACTACCTTACCTGACCTGTCATTCCTTATTTTATTTTATGCTTGAGATAATGTCTCGATCTATTGCCCAGGCTGGGGTGCGATCACTGAAGCCCCCATCTCCTGAGTTCAAGAGATCCTCCCACTTCAGCTACCTGAGTAGCTGTGACTACAGGTGTGCACCATGCCCAGCTAATTTATTTTTTAGTGTTGTAGACACAGGTCTCCCTATGTTGCCCAGACTGGTCATGAACTCCTGGGCTCAAGTGATCCTTCCACCTTGGCCTCCCGAAGTGCAGCTGAAATTACAGGCAAGAGCCATAGCACCCAGCCTGTTACGCCCTTATTATTCATATAATTTCCTGAAATAAACCACACTGAAGAAATGAGAGCCTCTGGCTTGCAGGCTAAAACTCACCTGCACAGGCAAGTATGATATGTCATTAAGAAAGAATAATTTCTGATGCTGAAAATTTGGTAGAAGCCAGTTAGAAGAATCAATTGTGCAAAAAAACTTCAGCCAGCTAACCGGCATGGCCAAAGGCTAGAGATATATTTAAAAGATACCCTGCTGAGATATATTTAAAACATACCTTGGCCGGGCACGGTGGCTCACACCTGTAATCCCAGCACTTTGGGAGGCCGAGACGGGTGGATCACAAGGTCAACAGATTGAGACCATCCTGGTCAACATGATGAAACCCTGTCTCTACTAAAAATACAAAAAATTAGCTGGGCATGGTGGCGCGTGCCTGTAATCCCAGCTACTCAGGAGGCTGAGGCAGGAGAATTGCCTGAACCCAGGAGGCGGAGGTTGCGGTGAGCCGAGATCGCGCCATTGCACTCCAGCCTGGGTAACAAGAGCAAAACTCCGTCTCAAAAAAAAACCAAAAACATACTTTGCTGAGAGAATAGAAACCAATGCATCTAATAAAACTATTGCTTCAGGCTGGTCTAGAACTCCTGGGCTCAATAACCAGGAATTCTTTCAATGGTTATACAGCAATCTAAGATTACACTCCTTGGCTTGAAATTATGGCCACAAAACATTTTCACAAAATCCATGAGAGAAACCAATGTATCTAATCAAAATATCACTTCTATTTAGCATAGGGGTGTATTATGATTTTGCTTTGTGCAGCATATTAACTAATTTCAGGATATAAAGCCAAATTTTAAGTTCATTTAATACAATTATTTGATGCTGAAGTTACTGGAATCTTCTTGGACTACAAAGGAAGAAAACATCAATATTGTTTAAACACGAGCTTAAAGTAATTATACTAGACATAAAAGGTAATCAACAGATGAATTTGTTTTTCAGATTAAAATTTCATCTTTTATAGTTTTTTTCTGACTTAGCCCCACCCCTTTGCTAGCAGCAGCTTGTATTCTGGGCTCCCTGAAGTTCCATTCCCTGTGTTGATCACCTGCATCACAAAGCGAGGAGGAAGGCCATGGGGAAATATAGTCTTCAAATCCTGGGGCGAGATGTTGTAGTGCTGACCCTCGTGCTGATCCCCATGCTTAGCCTAGGAAATAAGAGTGCAAAACAGGTATAATGGTGACAAAGTGACCAAGACTTTCGTTTTTTTTTGTCTTATCTGCATTTTTTATTTATATATATATATACACACACACACACGTGCGCGTATATGTGTATATATACACATACACGTACACATATATACATATATAGGTATATATACACGTATGTACACATACGTATACACATATATACATATACATATATGTATATATACGTATAGATGTGTATATATATACGTGTACATATATGTATACACACACACATATATATACGTGTATATATGTACTTTTTTTTAAATTTTAGATATGTATATACACACTTTTTTTTTTAATTTTAGATCTTTTGCTCAACAGTGGTATTTCAGTATATATACTTTTTTTTTTTTTTTTGAGACAGAGTTTCGCTCTTGTTACCCAGGCTGGAGTGCAATGGCGCGATCTCGGCTCACCGCAAACTCCGCCTCCTGGGTTCAAGCAATTCTCCTGCCTCAGCCTCCTGAGTAGCTGGGATTACAGGTACGTGCCACCATGCCCAGCTGATTTTTTTGTATTTTTAGTAGAGATGGGGTTTCACCATGTTGACCAGGATGGTCTCGATCTCTTGACCTCATGATCCACCCGCCTCGGCCTCCCAAAGTGCTGGGATTACAGGCTTCAGCCACCGCACCCGGCCTATATATACATTTCTAATGGAGTTTCGCTTTTGTCACCTAGGCTGGTGCGCAATGGCGTGATCTCGGCTTACTGCAATCTCCAACTCCTGGGTACAAGCAATTCTCCTGCCTCAGCCTCCCAAGTAGCTGAGATTACAGACATGCGCCATCATGCCCAGCTAATTTTTGTATTTTTAGTAGAGGTGGGGTTTCACCATGTTGACCAGGCTGGTCTCGATCTTCCGTCAGGCAATCAACCTGCCTCAGCCTCCCAAAGTGCTAGGATTACGGGCCTGAGCCACTTTGCCCAGGCTTATCATCTTATCTGGGACCAAGACTTTGAAAATCGGGTAAGGCCTGCTATTCACTCATGTCTTTTTGTAATTTTTTTTTTTTTTGGAGACAGGGTCTTGCTTGCTTGCCCAGGCTAAAGTGTGGTAATGCATTCAGGGCTCACTGAGGCCTCCAATTCCCACACTCAAGATATCCTCCCACCTGAGCCCCACGAGTAGCTAGGACCACAGGTGTGCACCACCACACCTGGCTAATTTTTCACTTTTTTGGTAGAGATGAGGTCTTGCTATGTTGCCCAGATTCGTCTTAAACTTCTGAGCTCAAGTAATCCTCCCACTTTGGCCTCTAAAAGTGTTGGAACAACAGGTGTGAGCCACCGCACCTGGACTACTCTTCTCTTAAAGCTGGAAAAGTTATTTCCTGTTTTGAGACAGCCTGCTGCCCAGGCTGAAGTGTGGTGGCTCTATCTCAGCTGACTGTAGCCTTGACCTCCTGGGCTCAAGTGATTCTTGCACCTAAACCTCTTGAGTAGCTGGGACTACAGGTGCATCACACTATGCATTGCTAATTTAAAAAAAATTTTTGATAGGAACAGTGGCTCACGCCTGTATTCCCAACACTTTGGGAGGCTGAGGTGGGCTGATCACCTGAGGTCAGGAGTTCAAGACCAGCCTGGCCAACATGGTGAAACTCCGTCTCTACTAAAAATATAAAATTGGTCAAGCTCGGTGGCTCACGCCTGTAATCCCAGCATTCTGGGAGGCCAAAGTGGGTGGATCATGAGGTCAAAAGATCAAGACCATGCTGGCCAACATGGTGAAACACCATCTCTATTAAAAATACAAAAATTAGCTGGGCATGGTGGCATGTGCCTGTAGTCCCAGCTACTTGGGAAGCTGAGGCAAGAGAATCACTTGAACTTGGGAGGTGGAGGTTGCAGCAAACTGAGATTGTGTCACTGTACTCCAGCCTGGTGACAGACTCTGTCTCAAAATAAATAAATAAAAATAAATTAAAAACCTAGCCAGATGTGGTGGCGGCTGCTTGTAATCCCAGCTACTTGGGAGGCTGGGACAGGAGAACTGCTTGAACTTATGAGGTGAAGGTTGCAGTGAGCTGAGACTGTGCCATTGCACTCCAGCCTGGGCAAGAAGAGTGAAACTCCATCTCAAAAAAAAAAAAATTTCTTTTTTTTTTTGTAGAGTTGAGGTCTTGCTATGTTGCCCAGGCAAGTCTAGAACTCCTAGGCTCAAGTGATCCTCGCATCTCAGCCTCCCAAAGTGCTGGGATTACAGGCATGAGCTACTGTGCCCAGTCTCATTTATATTAGCCAAGAATGCTGGTTGCTGTCTCCAAACCCAGCATGTATATAAAAGTGGTGGCCCAAATAATGAAGCCAATTGCTTATCAAAGTAAACTGTAGATGTAGGGGTAGCAAAGACAATTCTTGCCATCTGGATTCTTCTGTACTGTCTATAGCAGGCGTCCCCAAACTGCGGCCCCCTGAGGCCATTTATCCGGCCCCCCGCCGCACTTCAGGAAGGGGCAGGGCACCTCCTTCATTGGTGGTCAGTGAGAGCAGCACAGTATGTGGCAGCCCTCCAACGGTCTGAGGAACAGTGAACTGGCCCCCTGTGTAAAAAGTTTGGGGACGCCTGGTCTATAGAGATGCTCCAATCATGTGACAAGATTATCTGGGACTACAGGTGCATGACACTATGCACTGCTAATTAAAAAAATTTTTTTTTGGCCAGGCATGGTGGCCCACGCCTGTAATCCCAGCACTTTGGGAGACTGAAAACAGCATGCTGCTGTTTTCATAGAAACGCCAGAGGAATTGGCAGATAACAGAACTGTAATTACAGAGAAAGCTGAAAGACACTTCAGTGGCTTATTTATTCTATTTCATTTTGTGTTTGTGAATATAGGTGAATACGAGAGATAGAATTTTTTTTTCTTTTTGAGATGGAGTCTTGCTCATTTGCCCAGTCTGGAGTGCAGTGGTGTGTTCCTGGCTCACTGCAACTTCTGCCTCCTGGGTTCAAGCAATTCTCTTGCCTCAGCCTCTTGAGTAGCTGGGATTACAGGTGCCCGCCACCACACATGGTTAATTTTAGTATTTTTAGTAGAGATGAGGTTTCACCAAGTTAGTCAGGCTGGTCTAGAACTCCTGACCTCAAGTGATCCACCTGCCTCAGCCTCCCAGTCTGGGAGTAAATATTAAGTGAATGGGATGACAGTCATGAGCCATCCCACATGGCCAAAGGCTAGAGGTATATTTAAAAGATAACCTGCTGAGATCAGATTTTGGATAATGGGAGATTTTTTTTTTCCTTCCACATAGCCTTTATTAAGATGGAAAGACTCAGAGGGTAGAGGCAGGGAAAAAAAGCTGCTGGTTCTTCACATTACAGCACAGACCACAAAGTAATTTCATTTATGAGAGGCAGCGACAAAAAAGAAATCAATAACCAGTCTAATGAGGAACTGAACTAGAAAATGCAACACTAGATACTGCTGGAAACCTGATCTTGTGCAGATAAACTTCACTTTAAAAGATGTTCTTCTCATAACAAATCAAGTTAGTTTCCTCTGCAGACCCTAGGAAATCCACTTACAAACCAGCAAAATAGCACCAGATTGGTTATTAGAAAAATTGGGTTCTGAATCTGCCCTGATAGAAAATTGAAGGGCAGTAGTTTAATTTCTTTAGTATTCGCCATACCAGAGGTTGGTAAGTTATGGCTGGGCATCTGTTTTGTAAGCAAAGTTTTACTGGAACATGTTCACACCCATTTGTTTACGGCAGAGTTGAGTATTTATGACAGACCATCCTGGTCCATCAGTCTAAAATATTCACTACATGAACCTTTTTTTTTTTTTTTTTGAGACGGAGTTTCGCTCTTGTTACCCAGGCTGGAGTGCAATGGCGCGATCTCGGCTCACCGCAACCTCCGCCTCCTGGGTTCAGGCAATTCTCCTGCCTCAGCCTCCTGAGTAGCTGGGATTACAGGCACGTGCCACCATGCCCAGCTAATTTTTTGTATTTTTAGTAGAGACGGGGTTTCCCCATGTTGACCAGGATGGTCTCGATCTCTCGACCTCGTGATCCACCCGCCTCAGCCTCCCAAAGTGCTGGGATTACAGGCTTGAGCCACCGCGCCCGGCTACACTACATGAACCTTTAAGGAAAAGTTTATCATCCAACACAAATAGGAGCAATGATAATTGGTAAACTTCCCCTGTAAGAAATTAAACTTGGTAAGTATTGAGTATTTGACAACTCTATGCTCAGCAAAACCTGTGGCACTAGGTGACTTCACTAGTAAGAGATTACATGGGAACAGATATGGACTCAGCTGGCCAGTGTATGTTACCACAGTATCAGACAGGTACAGGGAGAATCTGGCTTTCAGAGTGCTATCTCAGGTGCACTGTCTATCTGATCAAATGCACACCTACTTCGCTTGTTTGTTTCAGTTTTCCTAATGCAAAATGAAGGCAGAAACACAAATAAGTCCCGAGAAACCCCACATGCACATTAGTAACTCACCGGGTCATTCTCATTGGTGCGGGAAATAGCTCTGGGACTCCCAACTGGAAGCTGGTTATCTAGGTGAGCAGCAATGCTTTGGTGTGCCTGGGTTCCCACGTGTAAAAAACGCCCAGGGTCCAACTGAAAGAGAAAGCATTTCAGCGTTTTGGGTTATCAAACTTTTAATGGTTGTTATAACACTGCAAATGTGAGCCATGTCTGCAACAGGGATGTCACTAATGTACATTTTCCTTCTATGTAAAAAGGATCCTTGTTATTATTTATATTCACTAAATTCACTGACACTGTTCATATTCTGTATCTGTTCCAGCCTGTGTATTGCCTTATCAGGGATCTGTCCCATATGGAAACAAATAATTCTGTCAGAGATTGTTCAGGAGTATAAATAGCATAGCCACTAACAAACCTGAAGCAGGAAAACTCTTTAAATGCACTTGCACAATGATGAATGGTTGCCAATACTGTGCAATTCTCAGCTGTCAGTCACCTCAGTCAGGAAGGGATCAGTGCAATGCTCCTCACTATGTGATAGCTGTAATTACACACCCTGTAACAGTTTTCCTACTAATTGTGCCCTGGAATAAAGAAATCTTTCATGAGAGACATGTAATAAGGGAGTATGTCAAATTCGCAGCTAAGTGAAAGTAAACTGCTCTATATGCAACTGAGTGGACTGTACACTGAAACCTCTGAACCAACAGGGAGGCGAAGGGGGGATGTCAGGAGACAAATCTGACAAAATGGTAAGTGAAGAACTCCAAAACTGAGCTTAAGGATAACAAGCCTTATAAAGAAAGTGAAAAGATGTGTCACGAGGAAAAGATTAGGGAATGCAGCCAGGAGAAGCGAGAGGACAGAAATATAAGGGATAGTGTAATAAGGGAATTGCTTAATAAATAGGTTATAATATGAAAGCAACCTGTATTTTATACTCTCACCAAGCAGCTTTTCTCTCTCTCTTTTTAAGACAGGGTCTTGCTGTGTCACCCAGATTGGAGTGCAGTGGCACGATCACGGCACACTGCAGCCTCAAACTCCAAGGCCCAGGTTTGTTTCTTCAACATAGCAATCTGAGTAATACACCTTAGTACTACTTAAATGCTACTCAATTTTATCTGCTGGAGAGAAAGCACCATGTCTTTACAAAGCAGAGTGGGAAACAAACTATTCAAGGGCCACAAGATGGTGCTATTTCTACAGAAATGTGATGACATTTTTGTTATACTTTTTTTTTTTTTTTTTGAGATAAGGTCTGGTCTTGCTCTATTGCCAGGCCAGTCTCAAATTCCTGGGCCCACGTGATCCTCCTACCTCAGCCTACCAAGTAGCTGAAACAACAGGTACCTTTTTTTTAGATGGTGTTTTGCTCTTGTTGCGCAGACTAGAGTGCAATGGTGTGATCTCAGCTCACTGCAACTTTCACCTCCTGGATATAAGCGATTCTCCTGCTTGTATCTCCTGCCAAAGCCTCCAGAGTAGCTGGGGTTACAGGCAACTGCCACCAAGCCCGGCTAATATTTTTGAATTTTTACTAGAGACCAGGTTTCACCATGTTGGCCAGGCTGGTCTTGAACTCCTGACCTCAGGTAATCTGCCTGCCTTGGCCTCCCAAGGTGCTGGGATTTCAGGCATGAGCAACTGTGCCCGGACTTTTGTTTTTTTTTTTCTTTTCTTTTTTTTGAGACAGAGTTTCACTTATTGCTCAAGCTGGAGTGCAATGGCATGATCTTAGCTCACAACAACCTCTGCCTCCCAGGTTCAAGTGATTCTCCTGCCTCAGTCTCCCAAGTAGCTGGGATTGATTGCAGGCATGCACCACCATGCCTGGCTAAATTTGTATTTTTAGTAGAGACGGATTTTCTGTTAGTCAGGTTGGTCTCCAACTCCCGACCGGAGGTGATCCTCCCACCTCCATCTCCCTGAGTGCTGGGATTACAGGCATAAGCCACTGCATCAAGCCACAACAGGTACTTTTTGAAGCAAATTAAAAGCTAGCAAAATGGAATCTTTAGTTCTTTAGCGTTTTATATATGGTATCATTCAAGTAGACTCTTGTTTACAACCATGTGTACTACAATTGCTTCCATACAGTTCCAGAATGAACATCCTGCAGTTTTTGAAAGAACATTTGTTGGCCAGTCTAGAAGGTCACTGTGATGGCTGAGATTAAGTGTCAACTTGATTGGATTAAAGGATGTAAAGTATTGTTCCTGGGTGTGTCTGTGTGAGGGTGTTGCCAAAGGAGATTAGCACTTGAGTTAGTGGACTGAGAGAGGCCGACCCACCCGCAACATCGGTGGGCACTTTTTTTTTTTTTTGAGACAGAGTTTCGCTCTTGTTACACAGGCTGGAGTGCAATGGCGCAATCTCGGCTCACCGCAACCTCCATCTCCTGGGTTCAGGCAAGTCTCCTGCCTCAGCCTCCTGAGTAGCTGGGATTACAGGCACGTGCCACCATGCCCAGATGATTTTTTGTATTTTTAGTAGAGACGGGGTTTCACCATGTTGACCAGGATGGTCTCAATCTCTTGACCTTGTGATCCACCCGCCTCAGCCTCCCAAAGTGCTGGGATTACAGGCATGAGCCACCGCGCCCAGCCAGGGTGGGCACCTTCTACTAATCATCTGCCAGCAGGGCTAGGATAAAGCAGACAGAAGAAGGTGGGAGGAACCGACTTGCTGAGTCTTCCAGCCTTCATGTTTCTACTGTGCTAGATGCTCACTGGACTCCAAGTACTTCACCTTTTGGACCCTTGAGACTTACAACAGTGATTTGTCAGGGGCTTTCAGGCCTTCAGCCACAGACGGAAGGCTCCACTGTCAAATTCCCTACTTTTGAGGTTTTGGGACTGGGACTGGCTTACTTGCTCCTCAGTTTGCTCATGGCCTACTGTGGGACTTTGCCAGAGGGTGTGACTCAATACTGCTTAACAAACTCCCCTTCATATATACTTCTATCCTATTAGTTTTGTCCCTGTAGAGAACTCAGACTAATACAGTCAACCTGAACCAAACCTGACTAATACAATCGCCCTGAACCAACAAACAAAAACAAAAATCACAGAACCGAAACCTAAAAACTTTCTCTTAGCCTCAGTGCTACCGACTCGACTAATCCAGCTCAGGTGCTCCTCTTAGGTGCTGTAAGAGCACCTTACTATAAAGTCATTTATTCATGATTCCACTGGACTATAAGCTTCCGGAGAACATGGACCATAGAATTTGATATAGCGCAGTGGTTAGGCCACAGGCTTTGAAGTCAGACAGGCCTGGCACCTCGTCTGGGCTTTGCAACTTCACAGGCTGACTCCTCAGGTAAGTTACCTAGCCATTCTCATCTTTAGTTTCTACATGTGTGAAACAAGGATGTTATCTCATCCACGGATTGATCACGAGGATTAAGGAAATAAAGCCCTTAGTGTAGTACCTGGCACATAATAATGCCGAACAAATAGTAACTATTATTAGTGAAATGAGGCATCTTAGAATTCTGAGTACCTGCCATATAGAAGGTACTGAAAAACTATTTGGTAAATAAATGAAAAAATGAAGTAAACCAGCAGAATGGTCTTTTTCATGTACAGTTTTATTTTTTAATTCTATTTTAAATGCTCAAGTTGTAAATTGGCAACTTGTTTTTCTTTTTTTTTTAAAGGTGTGGTTGTTTTAAATACTTCATTAAGGGATGATAACCATTAATCCAACTAAAGAAACAAAGTTAATAAAGATAATTACAGTCAAACTTTGTGTTTATGGAGAAATGTTAATTCTCCTATACCATGGTAAATTCTCAAGCCAATTTTTCTACTGAAACCTGTTACAGATGAAGTTTTCCAGAGCCTTTTATTCTAGATATAATGAATCCATCTAAAAACAAGAATTCTACCTAAAGGCAGTATGCACAAAGTGTTCAGGTCAGTCAGGACTCACCTTATGGATCCTAGAGATAAGCCTTGTTATTCCTTTCAGCATTGTCCTTGGACTCTTAAAAAAAAAAAAGTGAACAGGTAAACCACAAATGGGAAAAGATATTTGCAACATGGAAAACTGGCAATGAATTAATATGGATTCATAATCTACATTAATATCTGAAATATATAAAGAATGCCTATAGCTTCATAAAGAAAAATGAGCAAAAGACACAAACAAGGATTTCACACAAAAGATACAAAAGGCTAGTGAACCCATGAAAAGATTTTTGAACCTCATTACAAATCAGGGAAATGCTAGCTAAAATGATGACAACCAGATACCATTCACAACCACCATACTGGGAAAATTTAAAAAGTCAGGTGGGACACAGTGGCTCATGCCTAAAATCCCAACACTTTGGAAGGAATATTTTGGGAAGCTGAGGTGGGTGGATTGCTTGAGCCCAGGAGTTCGAGGCTGGCCTCGGCAACAAAGTAAGACCCTGTCTCTACAAAAAAACATAAAAATTAGTAGGGCATGAGAGTGCGTGCCTGTAGTTCCAGCTACTCAGGAGGCGGAGGCAGAAGGATCACTTGAGCTCAGGAGGTAGAGGTTGCAGTGAGCTGAGGCCACTACACTCCAGCATGGATGACAGAGTGAGACTGCCAAAAAAAAAAAAAAAAGGGCCAGGTATGATGGCTCACGCCGGTAATCCCAACACTTTGGGATGCCAAGGCAGGCAGATCACTTGAGGTCAAGAGTTCGAGACCCACCACCAGACCAACATGGTGAAATCTCGTCTCTACCAAAAAATATTTTTAAAAATTAGTCAGGTGTGATGACATGCGCCTGTAGTCCCAGCTACTCTGGAGGCTGAGGCAGGAGGATTGCCTGCATCCAGTAGGTGGAGGCTGCAGTGAGCCAATATAGCACCACTGTACTCTAGCCGAGGCGACAGAGTAAGACTCTTCCGCAAAACAAATAAATAAATTCATGAAAAGAATATTAAAAAGTCAGAAAATAGCAAATGTTAAATAGGCTGTGAAACATTTCACTGTGTTAAATTTTCATACAATGTCAATGGAAGTATAAATACAAACATCTTTGCAAAGTTGAAAATGCACAAGCCTGGCTGAGCACAGTGGCTCACATCTGTAATCCTAGCATTTTGGGAGGTGAGTGGGTCACCTGAGGTCACAAGTTGGAGACCAGCCTGGCCAACATGTTGAAACCCCAACTCTAATCCCAGCTACTCAGGAGGCTGAGGAAGGACAGTTGCTTGAACCCAGGAGGCAGATGTTGCAGTGAGCTTAGACTGTGTCATTGCACTCTAGTCTGGGCAACAAGAGCAAAACTCTGTCTCGAGAAAACAAAAAAGAAAACACAAGTTGGCTGGATGCGGTGGCTCACGCCTATAATCCTCGCACTTTGGGAGGCTGAGGTGGGCAGATCACCTGAGGTCAGGAGTTTGAGACCAGCCTGGGCTGGTGAAACTCTGTCTCTACTAAAATACAAAAAAAAAAAAAAAAAATTTGCTGGGGATGGCAGAATGCACCTGTAATACCAGCTACTAGGGAGGCTGAGGCAAGAGAATCACTTGAACCAGGGAGGCAGAGGTTGCAGTGAGCCTGCACTATTGCAATCCAAGAGCGAAACTCCATCTCAAAATATTAAATTAAATTTTAAAAAACTTCTACATGGACACTGGGAAATATATATAAGGACGTGCATACTAGCAGAGTATGCATTATATATATTAAAAAAAAAACACTGTAGGGAAATCAAATAGATTAGAACAGTAGAGACAGTCATACAAGGGAATATTAGAAAGCAATTAAATGAAAAAATTACCATTGCATGGATGCATCAACATGGATCTCAAAAATGAATACTGAGTGAATAATATTACATCTGGCATGATATATCATATAAAATTCAAAACCAAAAAGCTTCATTAATTATTTGGGGGACATAAACAGGAAAACTGAAACAAAAAGGCAAGAGAATAATAAGAATGACATTTAGTATAATGGTTACTCCTGGGGAGAAAGGAAAGGGAAAAAGATTGAGGTAGAGCACACAAGGAAATTCATAATAAACTATTACTAATACTGGACAATGGATACATGAGTATTATTTTCATACCATGTGTATTATATTCATTCTTTTGTATGTAGGACATATATTTTTTTTTTTTTTTTTTGAGACAGAGTTTCGCTCTTGTTACCCAGGCTGGAGTGCAATGGCACGATCTCGGCTCACCGCAACCTCCACCTCCTGGGTTCAGGCAATTCTCCTGCCTCAGCCTCCTGAGTAGCTTGGATTATAGGCACGCACCACCATGCCCAGCTAATTTTTTTTGTATTTTTTAGTAGAGACGGGGTTTCACCATGTTGACCAGGATGGTCTCGATCTCTTGACCTTGTGATCCACCCGCCTCGGCCTCCCAAAGTGCTGGGATTACAGGCTTGAGCCACCGCACCCGGCCTGTAGGACATATTTAAAAGACCAAATCTTTTGGAGCTAAGAGGTTTAAAATACTTAAATGTAACTCTCAATATCCAGTAGTTATAGGATAACTGAATTAAATGTCTATATAATTAATTAGTTCATTCTGCCTATCAATTTTTTTGTTTTGGTTTGGTTTTTTTGAAACAGAGTTTTGCTCTTGTTGCCCAGACTGGAGTGCAATGGCACGATCCCAGCACACTGCAACCTCTGCATTCAAGCAATTCTCCTGTCTTAGCCTCCCAAGTAACTGAGATTACAGGCACCTGCTACCATGCCAGCTAATTTTTGAATTATTAGTAGAAATGGCGTTTCACCATGTTGGCCAGGCTGGTTTCAAACGCCTAACCTCAGGTGATCCTACCACCTCGGCCTCCCAAAGTGCTGGGATTACAGGCATGAGCCACTGCACCCAGCCCCTTTGGCTATCATTTTCACCTTTTAAATTTTTATTTTATTTTAATTTTTTCTTGAGACGAAGTTTTGCTCTGTCACCCAGGCTGGAGTGCAGTGATCTTGGTTCAATGTAACCCCTGCCTCCCAGTTTCAAGCAATTCTCCCGCCTCAGCCTCTGAGTAGTTAGGGTAACAGACATGCACCACCACATCCAACTAATTTTTGTACTTTTAGTAGAGACGGGGTTTCACCATGTTGGCCAGGCTGGTCTTTGAACTCATGAGCTCAGGTGATCATCCCACCTCAGCCTCTCAAAGTCCTGCAATTAGAGGCATGAGCCACCATGCTTGGCCTACCTTTCTTATAACCAAAATCTTTAAAGTAACAACAGTAACAACCTAGAGTTGCAACCAATTAACCCAACAGTTACTGAGCACCACTGTGTATCAGGCCTTGTGAATAAAATGGCGAACAAACTATTTTTTTTTTTTTTTGAGATGGAGTTTCGCTCTTGTTACCCAGGCTGGAGTGCAATGGCGCGATCTCAGCTCACCGCAACCTCCACCTCCAGGGTTCAGGCAATTCTCCTGCCTCAGCCTCCTGAGTAGCTGGGATTACAGGCACGCACCACCATGCCCAGCCAATATTTTGTATTTTTAGTAGAGACGGGGTTTCACCACGTTGACCAGGATGGTCTCGATCTCTTGACCTTGTGATCCACCAACCTCGGCCTCCCAAAGTGCTGGGATTACAGGCGTGAGCCACCGCGCCCGGCCAATGGTGAACAAACTATTATAGTCCTGATCTTTTTTTTTTTTTTTTGGAGACTGAGTTTTGGTCTTGTTACCCAGGCTAGAGCAATGGCACGATCTCGGCTCACCGCAACCTCCGCCTCCTGGGTTCAAGCAATTCTCCTGCCTCAGCCTCCCAAGTAGCTGGGACTACAGGCGTGCACCACCATGCCCAGCTAATTTTTGTATTTTTAGTAGAGACGGGGTTTCACCATGTTTACCAGGATGGTCTCGATCTCTTGACCTCATGATCCACCCGCCTCAGCCTCCCAAAGTGCTGGAATTACAGGCGTGAGCCACCATGCCCGGGTAGTCCCTGATCTTATAGTTAAGAAATTTATAGTATAGTCAAGAGAATCACATGGGCTTGGCACGATGACTCATTCCTGTAATATCGGCACTTTGGGAGGCTGGGGTGAGAAGACTGCTGGAGTCTAGGAGTTTGAGACCAGTTTGGGAAAACACAGTGAGACCCCCCCCAAGTTCTGCGCAAAAAAAAAAAAGGAAAAAAGAAAAAAAATTAATTAGGTAGCCATGGTGGTACAGGACTGTAGGTAGTCCTAGCTACTTAGGAGGCTGAGGCCAAAGGATCACTTAATCCCAGTTGTTCAAGGCTGCAGGCAGCTATGAGCATGCCACTGTACTCCAGCCTGCACGATAGTCAGATCTGGTCTAAATAGATAAATAAATAAAAAGAGCCTGAGCACAGTGGCTCACAGCTGTAATCCTAGCACGTTGGGAGGCCAAGGTAGAGAGATTGCCTGAGCTCAGGAGTTTGAGACCAACCTGGACAACCCCATCTCTACCAAAATACAAAAAATTGGCCTGGCATGGTGGTGCACACCTGTAGTCCTAGCTACTCAGACGGCTGAGGCAGGAGAATCGCTTAAACCTGGGAGGCGGAGGTTGCAGTGAGCTGAGTTTGCACCATTGCAATCCAGCCTGAGCAACAGAGCAAGACTCCATCTCAAATAAATAAATGAATAAATAAAAAGAGAAACACCTAAACTCCTTTCAATTTTATTTCCTTTTAGTTTTTTTTCTTTTTTTTTTTTGAGACAGGGTCTCGCTTTATTGCCCAGGCTAGAGTGCAATGGCAAGATCACAGCTCACTGTAGCCTGGAACTCTTGGGTTCAAGTGATTCTCCTGGCTCAGCCTTTCAAGTAGCTGGGAATATAGGTGCCACTGCCAGGCATATTAAAAAAAAATTTTTTTTTAGTAGCGATAACCCTTGCTATGGTTCCCACAGTGGTCTTGAGCTCCTGAGCTCAAGTGATCCTCCTGTCTCAGCCTCCCAAAGTGCTGGGATTACAGGCATGAACCACCATGCTCTGCTTAAACTTTATCACATTTGTTATTTTTCTTGAAGCAGGGTC